CTTCGACTAGGTCATGTATATTGATTTCTTTTGTGCATAGCCGACTGATTTCATTCTTGCTTAGCGTCTAAATCTACATCGCTCGGATGCAGTGATGACATTTTGTTTCTGCCTAATATATGCTTAGTTAATTTATGTTAAACAGTAGAGGACTGACAATAAGTTCTGTCCTCTATACACTGATGCTGTTTCTTAAGGTCCTTGAAAATCATTAACCTAAGCTCTCTCATTTACAAATAAATCTTGACTAATGTCTTTTGGTACAAATGTATACATTGCCAGAGTTCTGATGGATTTGTTTCAAAGAACCTCGAGGAGTTGCTTGAGCTGATGCACAATATATGCCATGTCTCTGCCAAACGCCATAAACTTGATTGTTTATACTTCCTGTTAGCTCATGCGTCAAGGACTGTAAGAGGCTAAACCTTTTAGCTATTTGTGTATTTTGACTAAATGTATCATGATAAAGACGTAGGTTTTAGTTTTAGATTGCATTTCGCTTTTGAGTTATAGGGAAATAGTCCTCCTAGATTCTGATAGTTCTTTTCCTGTACAGGATGATTTAAAGGAGAGAAAAGACATTGTTTCTTCTTTTCTACCCGAAGTTATACTTGCTTTAAAGGAGGTACGAAGCATTGAAACTGTGACACTAAGATTGTGTAGGAATCATTATTAATTTTATTCAGGTCGCTGTTGTTTCTGCAGGTAAATAAAAAAACAAGAAACAGAGCCTATGACGTGCTTGTTCAGATTGGTCATGCATACGCAGATGAGGAAAATGGTGGAGACAATGAGAAATTGCATGGGTACTTCAATATGGTATGCATTAATCTAAATCCTAACAAAGTCATTTTTAACATTTTTTTCAGGAGCTTTGTTTTTCCTTTCTACGTCAAGATTGATTAATTGATTATTGACCTATGCTATAACTGTCGCAGGTGGTTGGTTGCTTGGCTGGAGAAAAACCTCAGATGATTAGTGCTGCTGTCAAGGGTGTAGCTCGTTTGACATATGAGTTCTCCGATCTCATAGCTAGTGCTTACAATTTGCTTCCTTCAACATTTCTTCTCCTCCAAAGGAAAAATAAAGAAATCACAAAAGTTAGTATCACATCTTCCCTTTCAAGAGGACCCAACTTTATCAATGAGACACAATGAACTGTTTCCCTTTTCTTAAACTTACAACCTATCTACTTTGGGAAACAGGCAAATTTAGGTTTGTTGAAGGTGTTGGTGGCTAAATCACCTGTTGAAGGACTACACGCAAACTTAAAGAGCATGGTTGAAGGCTTACTAAAGTGGCCAGAAGGAACGAAAAACCTTTTCAAAGCAAAGGTGTGTTTCTAATATCTTTTATTAATACAGTATGCTCAAGATGGCATCTTTGGTGCCTAGAATTTGAATCTCATTACCGCAACTTTGCCTTCTCTCACATAACTCAGACGCACACACTTATACATGTTGATCTCTTGCTAGTACATACAATTTGTTTCTTAGCGGCAGGCATATATATATATTAGGATTTGTTTCTGCGGATTCTTGTCCTTTTTTGAGGAGTCATGTTGGTATAATAGGTGAGGCTTCTCTTGGAGATGCTCATCAAGAAATGTGGCACGGAGGCTGTCAAGTCTGTGATGCCTGAGGAACATATGAAACTCCTGACAAACATCCGAAAGGTTAGCTAACAATGTTCAAAGTTGTTTTAAACTTCAGTATCTGTATTATGTCATACACTCATACATTTTCTCTTGGTTCATCTCAGGTCAAGGAACGTAAAGAGAAAAAATATGCAGCTGGCTCTGACATCAGTAAATCGCAGCATTCAATAGATGCTTCATCAAAGTACCTTACCAACTCAATTGGCAGATGGTCTCATAGAAGTTTCTGAGTGGTCAAGTACTGATTGTTTTTTATTTGTCTTCCAGGGCTAGCAGGTGGAATGATACGAAGATATTTTCTGACTTTGAGGATGAATACGAGGACAGTGACGGAGAGGACATGGATGCGGAGTCTCATGGCCGTAGCAAGGCTTCGTCTTTGTTAAAATCCAAGGCATCCGCTTTGAGGTTGGTTGTTATATACAAATTCTGGCACTAATCTTGTCTCGCTATGCTTTTGGATCTACTGACCAACGAGTTGGCGACGTATACAGATCCAAGAAAAGTCGGAACCAGAGTCACCTTGAAGTGGATGAGTCAGATGATGAACCGCTTGACTTAATGGATCGGTACAAAACAAGATTAGCTCTTCGATCAAGTGAACTTCGCAAACGGAAAGCTGACTCGGATGAAGAAGCAGAGTTTGATGTGGAAGGGCGGCTAATCATTCGTGAAGGAGAGAGGACTAAAAGGAAGGAAATATCTGATGCAGATTTAGATGCCAAAAGTAGCAAAGGTAGCCGTTTCTCTGGAAACTCATCTAGGAAGAACCAAAAGCGGATGAAGACATCAGAGTCTGGATACTCTTACACAGGCAAAGAGTATGCAAGTAAAAAGGCAAGTGGCGATCTGAAGAAGAAAGATAAACTTGAACCGTATGCATATTGGCCACTTGATCGCAAGATGATGAGCCGTAGACCAGAGCAGCGGGCAGTTGCAGTCAGAGGGATGTCAAGTGTGGTCAAGATGGCAAAGAAGATGGAAGGCAAGAGCGCTGCAGAAGCACTTGCCACGACCAAGTTCAAAAAATTCAAGAGGAGTGGTCAGAAGAAATCTGCTGGGAAGAAGAAAAACAAGTAAACACAAGTGGCATAAGCTCCACTCCCATGTTTTAAGATATCAGAGGAACAATAGCTTATTTAAAACACATTTTTGACTGCTGAAACTTTAAACCCCTTTGTCCATTTTGTATTGTAAGCAGATGAATTATCTTCAGAGTTGATTTTTAAAAGAGAAATTTATCAACGTCAGTTCCGGATTGTTCTTGTCAATTTATCCATCTCAGCCAGAGTAATATTTAGTACTCCCTCTGTTTCAAAATATAAGATGTTTAAGGTAAATGCACACATATTTAGATCATTTATTTTTCTTTTTTTAAAATATCATTTATATTTGATTATAAAAGTTTTAACCAATCAAAAAAAGGACTGCAGAATATTAATGGTCACAAATTGTCAAATGCATTTAAATCTATATAGAAACTTGTAAAACATCTTATAATATGAAACAAAATTAAATCACTAAAACATCTTATATAATGAAACAGAGGGAGTAAAGAATAAACTATCCTTGAAAGTTATTAAGCAATCCCAAACTTGATGATTATCCATCGACGAACCCATCCTGTCCTTAATTTTTGCAGAAGACGGCAAATTATTAGCATGACAGAAGTATGGTGGCAAAATTTTGATACACTGATGTCTCTAATAGTACCCACATGTTTGAGACAACCTCTACTAGTATCCACAGGCCGGCCCAAAAGTTGCAAAAAAAAAAATCGGTGGTATTTGTTCAATTTTTGAAATATGGACCCTAATTACATGTAAACAAATTTGGACCTTTAAATACACTAATCTATGGTATTTTAACAAAGTCCTAGTGCAAATGCACTCCTTGCACATGCCTATATACGGCACTGAGTATCCATAGAGTTTTGTAACATCGCTTAAACACTAAATTACCTAAGCGAGGATTGATTCTACTTGATGATCTTTTTATTTGTCACTGCTGAATTAACATAGCAAGAAGAACATACTTCTGGAATTATTATAAGTTTTGCCGTAGATGGGATGGGAGAAATGGTGCTTCCACTTCTGGATCGTAGCTAGTTTCTACTTTCTAGATAAGCAAGTTGATTCTCAGAAAATTATTGTTACCTATATCATAATTTATAAATTTGAATTTGAATAAAATTTCAAACATGATTATATCCCGCTTAATAAACAGAAAAAAAAAATCCACACTCCAAAAAATATTACAACAAACAATTAAAATCGGAATGAATAACGTAAAAATACACAATGAATCAATGATATCCAACAATCACATCATCCATCTTTAGCGATAAACAGTAAACACACGCTGCTCATTTTTCCACACACACCGCTCAGCTCTTTGTTCGTTTTTTTTTGTTTTGGTTGGTGACCAATTATATTTCAAGGCACTCTTTGTAGTATAAGCCACATTTATAAGTATATTTTCACTGAGAACGATAGAACCTATATTCTTTGTTTCTAGATAGAGACTTTGATGCATATATTCTTAAATTTAGACGTCAAAGCCACTTTGTTGCTTCCAATTATATATCACCAACGTAGGATTAGTAATCTAAGTTCAATATTATCATCAATTTATATTTTTTATTATTTTGTTTTAGAAATATATATATATATATTTCTCTAAAGAAAGTTCATAAGTCGATGCAAAATTAGCCACAATACTTTGGGATGAAAATCGCCGCCAAGATATATAAGACCGTCTGAAATCGTATACTAATATTTACGAACGGACACGCATCACTAATTTATGACTTGTGAGTTGTGACTAAGCCGTCCCTAATTGCCGGACGGATTTACGATGACGGGAAAACAACTATCGTTATATCATATTCATAAGAGACTAGAAATGGATTCGACTGTCACTTATCAGCTGTTTTCTTATAATATAAATACACATCATATATATACATAAATAGCAGAATCTTCCGTATTTTCCAGTCTTAAACGTATACGAAATCTTCTATTTCTAACACTGCCTATATTTCACCAACTGGATAAAAAAAAAATTACTATCCGGCCGTTATATATTAACAAAAAAAAGGCAACAATGGTGAGATGGGTTAATCTCCTTATAAACTTTTATGAAAGTTTCTACTGTAATAGAGACACGTAGCACATAGGTCACATGTAATTAATTGTCTCTATAACCTTTTTTTATTTATCTTTTTTTTTGTCTCCATAACCTTAAAGACAATAAAAATATAATCCCTAACACATCAGTAGAGAAACCGAACAAATTAAACACGAAGCCCCAAAAGACAAGGATAAGAGAGACTGTTACTTTGCTCTCTCTCTCAGTCTAGAGTCGATCTACATTCTCTGAAGCAAAGCAATGATGACGGAGGAGAGAGAGGATATGTTGTCGTGGCCTCTGATCGGGGAGAAAAAGGAGAGAGGTAGATTAGTAAAGGAGGAAGTGAAGAAACAGCTACTGTTGTCTGGGCCTTTAATCGCAGTGAGTCTTCTTCAGTTTTGTCTGCAAATAATCTCAGTCATGTTCGTCGGACATCTTGGCTCTCTTCCTCTTTCTGCCGCCTCCATTGCCACCTCCTTCGCCTCAGTCACCGGCTTCACCTTCCTTGTTAGTCCTTTTGTCTAGCTAATCATTATTTTTCTTTCCTAATAATTTATTCTTTTACAACAAAGTTTTTATGAGATCCGAGAATTATTAGGTATAGTAATATCTAATTATTCATTTCTCTCTACTTTAAAAATATTTAAAAATATCGATTGTCGTTAATCGGGTGCGCTATAATGCTGCCTGAGTCTAGACACCGATTATTTTTCGTATTTAATTAATAAAAAAAGTTAAATACCATTAATCAGTCGAGTATTCTTAAAAAAATCTGCTAATTGCTGCTTAAATGCAAGATTTTTGCCGTCAAAAGAGAAGTGCAAGATTTCTGTGAATTAATTTTTGCATTGATAACACCCCACACCGGTACATTTGGGGTGTTATCAATGCAAAAATTAATTCACAGAAATCTTAGAAACCTTTTTTTTTTTTTTTTTTTTTTTTTTTTTTTTTGAAATCTTAGAAACCTAATACTTATTAAATCAAATTCTTAGAAACCTAATACTTAAAACTGCTAAAGCAAGTATGATAATATGCTGGTTTTAACTTTACATGCAGTTTAAGTCTGAAACTTGATTGGGTGGTTATTTTCTACGTCTTACAGAAATCTAACTTTTAATTAACATATATCTAAATGAGAGATAAAATAAAAATAACTGCTGATATAGAATATTCAGCTACGATGTAGCTATCAAGCCATCTTGTCTGAATTTCCAAGTTGCATACGCATATTTGATTTTTTTATGCTACTCCAATTAGGTACAAGAACAAAGACATTTTGTCATTTTTAGGAGAAATGCGAAAACACCAAAAATAAACAAGAAAAGGTGTTTGTATATAAATATTTTTTTTTTTTTTTTTTTTTTTTTGCTACCCCACATGTCTTCATTGCATGGTAAATGATATGTTAATTCAGAAAAAAAAGTTATGCAGAGTCCAAATTTACAATCGAACGATGTGAAACTGAAGAATTGCGTTGAACACTTACTTGTAAACCAAGAAATCTAATCGTAAGAAAACTATTCACCTTTGAACAGATGGGAACATCAAGTGCGTTGGACACAGTTTGTGGTCAATCGTACGGGGCAAAAATGTACGGAATGTTAGGCATACAGATGCAAAGAGCAATGCTTGTTCTTACTCTTTTCTCTATTCCTCTCTCCATCGTTTGGGCCAACACAGAGCACTTCCTTGTCTTCTTCGGCCAAGACAAGTCCATTGCACACCTCTCTGGCTCCTACGCCAGATTCATGATCCCTAGCATCTTCGCCTACGGTCTTCTTCAATGTCTCAACAGGTTTTTGCAGGCGCAGAACAATGTGTTTCCTGTGGTGGTTTGTTCTGGAGTCACCACTTCTCTTCACGTGATCATCTGTTGGGCCTTGGTGTTAAAGTCTGGTTTAGGGTTTAGAGGAGCTGCTGTGGCGAATGCGATCTCCTACTGGCTTAATGTCATTCTCTTGTCGTGTTACGTCAAGTTTTCGTCTTCTTGCTCATTGACCTGGACTGGTTTCTCTAAGGAGGCTCAGCACGATATCATCCCTTTTATGAAGCTAGCTATTCCTTCTGCAATTATGGTTTGGTAAGCCTAATAACAAAATGCCTAACTAATTAATTAGTATCCTTTTATAGTATCTTTATTTTTGGTGATGTTGTTTGATGAGCAGCTTAGAGATGTGGTCCTTTGAGCTTTTGGTTCTCTCGTCAGGACTTCTTCCGAACCCGGTTCTAGAAACTTCTGTCCTCGCAATCTGGTAAGAACAATACATGTATATATTTGTAGTAATTGTTATCTCGTTGTCATAATTCAGAACCAAATTTAGTCATTACCTTGTGATTAAGTTTGGTAAGAAAATAAATTTGCAGCCTTAATACATCAGGAACAGTCTGGATGATCCCGTTTGGCCTCAGTGGCGCCGCAAGGTTAGTAACAACACTAGTAATTAGTAAGACATATATATAAGTATAACCAAATCATGTAACCTCAAGATTACTGTTAATTGCCTAAATCCACAGCACAAGGGTGTCAAATGAGTTAGGAGCAAGAAATCCGAAAGGAGCTAAGCTTGCGGTTCGCGTGGTCCTGAGCTTTTCCATCGTAGAGAGTATACTAGTTGGATCGGTTTTGATACTAATAAGGAAGATCTGGGGATTCGCTTACAGTAGTGACCCCGAAGTAGCCAGATATGTAGCCTCGATGTTGCCGATTCTTGCCTTAGGTCACTGCCTAGACAGCTTCCAAAGCGTTCTTTCAGGTTATATATATCTTCACTCAAAATAATTTATTTGCAAAGATTTCTTTGCTTGCAAGTAAAGACAAACCAACCTATAAATGTTTTTTCCCCGGTCAAAAGGGGTTGCTAGAGGATGTGGATGGCAGAAGCTAGGCGCTTTTGTGAATCTTGGAGCATACTATCTTGTCGGAGTTCCGTTCGGTTTGTTACTTGGTTTTCACTTTCACGTCGGTGGTCGGGTAATAAATCAATTAACCCAACTTAGATTCTCTCTTACCTCATCTCAAACTTTTCCAGTCAACTTATTTCAAAGTTACACATGTATGAACACCAACTTTTAATTTTAAGGGGCTTTGGCTGGGAATTATATGTGCACTCGTCGTTCAAGGTCTATGTCTTTCCCTCATCACCTTTTTTACAAATTGGGATGAAGAGGTAAAAAAGCAGTATACTTATTCTTTTTTTTTTTTTAATGAAATTTAACTATAGATTATACATATATCTTATAGTTACACTACAATGCTTTCGTGCTCCAACTCTATATGATTGTTATTGATTATGAATTTACTGTTTATTGGTTTATTTACTCGATAGGTCAAGAAAGCTACAAGCCGAGTTGAGTCTTCTTCAGATGTGAATGAAATTGCAGCAGACAACGGGTCAATTCTAATTGTACTCTGAGAGGCGGAATCCAAAGCTAAAAATTAGATCATACTTTATTATCTTCTTCGTTTTATGTTTTTGTATGTGAGTGTTAGTGTAAGTGTGGGTATAGTAAATAAAAGAGATTATTTAATCATAATATCATTGTTACTAATAATAATCATCAACATTCAAACATACATAGAGTAAGATCATTATTTCATTATTAATAGATTAAATTACACTATTTAGTATTTGTTACACGTATAATATAATACTATTTCATTATTAATAGATTAGTAATCTGACTTTTTTTTATAATTTGATTTGATTTAACAATCTGATTTTATTTTATTTGTTACTTTATTCTATAATAATTTTATTTCATTAGTCTAGTACTCTAGTGTATATAATTTGAGTTGTTCCCCTTAATTAGGGCTTTTCAATTGTTACAAACGCCGTCGATTTCTTGTTCGTAGGTATTTTAACAAGTGTATACATAATCAGCCACTGTTATTGAACGAAACCAAAGTCATGGTGAGAATAACAATGTACAGCAGAATTCTCAAATTTTCAAAACCCTACTTTTGGCGTGCGACGCAGAGTTCAAGCCGTTGCTTCAATTCACGAGCCCAATCCTATGATCTCATCACAAAGACGATCACTTCTTCTCTGCAAGACGTTTTAACACGACCCACTTGGCAAAATCGAAGCTTTGTTCAATGCAGAAGAGTTTCCTCCCATGCTCAGATGGCTTATGATCATCAATCTGTGACGATTGAGAAATTTGATGCTTTGTGTGAAGAAGTGAAGATAAGAGAAGCCTTGGAAGTTGTTGATATCTTGGAGGATAATGGATATGTAGTGGATTTTCCCAGGATTTTAGGGTTAGCTAAACTATGTGGTGAAGTAGAGGCTTTGGAAGAAGCTAGGGTTGTTCATGACTGTATCACTCCTTTAGATGCTAGATCTTACCACACGGTAATCGAAATGTATTCTGGTTGTGGATCCACTGATGATGCTTTGAAGGTGTTCGACGAAATGCCTGAGAGGAATTCAGAGACTTGGTGCATTATGATGAGGTGCTTAGCGAAGAACGGAGAAGGCGAACGCGCAATTGATATGTTTACGAGTTTCAAAGAGGAAGGGAACAAACCCGACAAGGAGATATTCAAAGCGGTTTTCTTTGCGTGTGTTTCTCTAGGAGACATTAACGAGGGATTATTGCATTTTGACTCTATGTACAGAGATTATGGTATCATTCCTAGTATGGAAGACTATGTGAATGTAACCGAGATGTTAGCAGCTTGTGGTCATTTGGATGAGGCATTGGAGTTTGTTGAAAGAATGACGCTGGAACCGAGTGTTGAAATGTGGGAAACACTGATGAATCTTTGTTGGGTTCATGGAGATTTAGAGCGTGGGGATAGGTTTGCCAAGTTAGTGAAGAAACTAGATGCCTCAAGAATGAACAAAGAGTCAAATGCAGGTCTTGTAGCAGCAAAAGAATCAGACTCTACAAAGGAGAAACTTAAGGAAATGCGATATTGTCAGATGATGAGAGACGACCCAAAATTGCGTATCTGTCAGTTTAGAGCAGGAGATACTTCACATCGGAAGAATGACGAAACCGTTGCTGCATTGAGGAGTTTGAAAGTGCAAATGTTAGATATGGGTTTTGTCCCTGCGACTCGGGTTTGTTTGGAAAAAGTCGAAGAAGAGGAAAAAGAGGAACAACTTCTTTTTAGAAGCAACAAGCTTGCCTTTGCTTACGCGCTCCTTCATTCAAATGCTCGGAAACCATTTACTGTTACACAAGATATGCGAACCTGTATTGATGGCCACAATACATTTAAGATGATCTCACTGATAACCGGCAGAGAACTGACACAGCGAGATCAACGTAGATTCCACCATTACAGAAACGGGGTCTGCTCCTGCCGAGATTACTGGTGAGCTCTATGGTTCTTCAAAACCTACATCTCCTCAACTTCAAATGGTGATTTTACTTAGCTTGTTAGAGATTTTCTTCCTTATTCTTTTAATAAATTTCTAGAATATGACTGAATGTTTCTTTCCCAGAACGTTGGTATATATCGGTTGGAAAATAAATTCAGGATTAACATTTCGATGCTTTAATCAAAAACAAATTAATATCGCCACAAAATATACTGTCATTGTCAGATGGTGATTTTGCCAATGTGTGAAGAGTTTATCAATTTTTTTAACTACAGATTTTATGGTTGAATGTGAGCATCGTCGTCTTCGAATATATATCTGAGATGGTTTTATTCGAATAAACTTCAAAAGACATTGCAGAGAAGAAGATGAAATTAGGCTGCTGTAAAGACAACGAAGCAGACATGACTTTGGCTTGACGTGCAAGTCATATCCTACACATTAGGGTCTGAGAGATGCTCTGTTTTATCTCAGTCACAATGCCAATGCGACGATCCTAAAATTATAAACGAAAATCAATTTTAGATTAAAAAAATTTTGGAGTCTCGTGTGAGGAGCCCACAACGAAGGTCAGGCCCAGTTAAAGCCCACCAACTGAAGCGGCAATCACCGTCGTTTAAGCCGACAACACGACGGTATCAAGCTGTTTTTGGGAGACTGTGTTGCGTGGTCTCGTTTTTAAGCTATCTTCATCATCAAGTTTTGTTCTTTTGCGTGGTTAATTAATGGAAGATTCAATCATCAAACCCTATTAGCTGCGATCGATTCCTAGACGCACCAGACGAATTCTTTTACGACAGCTTCGCGACCCACTACGATTCCGACTGCCTCAATTCGTCTCCCGCCGCGAATATCCTTCGCCGAAGGTTGGTTATGGATACGGATTCGTCTTCTTCCTCTTCTACTACATTGGAATCTTTTGAGAAACGGAGCTCCGTGGGAGAAAATGACGAGCTTGAGGTTTCTATAAGGAATTTCGAAACAATTGAGAATGATGTCGATGTTACTGACTCTGCAGATAGCTCAATCGACCCAGTTCAGGAAAAAGGGGAAGACTTTGAAGTTATTGACTCGTGTATCGATACGGAGAAGAATACGGATATGAATGATTCGGGTCGGGTTGACCCGTTTACAGCATTCACCTTGAATGATGAGCGAGGTGAGGTTTATACCGGACCGGAATCTCCTTCGACGGATTGGTCTTTGACCAGGCTAGTGATCAGGTCAATTGAATTTCAAGTTAGTTTGATGATTAGCTTTATAAGGTTTCCTCCATGGTTAATTAGTAACTGCTTGAGCTTTGTTTTTCATCCATATCGAACAATGAGGCGTGGTAGACGCTATTTAGTATCGTGGATTGTTGAGTTATGTGATTCAGGTTTAAAATATGATAAGCCTGTGTTGGAGCTTGTGCAGAAGTTAGCATGGGGTTTGTTTTGTGCTGTTTATGTGGGGATCATGTTGTTTACCTTGTTGGTTTCTGCGTTTATGATTAGTGGTTTTGTGATTACTTATTTGGCTCATGAACCACTTGTAATCAAGGAGAGCTTGAATTTTGATTACACCAAGAGTAGTCCAGAAGCTTATGTGCCCATAAGTTCATGTGCTGGTATTGCCTTTGATTTTAGTGGCAAGGAGAGTATTGAAACCGGGAAGATCAGAGGTTTGAAGGACAAGACAGAGATCACTGTCTCCATGACATTGCCTGAGTCTGAGTACAATAGAAATCTTGGGATGTTTCAGGTTCGGGTGGACTTCTTATCCGCGAGTGGTGAAATGCTTGCTAGTTCAAGGAGGCCGTGTATGGTAAGATTTAGAAGCGAGCCTATACGTCTTGTCCAGACTTTGCTAAAGATTGCTCCGCTTGTCACGGGCTATGTCTCTGAAATTCAAACCTTGAACTTGAAGCTTAAAGGCTTGGTCGAAAAGGACATTATTCCTACTGCTTGCTTGAAGGTAATGATTGAACAACGGGCAGAGTTTCGTCCTGGAGCAGGTATTCCAGAGATTTACGATGCATCTCTGTTGCTTGAATCCAAACTTCCTTTCTTCAAAAGGATCATATGGAACTGGAGGAAAACTTTGTTTGTCTGGATCAGCATGAGTTTGTTCATAATGGAATTGCTTTGCGCCTTAGTTTTCTTCAGACCTCTGATCATCCCAAGAACTGGTCAGAGTACACAACAAAGAGATAGAACACATTCTCTCAACAACTTAAATCTTGACAGTCAGGCGGGAAGTAGATGAATCAGTGGTTGACTAGTTGTTGTAACGGTACTTACACTTGCTGTAAATTTAGTTTCTTCTTCAACCAAAATTGTAATATCTTGCCTGCTAATTGAAGTCGCATTGTCCGAATAAACTTTTAAGTTTCTTGAATCGTTTTTATAAGTCACAATGATACAGACTTCTAATTTGATTTACAGTGTACTTGCACAGTTTGTGTTGATAATGATTAGTTACAATGAGGAGCAGTGAACAGATTTAAAGATGCAAGAACCAGGATTGACCTTAAAGATTGATCTACATCATCACAAAGGAAGATCGGTAACTCGTTTATGAGAAGATCCTGTCTTGGAGAACTCTGGTTCTGCGTTCTGTATAGACGGTAACATTTTATGAATCAAGGCCCCAGAGACCGCACCAAGTGTTGGAGCCAGCAAGTATATCCAAATCCCTTTGTAACATCCCCACACTAGTGCTGGCCCTATGCTTCTTGCTGGATTCATTGAGGCTCCTGATACCTCTCTGAAAAATGAAAGTTTGGATTATTCCCATTGGTTAGCTAAAAAGATTCTTACCATTGAAGACTTTTGAGCTTAGAGAGATTGAGGGGGAAATGTGAAACTTACCCGGCAAAGATAACATTCAGTGTGACGGCTGCCCCAATGATTAACCCCTCTAGTTCCTCAGTCTGCAAGATTGATCAATGTTAAGATTGAACTTTATATATATCATCTGATCATGAAGTGTTTTTGGTTGTTGATCGCTTACAGTTCTCTTGGTAGTTGTGACGGCACAGATGACTAACATGAGGAAGCCGGTAATGATGAACTCCATCACGAATGCTTGAAGATCAGACCCAGAAGGAGATGACCCGAGGAAGACATCATGTTTCTTGCTGCAGACATCATTGTTCAGATCAAACAGAAGACGGAGAGTCGCAGAGGCCAAGGTTGATCCGATGACTTGAACAGTTATGTAGGCCGGGACTTGATTCAGAGGGAATCTTTGGGAGGATGCTAAGGCAAGAGTGACAGCAGGATTGAAATGTGCAGAGATGTGGCCGAGACAGTAAACAAGAACCATTACCACTATACCCCAAACCACTGCAATGCCCACAAGAGTCACTACATGGTTGTGTTGAGCATTCACGGCAATAGCAGCACAACCCGCGAATATCAAGTAATAAGTTCCCACGAGTTCCGCCATAAGCTGCAGATTGATTTCTTATCGTTACTATCAGTTAAAACGAATACTTGAAAAAGAGAAGCTTGTAAGAGTGGATTAAGCTTCTTTTTTTTTCTCAAGGGACTGAAAAGAACTCACCTTTTGCAAGAAATGGACAGAGATCAATGGCGAGGATGATGACTCGTATTTGGTGTCTGCAACAGAGGAAGCTTCGATGTTGAGTACAACAACATTTCCATGGTTGCTCTTGCTAACGGATATGTCATCCATTTGTCGTTTAGGTTTTTTTTTTTGTTGCTGCTTAATCAGAGTAATAGAAAGAAGGACAAGAGACAGTAAGCTTTGATTGATGTTTGAAGTGTTGTGTTTGATAGTAATGAGATTTCTGCCTTTTATAGTGTCTTTACCAAAACCAAATAAGAAAGAAAACAAAGTGAATAAAAGTCAAATTTTGCTTTTTTGTGGGCAACTTGGTAAAGCAAAATCATGGTTGATTGGATGTATAATATTTTAAATAAAATAAAAGCTTAATACTGCTGAATTGAAGCAGATGGTTTTGGGAAGCAAAAAACATAGGTCGACACCAAATAGATAAATGTTATTTTATGTTAAGAAACAGTCGAATCCAATTCAAGTTATCGGTTAGGTTCCTGGTTTTTTGTGTGCTTCCAGTTTTGTTAGTTCAAGATTATAATATACACTATGCATACACCAACTTGAGGGAAATTGCGTTATTGTGCAGGTTAACAAAAGTCAAAACCATAGGATATAATGCTAACTGAAAGATTATATTAGATTATATTTACATGTTAAAATTATCTGGGATCAAATCATAAGCTTGACCCGTATTCGAATCGAACCATAAGCTTAATACATATGATTAATAAGAACTAATTTCACATGAGGTCGAATAAAAGAATTAAACTAATCAGTAATCACTCCAAAGCAGCTTGACCCGTATTCGAACCTAAACCCAAACCCATATCCGAACCTAAACCTGATCCTGAATCCGAAACCGAGCCTGACTTTTGAATTCAGTTTGTGCCACATGCGACTCTTCTGAGCTAGCAAATGCTCAAACCAGAGAAACTAGCGTTCTCCATTTACCGCCAATTCTCTCAACTCAAACCTAGACAACTTGAGGAAGCACGACGCGGCGATCTTGAGAGGGACTTTCTTTTCCTGTTGAAAAAATGCATCTCCGTGAACCAATTGCGAGAGATTCAAGCCCAGATGTTGTTACACTCCGTCGAGAAACCCAATTTTCTGATTCCCAAGGCCGTCGAACTTGGAGACTTCAATTACGCTTCTTTTCTCTTGTCCGTCACGGAACAACCAAACCACTACTCTTTCAATTACATGATCCGAGGGTTGACCAATACGTGGAATGATCACGAAGCTGCCCTGTCTCTGTATCGACGGATGAAGTTTTCTGGGTTAAAGCCTGATAATTTCACTTATAATTTTGTTTTCATTGCTTGTGGGAAGCGTGAGGAGATAGGGGTTGGTAGATCTGTTCATTCCTCGTTGTTCAAAGTCGGATTAGAAAGAGACGATCATATAAATCATTCTTTGATTATGATGTATGCGAAATGTGGTCATGTGGGTTATGCCCGGAAGGTGTTCGATGAAATTACTGACAGAGTTACTGTGTCTTGGAACTCGATGATCTCTGGGTATTCTGAGGCGGGTCACGCAAAAGACGCTATGGATTTGTTTAGGAAGATGGAGGAGGAAGGATTTGAACCAGATGAGAGGACGTTGGTGAGTATGTTGGGTGCTTGTGCACATTTGGGTGATTTGAGAACTGGTAGATTGGTGGAGGAGATGGCCATTACGAAGAAGATCGGGTTAAGCACGTTTCTCGGGTCTAAGTTGATCAGTATGTATGGAAAATGCGGTGATTTGGATTCTGCTAGAAGGGTTTTTAATCAAATGATTAAGAAGGATCGTGTTGCTTGGAATGCTATGATCACTGTGTAAGTCAATGTTCTAACACTATATTCAGATAAAGTATGATTCTTTTACCCGTTAATGAAGCTAAATTTGGACTATTTCGCTTGTTCTTTATCAGATACTCACAAAATGGGAAGTCAAGTGAGGCTTTTAAACTGTTTTCTGAGATGGAAAAAACCGGAGTTTCCCCAGACGCGGGCACATTGTCTACGGTTCTGTCTGCTTGTGGTTCAGTTGGAGCTCTTGAATTAGGCAAACGAATCGAGACCCACGCATCAGAAATTTCCTTGCAACATAACATCTATGTGGCCACAGGACTAGTCGATATGTACGGAAAGTGCGGACGCGTAGAGGAAGCTCTGAGAGTATTTGAAGCTATGCCAGTGAAAAACGAAGCCACTTGGAACGCTATGATAACTGCTTATGCGCATCAAGGACATGCTAAAGAAGCTCTTTTGCTGTTTGATCGAATGTCAGTTCCTCCAAGTGATGTTACATTCATAGGAGTGCTCTCTGCTTGTGTGCACGCGGGTTTGGTCGATCAGGGCTGTCGATATTTCCATGAGATGAGTTCTATGTTCGGGTTGGTCCCAAAAATCGAGCATTACACAAACATAATCGATCTCCTGTCTCGTGCGGGGCTGTTAGATGAGGCTTGGGAGTTCATGGAGAGGTTTCCTGGGAAGCCTGATGAGATCATGTTAGCAGCGATCCTTGGAGCGTGTCATAAGAGAAAAGATGTTGCGATCAGAGAGAAGGCGATGAGGATGTTGATGGAGATGAAAGAGGCGAAAAACGCAGGAAACTATGTAATATCTTCGAAGGTTTTAGCTGATATGAAGATGTGGGATGAGTCCGCGAAGATGAGGGCGTTGATGAGAGACAGAGGCGTCGTTAAGACACCAGGATGCAGCTGGATTGAGATCAACGGTGAGTTAATGGAGTTTCTTGCCGGAAGCGATTATTTACAGTGTGGCAGGGAAGATTCAGGTTCGTTGTTCGGTTTGTTGGTGGAGGAGATGAAGAGGGAAAGGTATGATTGTGCAGGAGAAGTTTGATTTTTGTTGTTCCATTCACATGCGTCTGGCTTGTTGAGAGTGTAAGTCTAGTCAAATTTCGTGTAAGTTTTAAATTAAATATATATGAAAATTAAAACTAAAAATTATAGAATCCAAAACTAAAAATTAAAAATTCGTTACAAATTTTCAAAGAACAGTGAAGAGAAAACATGATTCGCTTTCATCGTTTGGTCGTTTATTATATTTGTTTTATTGTCATTAAATGCAAATACTTTAAATCTATAATTAGTTATGTTCCCCTCTAGTTATTTACTTAATTATCAATAATCTAGTTTTTGTTCGTATTATTTTTAGTGTAATCTCCGATTCTTAAAATTAGTAGAGAAAGGAAAAAAAACCGAACGGACCAGAAAAGAGAACATCGCCAAACCAACAACCGTTTGGGTGAGCTTGACGAGAACGACGTCGCACCCGCCATTTTCTCCTTCCTTGAAGCAACACCTTCTTCACTTCAGATCTCTTCTTCTTCTTCTTCTTTGTTCGCACCTTCCCTGCTGCTCTATTCCAAGGGTTTCGAATCCTGTGCCTCAGTTTTTAAATCTAGAGGTCGAATTCGATACCTTGGATCCGACGGTGGATTTGAAATCACTCTCCCTGTCTCTTCCCATCTTTTTGGTTTCCAGTTTTTTTATTGAAGATCCCTTCGTGGATCCACTATAATGGCGGATTCTGAGCCAATCACGCCTGGTCAGGTAGCGTTTTCTTAAATTTCATTGTTTGTTGCTAACTTCTTTCACGGATTCATAGATTTGGAATAAATAGTTTATGTTGAATGTGATTTCTACTATAATCGTTAGGTTGTCGAGTAATTGAATTAACAATTTGGATTAGTTTACTAGAGAGATCAGATTTTGCTACTGTCTTCAAATGTAGTAGCTTTCAACTTTGAATTTGAATATGTTTCTCACCAGAGATTTGGTTTGGATGCCCCAACATAATTCATGTACTGTATCTTTCTTGATATCTTCTATTTCTTCAATGAAGGTTTCGTTTCTGCTCGGAGTCATCCCTGTCTTCATAGCATGGATATACTCGGAGTTCCTAGACTATAAGAGGTCTTCATTGCATTCTAAAGTGTATGTATTGGGAATCTAATTTAAATGGCTCGCTTGTTATGTATCTAGCTTGTTAGTAACTATACCTCTTACTTGCAGTCATTCAGATAACAATTTGGTTGAACTTGGTGAGGTGAAAAACAAGGAAGATGAAGGAGCTGTTTTACTTGAAGGAGGTCTTGCAAGATCTGTATCTACAAAGTTCTATAACTCACCTATTAAAACAAACTTGATTAGGTAGTTTTAGGGGCTTCTTCTTTTTTTTTGGTTTTTTAGAGTGGAGTGTTCTTTCAACAAACATAAACCATTTACATTTGTCGACTTGTAGGTTTCTAACGCTGGAAGACTCTTTCTTGATTGAAAATCGAGCAACCTTGAGAGCGATGTAAGTTCCTTAATTTTATCAGAATGGACTGATGTTGTTCTTCATTCTCTCTCATGACTGTATTATTTCCTTTCAGGGCTGAGTTTGGAGCAATTCTTTTTTACTTTTATATTAGCGATCGAACAAGCTTGCTTGGAGAGTCTAAAAAGGTGCCTCCTTTAAATTTATTTGATGAATTCCCTTTATCTGTTTCAACTGGTCATCAAAATTTTAAAACAATTTATGTGTTATATATGGTATAATAGCTCATAGTATGTCGTTAATAGTGTAGAGGTGGAAAGCTAACATCTGAGTCTTAAAAGGGTTCTGCAATTTGTGACGCTATCTTTCGTATACTCTCCATTTGCAGAATTACAACAGAGATCTTTTCCTTTTTCTCTACTGTCTTCTCATCATAGTGGCATACATGACATCCTTGAAGAAACACAATGACAAATCCCCTATTACAGGAAAATCCATTCTCTATCTTAATCGTCACCAGACTGAAGAGTGGAAGGGATGGATGCAGGTAACTGATTCAATCTTTTCTCAGTACGTGACCTTTACATTTTCACATGTTTTTGCTCCTGCTTCGCAGAATATATCTGAGTTTCTTGATATCACCTTTAAATGTTTTGTGTGTGTTGCAACTGTTTTTCATGCTAATTTACCGTTTTTGTGTCTTTGCAGGTTTTATTTCTGATGTATCATTACTTTGCTGCGGCTGAGATATATAATGCAATCAGGGTTTTCATTGCTGCCTACGTCTGGATGACTGGGTTTGGGAACTTCTCGTATTACTATATCAGAAAGGATTTCTCCCTAGCACGATTTACTCAGGTCATTTCAATTGCACAGTTAATTTAGTTTACCATGATATATACTTCTAAGAGACATGTTTTTTCGATGACTCAAGATGCTCATGAAAACTTTTACTTCTTCCAGATGATGTGGCGTCTTAACTTATTTGTGGCGTTTAGCTGCATTATTCTCAATAATGATTATATGTTATACTACATCTGTCCAATGCACACTCTGTTCACTCTCATGGTGTATGGAGCCCTTGGTATCTTCAGTCGGTACAACGAAATACCATCAGTAATGGCTTTGAAGATTGCTTCATGCTTTCTAGTGGTTATCGTGATGTGGGAGATTCCTGGAGTTTTTGAGATTTTCTGGAGTCCTCTAACATTCTTACTGGGTCAGTATCAGACTTTTCTCATATGTTATACTGATTCCGGCATGGTCGACTGCTTGTCCGTCTCGTGCTAAAACAATTTTCCTGTCAATGTTTGGATGCCACTTGGTCATTGGGATTAGTGTTTTTGTATGTTGACTAACATTTAGTTTTTTTCTTCCTTACACAACTACAGGATACACTGATCCGGCTAAACCAGATCTACCACTTTTACATGAATGGCACTTCAGATCAGGACTTGACCGCTACATATGGATCATTGGAATGATATATGCCTATTTCCATCCAACTGTAACTCTTGAACCTACGGCCCTCACGTTTTTCATATCTTCTCATGAACCCTACCATTAAAATATTTTCCGACATTTTCATTTCAGGTAGAGAGATGGATGGAGAAATTGGAGGAGTGTGATGCCAAGAGAAAGATGTCAATAAAGACAAGCATAATTGCAATTTCCTCATTTGTGAGTTTGGCTTCTCTTTGGCTTATGGATCTTATGTATTTGATATTATTCTGATACCCAAGTTGTTCCGTATATTGTTCAGGTTGGTTACCTATGGTATGAATACATATACAAGCTTGACAAGGTTACATACAACAAATATCACCCCTACACATCGTGGATTCCAATAACGTCAGTATCAAAACCCTTTTTCTTTCACCCCAAACGTCAAACCTTGAGATGTTTTCCTTTCTAGATTCTGACTTTAGCTTTGATTCTGTTGTCTTAGCGTCTACATCTGTCTGCGAAATTCCACACAACAGCTGCGAAATTTCTCCCTGACACTCTTTGCGTATGTTTCTCAGTCTTCGTCTCATTTCAACCAAGCTTAGTGTTTTTTTCTGAACACATCTCTAATATGGCACGACTTTCATATCTTCCTAGGTGGCTCGGCAAGATTACTCTGGAAACCTATATTTCTCAGTTTCACATCTGGTTAAGGTCGGCGAGAATCTGTTTCCTTTCTCCCAATTATGTAGGCATGAGACCATTTGTATGAAGGATCTAGGAATGAAATTTTAACTGCAAATTGCGTGTTCTGCAGATCGAATGTGCCAAATGGACAGCCTAAGTGGCTATTATGCATTATTCCAGAATACCCAATGCTCAACTTCATGCTCGTCACAGCCATCTATGTCTTGGTAAAGCAATCGTAGAATCCATGAAGAAACCATGTATCCACTCTACGTTATATTATTGTAATTTATTCTCTTGATTTGTTTTCTTCAGGTGTCTCATCGACTTTTCGAGCTTACAAATACGTTGAAGTCTGTTTTCATACCAACAAAAGATGACAAGAGACTGCTCCACAATGTTCTCGCTGGAGCTGCCATCTCGTTCTGTTTATATTTAACAGCTCTCATTCTTCTCCAGATCCCACACTAACCATGTAAGGCCTTTTACTCTGCCTGGTCCATTGTAGCTGTTGTTGATCTTGGAATGTACTCGCTTAGGAAGAGATACAATTCTCGATTAACACGCTATAACCATTTTATTTTGACAGGAGGGACTATAAACATGTTGAAAACATGAATCTAAAGCTGCACAGAGGTTTCTATGTGAAACTTGGTAAAATAGTTACAACACACATCTCATATCGACAATAAATTTTTTTTTCAAAGATCAGTATTTTTTGAAGCTTGCCAACTGAAGCATTCTTTCGGATAATTAGAACCAGAGAGAAGCTTCAGAAAGTGGCTTAGAGTGAAGCATCTTGTGGCATTTCGACGGCATCATCTTAGGACCACTTGTCTTGTTCGTTTTCTTTCTCATCTCTGTTGTAATTTTGCTATAAGTTTCTAATATATAGTTTCATTTGCCTTTTGTATGTCCGTATTTGGTAGATTGTCCAAATACAGAACATATATCATCTGCAATTGCATGAATGGAAAATTCAATTCAACCGAGTCTAAAGATAAAACGCCAACACAGTTAGAGAAAAAGAGGTTCGATTTCTGATAAATCATACAAAGATACCACAAAGGAAATTTCACAAATTTACATAGGAAAGACCACAAACAAACTCTCTTTCTCTGCTCTCATTCACATAATTATCTCGCTTACTTTCCGGGGACGAAGTTGGTGGCGAAGGCCCATGCGTTGTTGTTGACTGGGTCGGCCAAATGGTCGGCGAGGTTCTCCAAAGGTCCCTTTCCGGTGACGATGGCTTGAACGAAGAATCCAAACATAGAGAACATAGCCAACCTTCCGTTCTTGAGCTCCTTCACCTTCAATTCCGCGAAAGCCTCGGGGTCAGTAGCGAGGCCCAATGGGTCGAAGCTGCCACCTGGGTAAAGCAAGTCCTCTGCTTCTCCCAATGGGCCATTTCCGGCGACTCTGTAGCCTTCAACAGCTCCCATGAGGATCACTTGAGTAGCCCAAATGGCTAAGATGCTCTGAGCGTGGACCAAGCTCGGGTTACCCAAGTAGTCCAATCCTCCGTCGCTGAAGATCTGCGAACCGGCCTTGAACCAAACCGCTTCTCCGAACTTCACTCCGTTCCTAGCCAATAGCTCAGGGAAAACGCAGCCTAGGGCTCCGAGCATGGCCCATCTGCTGTGGATAACTTCTAGCTCACGGTTCCTGGCGAAGGTCTCTGGGTCGGCGGATAGACCGGCGGTGTCCCATCCGTAGTCACCGGGGAACTCTCCGGTAAGGTAGCTCGGGGGCTCGCCGGAGAATGGACCCAAGTACTTGACACGGTCAGATCCGTACCATGGGCTGCCTGATGGACCCTTTGGCTTGGCGACAGTCTTCCTCATTGTCACACGGCCGCTTCCGAGGACATCTGATGCCGCCGGCTTCACAGCCTTTCCGGCGAAGGCAGGGGAGGACAAAGCCATGGTTGAGGAAGCCATTAGAATCTTTCTTCTTCTTTTTTTGTTTTTCTGTTTTTTTTATGTTGTGACTGGTGAGAGTGATTGAAAATGGTTGGGGTATAGGTCCACTTTATAGCAATCTTAAGAGTAAGGTTTGTTATCTGTGAAGTATCTGTATCTGTTTACTGATTGGCTTATGAGATTTTGAGATTGTCGTTATCTTATCCTATGTGTCACTCTCTAGTCCATAAGCTTTTGCTAGATTCTTTTAGCTGAAATGAAGACACTTGTCATTTGTTTGTACACAGGGAACTTTGGGTAAATATCCAAAAATAAATGTTTGAATCCCATTATAAGAAGGAAATCTTGTATAACCTATTTCTTTCTCTTTTTTTCTTTAAGTCCAACCCATTTCATAATATTTTTCCTTCTTTTTCTATTAAGTTTGTTTCGGACGCCAAACTACAAAGTTTTTTAAAGTGATACTACAAAACCTTATATTGTTATGTAAAACAATGCATTTTAGATGAAACAAAACAAAAAGTGATACGAAGTTTTTACGTTAATAAGTTAATACTTAATAGCATAAACCGTCGACAATTATATTAAATAAATCACTCTTGATTGATTCTGTTGAATGTTTTCCGCAACAAAAATGACTGGTAAGATTTTCTTACCAACTTCAAAATACGAATTAGAAAGCATGTGTTTGAAGATGAAATGTCAAATATATGTCATTTTCTTATACTTTGTTATGCAAGATTAAATCTTCTGTATTTTCTATTATGACAAATGTAGAGTAGTTCTTTTATATAGATAATTAACAAACCTACATGTCATTAATCAATTTTCGCTCATATTTCACATTTTGGTGAAAGAGTGGGTGGTATGGATCAATCTAAGTTTTTGGACTTTGGTATCATCATGTTGTTTTGATTGTTTGATGACATGTCCATTTGGGAAACACCAGTGACGATAATAAGAAATCATACAATGACGTGTACCTTGAGACTACACGACTCAAACGGATAGAAACACGTCAGATTTACACGTGGCACGTCTTCAATGGGTATTCCAATATGCTAAGACCACTATACGAGATATCTAATTATCTAACACAATTCAATTCCCAACTCCAAATCACAATGCCAGCTCGTCAAGACAAAAAAACTAAGCTCAAAAACGTCGACAACCAATAGAAATAAAGACATTGATGATATCCTTGAGATAAGCAAATCAAATCCTCAAGTTTACCGTTATTTTTCACATTATAAATACCCAAAAACCTCACCGTAACCTAACCACCCAATTCATCATAACAAACTTAACTAAAAACCTTTTACTTGCACTACACTCTCACCGCAATGGCCGCCTCGACAATGGCTCTCTCCTCTCCTGCTTTGGCCGGAAAGGCCGTTAAGCTATCCCCGGCGGCCTCCGAAGTATTTGGAACCGGCCGAATCACCATGCGCAAAGCCTCCAAACCCACTGGTCCATCTGGCAGCCCATGGTACGGATCTGACCGAGTCAAGTACTTGGGTCCATTCTCCGGTGAGCCTCCCAGCTACCTCACTGGAGAATTCCCCGGTGACTACGGGTGGGACACTGCCGGTCTATCCGCAGACCCCGAGACCTTCGCCAGGAACCGTGAGCTAGAAGTTATCCACAGCAGATGGGCCATGCTTGGAGCCCTAGGCTGCGTTTTCCCTGAGCTGTTGGCTCGCAATGGAGTGAAGTTCGGAGAAGCGGTTTGGTTCAAGGCTGGTTCGCAGATCTTCAGCGATGGAGGATTGGACTACTTGGGCAATCCGAGCTTGGTCCATGCTCAGAGCATCTTAGCCATTTGGGCCACTCAAGTGATCCTCATGGGAGCTGTTGAAGGCTACAGAGTCGCCGGAAATGGCCCATTGGGAGAAGCAGAGGACTTGCTTTACCCAGGTGGCAGCTTCGACCCATTGGGCCTTGCTACTGACCCCGAGGCTTTCGCGGAGTTGAAGGTGAAGGAGCTCAAGAACGGAAGGTTGGCTATGTTCTCTATGTTTGGATTCTTCGTTCAGGCCATTGTCACAGGAAAGGGACCGTTGGAGAATCTTGCTGACCACTTGGCCGATCCAGTCAACAACAACGCATGGGCCTTCGCAACCAACTTCGTCCCCGGAAAGTGAGTTTAATATGTGATCAAGTTGTGTGTATCTGGTTTGTTGAATCTTGGAAATGTGATGCAGATTTCATCTCTTGTAAATTACTTTGTAAGTGTGAAATATTTAAGAAGCTTTATGATATTGATGGATCAATCACTTACTAATGTGCAAGAACATACTTAGAGCTAATTCGGTGTTCACACAAAACATCTCTGTTCCATAAACAGAGATGACACAAAATAATTTGATCGTATCACATCACAGTCCAAACAAGTTTGTTTTTGTTTTTCAAAATATGATATATCTCAAACCATCCTGGTATGTTATTAACCTTCTTGCTCTTTCACTTTTGGTGTGACTTCTTTAATCGGATTATGATGTTGCATTGTTGGAAGTTTCGGTGATAATAAGTCAACAAAGTTGATTCAGTTCAAATGTTACTCTTGGTCATAATTATTCTCTTGTTTGAATTTTATTGCACGGAATTTATCGGCCTTGCAAGGTTTTTTTAAGCTTTATTTGGGTGTGTTGTCATGAAAATTGTCAAAGACTTTAGCATTGATAATGTGATTCGGAACGGAGTCTTGAAAGCATTTGTAGGTCTTATGGTCGACAGCGGCATTTGTGACTATACTCGTAAGTCATAACTCGAGAGACTCCTTTGGTCCTGTCCTCAGTGTTTTTGAGGGTAATATGCTTCTATTTCCTTTATGCAACAACATATTTTCACACACATCCACGTCTTGAAATTTGTTGAGGAATTACTTGGGATAGTAGTTTCTTCCACTTAGTCGGAAAGGAGAGAATTTTCTTACTATAATTCACAAACGAAAATCCAATGGAATTTGGTCTAATCTCATCAACACAAACTGAACCGATTTTCTGACAAAGTGGAAGAAACTACTATCCCAACTAAAATCAATACGGAGAATAACGACCACAATATAAAATAAACTTTTAAATTTGAATTTCTTTTCAATTCCATCAAAAAGAAAGAAAAGAAAAAAGTCTAACTATGAATGACATTTTATTCTTTATAAGGTAATGAATCCCACCTTTTGTCTATGTTCTTAAGATGGAATAGGGAAAAAATATGAATTGTTTAAGATTCATGTATGTTTTGAATACACAATTAGAAACTATTCATTAGAAAAGAAAAATGAAAATTTAAATATTCGTGAATGTTTGAATACACACAATTAGAAACTATTCAACGCCCATATAAGGCAATTTGAGATTTTCAATTAAAAACTTGCTAAATCTGCACCCATGTGAATTCTCCACCTCCATTACTATATATGATAGGGCCTCGTTAGGTTCAATGAAAATTATCTACCTCCATTACTAAAAAACAGAGAATACAATTTCAAGTCACAAAATCTTCTTCTTCACCAAACATATTTGCTTTCACAGCAAAAACCGGAGACTTTCTCTCTTATTCTTACCGTTTAGCAAACAAATGGGTCGGAGAAAGATCAAGATGGAGATGGTTCAGGACATGAACACACGTCAGGTTACCTTTTCAAAACGGAGGACTGGTTTGTTCAAGAAGGCGAGCGAGTTAGCCACGCTCTGCAACGCTGAGTTGGGTATCGTTGTCTTTTCACCAGGAGGCAAGCCTTTCTCCTACGGGAAACCGAATCTTGATTCTGTGGCAGAGCGATTCATGAGAGAATATGATGATTCAGACAGTGGCGATGAAGAAGAAAGTGGTAACAACAGGCCTAAACTGAAGAGGATGAGTGAACGTCTCGATTTGCTCAACCAAGAGATTGAAGCTGAGAAGAATCAAGGTGAGACGGATCAGGAGAAGCTTGAATCTGCTGGGGATGAGAGATTCAAGAATTCCATTGAGACACTTACCCTCGATGAACTCAATGAATACAAAGATAAGCTCCAGACAGTCCATGGTAGGATTGAATGTCAAGTCAATCACATGCAGGCTTCGTCTTGTCTCATGCTTCTCTCAAGAAAATAACTAGACCGACTTGTTGGGGTTACATTCTATTTTTTGTATCAGCCTACAGAAGTTACTCACACATGAAAGATACTGTTGCTGTAGAATTGTCTTCATCTATGGGGTGTGACTTTTTATTTGATATCAAATGAATGTAACTGAGAAATCGAAAAGTACCTGGAAATTTGTCTGTATTAATCTCAAGTGGACTTAATAAAACTTGATCATCTTTTTCACCACTCTGCAGTCTGGAAATTTTGTTTCAAACAGAATCGAGACAATAAAAAGAAACGGTAAACCCTTTGGCCACCACTCAAAGAAACTGGTTAGTATTCATTCTCCAAAAGCAATCCACAGAAGCATGAGTACCAGGGAAAGAATGATCTCAAAAACGAAACATAAACTTCTAAATTTCACCAATATACAAACCCATCCTAGAAGGCTTAGAACAATGTTTCTAATGTGGTAAAACTAAAATGTAATCTATTCAGAATATTCTGAGTCGGTCTCTGATTCATCGTATCCACCTGATTCCTGCATAAATAATTAGTAAAATGAAAAGCTCAGACTAATGTTTAACCACTGCATCAGTGGGACACTGAGGTGAATAAATCTTAAGCAAAAACATAAGAAAAAATGAAAAAAGGGTACCATTCTCTTGGTATATTCTGTCATTGCTCGGTGAAATTCTTCCCTCTTCTCAGTGGCTATATCATAATACTTTACCTTTTCCTACACAACAGAAGAGGAACAAATAATTCTAGGAGTAAGAAACTTCCGTCGAGGTCTCAACAGTGATATCTCATCTTTCGAGAGGATATGAAATGCCAACCAAAAAACCATGTGAGTAGCAAGAAGAAGAAAATGAGATATTGTTCGCCAAAACGAACAAGAAAATTTTAGAGGAAACTTTTGGAAGAACATTATAGAGGAAACTTTTGGAAGATAGAGCAAGTCTGTTAACAAACTTCAAGAGACAAAAAAGTAATTGGGACAGGAGAGCGAAAACCAAATGTTACCTCGTATGTCATTGTTTTCCATTTCTCTCCACATGTCTTCCCAATCTGTATAGAATGAAGAACAAAACAAGTTTAGCAATAGAATCAAAGTGATTATAATAGCCACCATGTTTTACTTAGAAATACCACAAACTAATTCTCTACAACCTCGCGCATGGACTTGACCTCCGGATTCTCCTCTTGATATTGCTTCCGGAAATCCTCCCTTTGGAACCAAAAGATAACGCAATATGAGGCAAGAGGAAAATGCAAACAACAGATGTTTCTTCGTATGTTTTCTAACCAATAACAACATAAATAATCGCATCCTAAAGACCAATGGCAAAATGCACACAAATTTCTCCTAAATAATTTACTGCAAGGAAGTCCAGCTGAGCTTAAATATACAGATAACAATTTGGAATCATATGAGAGAAAGTACCTACAAGAAAAAGAAGAAAGCAGTGGGAGGTTTCTTGGGCATCTTCGAACGGACTTTAACGGGTTTCTTCTTCGGGCTTGTCTTTGGCTTTCTCAAAGGCTGAAGCCTCAGTCTTGTAGACCTCCTTGCACCTTCACTCGACTTCACAGCCACCTCTAAGTTCCTGCGAAATTTAACAATGCAATAAACAAAAGTCTAACATCCTCTTTCCTTGCTCTTCTTCTCACTCACCCATTTGCCATTGAATAGCATAAAGTTCACAACTTTCATATCCAATTCCCTAACTAACCACTTAATCAGTAATTACCAGAGAGACCAAGCAGAACCCTTAAACCCTAAGCAGAGAAACCAAAGCAAAACAAGGTAAAAACCCGAACTTGTTCTGTAACCTATCCTAAGCCATACACAAAACTTACCGACTAGAGCCTCCGCTGCACGACGGAGACAAAGGCCCTGACTTGGGAGCTTTCTTCGTCATTTTCTCTCACTTTCTCTTTCTCTTTCTCTTTCTCGGAATCGAACTTTCGCTTCGCTGCCTCTTGGGGGTTTTCCGTAATTGCGTACTGAAACAGATTGTCGGAGACATTTGCCACGTGGCGTAATCTAATCAACAAAAAAGGCAAAGATTAAAAATTGCCAATTTAACAGAGTTAAACGTTTGTGGCAGAGAGGTTACACATCGATGGCAACATCTCTGCTTCTCAGACATTCCTCAGCTGTCTTCTTCTCTCAGTCTTCCTTCTTCTTCACCAAGAACAACTCTTTTCGTTCCTTCTCTTCCATCAAAGTAAGATTTATCTCTTTAAAAGCCATTGATTCTAGAATCTTGTATCGAATTGTGTGTTTAGATTTCCCCAATTCTGAAATTGGCTTTGCTTGTTTGTCTCAGATGGAAAGAGGTGAAGCAAGTGAAGAAAAAGATGCAGTGAAGACGACGAAGAAGGTGTTTGTCGCCGGAGCCACTGGACAAACCGGGAAGAGGATTGTGGAGCAGTTGTTGTCCCGTGGCTTTGCCGTCAAAGCTGGTGTTCGTGATGTAGAGAAAGCTAAAACATCTTTCAAAGACGACCCTTCTCTTCAGATAGTATGTCCTTAGTCTTAATCCGATGTTTTCTCGCTCTCAGTTTCTCACAACTGCTCTGTAAATTCTTCTATAGGTTAGAGCAGACGTGACAGAAGGTCCAGATAAGCTAGCTGAAGCTATAGGTGATGATTCTCAAGCTGTGATTTGTGCTACTGGGTTTCGTCCCGGGTTTGATATATTTACTCCTTGGAAAGTCGATAATTTCGGAACCGTGAATCTTGTGGATGCTTGCCGTAAACAAGGAGTGGAAAAGTTTGTTCTTATAAGCTCAATCTTGGTTAATGGAGCTGCAATGGGACAGATACTGAACCCTGCTTACATCTTCCTCAATCTCTTTGGACTAACTCTTGTCGCTAAGCTTCAAGCTGAGAAGTATATCAGAAGATCGGGCATCAACTATACTATAGTAAGGCCTGGTGGTCTTAAAAACGATCCTCCAACCGGAAATGTAGTCATGGAGCCAGAGGTAAAACACAGCCTTTGGACTTTGTTTCATCGGTATTGTGCTGGAAATTGATAAAGATCTGACCTTTGATCTTTGTAGGATACTCTGTATGAAGGGAGCATATCGAGAGACCTGGTCGCAGAAGTTGCAGTGGAAGCTTTACTTCAAGAGGAATCATCTTTCAAGGTTGTGGAGATAGTTGCTCGTGCTGAAGCTCCAAAACGTTCCTACAAAGATCTCTTTGCTTCTGTTAAAGGACATTAACTAGAATACAAATCAATCAGAATGTAATGAGTCTCATGCTCAAAACCTTTATTTCTCTTATGTCTTGCGTACAACAAACAGATACATAAACTTTTGCGCATAAACCTCAAGATAAGTATTGAAAGAGTTCCATTCAGTTTCATCTCTTATCCATTTTAGGTCCTAAAAAACCCATCACTGGCGCTTCTTCCCGGTCGCATGTTCCCATGAGTGCATGACATGATTCACGATTTCCTCGACCCCAAGCCCATGCTTCACCTGGAAATGTTTAGTAATCAAAGAAGATGGTTCACTAAGGTCATTGGTTATAAAAGTGATGAAACATATATCTGACGATGGCAAACCTGAGCAAAGACAAATGGCCCTCCATCACGCATGCGTAGTGCATCCCTTTCCATGACAGATAAGTCAGCCCCAACAGCTGCTGCAAGGTCTGTCTTGTTTATCACCTGCAGTTGGAAAAATCCACAAGAGATTCTTTCATACTACTATAGACTTGATCAAAAGGGCTTGTAAGTGAGGAGTTTAAGAAGCATAAGCGCACCAGAAGATCAGCTTGAGTGATTCCAGGGCCGCCTTTACGGGGTATTTTATCACCAGCCGATACATCGATGATGTAGATGATATAGTCAGCTAGTTCTCTGCTGAAATTAGCAGCTAAATTATCTGCAAACACAACACTAAGCCTATTCATATCTCATTACATACAACAGAAATCTATATATGGTGCAGATAACTACCAAGAACTGAGCAACGCGCACAGGTAAAAGAAATGAAACCTCACCTCCACCGGATTCACAAAGAAGCAAATCAGCCTTGAATAAGTTAGATAACTCCTCAAGAGGACCCAAATTGATACTGATATCTTCACGGATCGCAGCGTGTGGACATCCACCAGTTTCGACAGCTCTAATCCTTTCCTCAGGAAGAGCCCCATTCTTTACCAGAAACTCACCGTCCTCTTTCGTGAATATATCATTTGTCACCTACAATGTTTACAAGATCAAAATCATCTTTAGTCACATGAGTGCGTGAGATCAAGGAAACAATCTTGTATTGCCACTGATAATAATACTCACAGCAGCAAGACTATATTTGTCCCTCAAAAATCTACAAAGAGCAAGCATCAATGCCGTTTTCCTGAGTGAACAAAATACAAATCCAATGGGGATTAGACATAAAAGGTCGACCCTTTTGAACAAAGATTGACACTTTATATGATCAAGAACATCAAGATTCAATGGTCAATCTAGATCTATAAAAAATCAAGAAGTCAATCAGATAAAAAAAAACATTACCCAGTGCCAACGGGACCGCCAATACCGACGGTAAAAGCTCTCTCAGAGAAGTTACGGTCGTTAAGCGGAGGAGCTCGGCGGCTGAAGTAGCCAGGAGAGTAAATGGGTTCGTGTGAGTGCGGTGCCAGTCCATCATGGCTATGGTACACCTTCCCGTCCTTCCCCACCCACGAGGACTTCCCTTCTCCGCCGTCCGATTTCCTACTTGACAGAATTAGATAGATATAGATTGGTGAATAAACCGCAGAAAGACTACAACTTTACGGATAGAAATTCAAGGAAACACGAACTCGTGGCCATGCTCATGATCGTGATGATGATGATGATGATGATGGTCGTGCGATGCCATTGCCGAGAGACTTGATACTCCTTGTAGTGACTGAGTTGACTTAGACTGGAGCTACTTCACGAGAGGGGATCTTGAGCACAGAAAGAATCTTTCTATCCAAAGTGAAAGGAGACAATTTTCTCTGTCGGTTAATTAAAATGACTGAAACGCCCCTGTCCTATGTTGAGACTTGAGACTTGAGACTTAGTTCCAAGGCAATTATAAACATATTCTGATATCAGTTTCAATTCAGAGTCCAAGACTCAATATATTAAAACTTTATAAGAAGTAGGTGTTGTTTACGCAATAAAGAGCACAACATAGGAGGAATCAAGGAATAAAAGCCAATAAGGGAAAGGTTTTTTCATAAGCAGGAAACAAGAACCATAAAATCCAGACAAAGTCGAGTTGAGTTTAATGAGTACGCCTAACATATTGATGATAAACAAAAATATCCGAAAAGATCAAAAACAACAGAGAGCATAGCTTCAACATCGATTCCAACCCAAAAAAGAGTCAATCAGAGACGTTTTACATGAACAAGTTGGGCTTGTTGGCCTTGTAAGTCGTCTTCAGCTTCCTGCTTGGTGGTCTAACCTTGCGGAACACCAATGGGAACTTGATCTTGCTGTTGTGGAACTGTTTAGTGCTCTCTCTCTTGCACAGCTTAGCCGGGACAGTGGCTGTCTTGATGATCTGAATGCAAGGGAATCTGACACGGTGACGAGAAGCCATCTCAGTGTACATCTGTTCGACAGCTCCGTTAAGAGTGGTGTCACGGTATTCCTTGTACATGTTGTGGTACCCAGTTCTGCTCTGGTACCTTAACCAAATACCGAAATTCTTGATCGTTGTTGGGTTCTTCTCATAGATCTGTGCAAACAATTTGGTAATGGATTACATTAGTCAAGAAAGGGGCCAAGGATCAACAAAACTAAACAAACTCATGAGAATCAAAGACGAGACTTTGGGAATCTAAGCTTTCTCATTTGATGAGATTAAAGAGAGATATAAAAGAAACGTATAAACTAACAGACAAAGACAATAAACCGAATCATAAAATCAGAAGTATGATACAAATAGATTCAAAACCATGAGAGAGCTGCATGATCAAGCTATTTGAAAGTTACATAGAAGTATTGTATACTAGTCAGGAAAACAAAAGACTACAATATCATCACAGCTATACATTTATAGGTAAACCAAAGACACAAATGTGAGAATTTAAGTTTATATAAACGACTAGATCAATCAAAACCCTAGAGTTCTAGTCCATCAGATACATTTTCACTTTCCAGATAAAATAATCGACATTCGTAACTCAGTAAAAACATGGTATTCTCAAACAAGATTGTGTCATTTCACAGATGAGCAAGTACCTCGTTGATGGCGAGCATCTGTCCATTACTCTTCTTCACCTTCTTGAGCTTCCTCAAGAAATACCTAATCCAAATAACAAAACACTAATTAAAGATCAAGCCCATATAAATTCTCAGCAGCAGCAACAAAAAGAGAGAGATAAAAAGTTTTTACTAACCAGAACTTGGACTTGGCACGAACCTCGTTCGTGGCCCAGAGCTTCATCCGGTAAATCTTAGGCTGCACATCCTTCTCTGTCGGTAGAGCTCTTCCCACAACCTGGTACTGGTGAAACTGCAAATGAAAACAGACAAAAGCAAAGATCAGATTCGTCAAGACTAAACCCTCGAAACTGCAACAATGGTGAGATTGGAATCAACAAGGAATCAAAGAGAGCTTACCCTGAAAGCACCCATTTTTCGTCTGGAGAGAGACAAATGCGGTAGAAACCTCAACCAAATATATGCGGCTAGGGTTCTTCTAGTTTATAAATGAGCATTTGCCAAAAACCCTAATTCTAAAACTGATATCATAAAAGCCCAATGGGCAAATTATAGAACATGTCTTAGCCCACTCGAAATTTTGTTATTTCCTCTCTCAAGTTTAAAATTTGGGTAGCACTGGTGGATTCTACACATATTGGATCCAAAGAATAAATCTAAGCCCACATTATTTTGAGTTTTTTTTTTTGTAGTAAGTTTCGTTATTATATCCTCCTCAGGCCAAATAATTTGTTGTAACTTTTTGTGTGTCAAAATAATGTATGGTCCAACAATTCATAATTTCTTCTACTCAAACGTATTGTATTTGGTATCTGAGAGGGGCTTAAACTTTACTAACAAAAATATTCTGTCTCTTCATGCCTACATGATAGTGATGATAGTGGTTGTAAGGAAATTTGTCCATCAACTACTAGTTTTTGCTATTTTATTAGACATAAACTGGTTTTTTGGTGTGATATATGTCAATCTACAGTTTCAAGATTATCTACCGTCTACTGAAATAGAGCATCGAGTTCTCGCACAAACTGCAGCTGAACTTAACTGGATCTCTTTCATTTTGCAAAATCTCAACATTTTTCAATCTGCTCATTTTCTTATCCATCTCTCCACTCCAAACACATCTAAAATTGATTACCGTTCTAGTCGGGAAAAAGAGTCTCTTGGCTATGTTATTGACAAGCATATTCCTTACCACGACATTCTTTCTACCTTCTTCATACCAAACTTGGTGTTAATTTTCCACTTAGCACCATTTTGAAGGGGGGTGAAACTGAAAATCATTAACCAAAAAAATGAAAGTGAAACTACCAAACTTTAACCTGTTTAAAGCAAAAGCACAAAAACAAATGTGCGTTACGACAAAACCCAAACACATACATAAGTCCAGTCCACTCTATAGTAGCATTGTGAGATCCAACGAAGTAAATTAGTGAGTGATGAGGACACGCAAACACGAGGGCAAGAAAGATCAAAGGGAATCAAGGTCGTTAGATTTGTATAAATTTCTATAAACGTTACTATGTTATTACATCAAGATAACACTATTAACAAATGGCTCCCTATATTTTATACAAAATTAAAGGCCGTAGGCCAATGTTTCTAAATTTACTGAATAGGCACGGGCCTGATTACAGCTCACACACATTCATTGCACAATTGAGACACACCAACGCCATTGATAAAGACTGTCGATTATCGACTGTCGATGACAAAAGGACATATATATGATTAAACTGTACTGTTTAATCAAGATGCTCAACAACACCTATCTAGCAAAATTGTATTATAATTGTTTGACAAGACATCAATGCATTAAAAAAAAATCATATGTCAGCATCTTCATTTATATTTGTCTTCGTTTTTGGAAATCTTCTCCAGGTTTTACGTACTTTGCTATACATCTATAGTTTAATATACCATTAAGCAATATGTTATTTAATTTTTAATAATTGTACTGATAAAAATTTAATATTAATTAACTTACAAACATGTAAATAAAAAATGAAATGTAAAAGATCTACATAAGCTTTCTATATGAACTATAGGGTTGTTTATTAGGTATATATATCTTAACGATGTTGATAGAGAATGTGTTCTTGTATGGTTTTGGCTTTCCGTCGTCGAGTGGACAGGGTGAATTGTGCCACCAGGCGTTATTGTTAACAATTTAAAACGAAAAACAGAGGAAATGATATTAAATACATGAAACACGTTATAACTTCACTGGGGTCCAAGCAAAATAAAACAGCACAGATTGATTGCACAAAAAAACAATGGGTGTGACTGATAGTATTATGTAGAAGAAAAGTTATGAGAAGAAAATAAATTCTTCTACTTTATACTAAAATTTAACCAGTCAAGAAGAAGAGAGAAGAATTTAATTTCTTCTCAATTCCTCAAAAAGTAAGGTAAAAAAGCATAAAACATTCAACTACAAATACATGGTATAAAAAATTCTTCTACTTTTTGTTTTTCTTTTCTTCTCATTTCTTCTCTTATTTTTTTTTTTTTTTTTGGTAAAAAAAACTGAATAGTCAATAAACACCGCCGTCTGTGGGGATCGAACCCACGGCCACGTGGTTAAAAGCCACGCGCTCTACCACTGAGCTAAGACGGCTTCTCTTCTCTCTTCTCTTCTTCTTCTCTTATTTTTCTTCTCTTTTCTTCTTATATTCACCAGTCACACCCAATGACTACTCTCCTTCACAAATTCAAGATAACATTAACGCTCTAGTGGAACCCATCTCGAGGGACACATCACGATCACGAACAATAGTAATAATCACACTCTACAGTATTGACTTTGATCACCAATAATTTTAATAAAAATCCAATCAGCTCAAGGAGAGGTTCGGATAAGTTACGACGCGCTTAGACAAGAACACCGTGCACCCGTCCTTTGGCGATATCGTGGGGCAGTATATGATGTCATCGCAGCCGTCAGTTTGAAGCCTCTTGAAATCAAACAGAGAGGAGAACATTGCGATGAAGAGAACGAGGTGGTTCAGTGCGTAACGCTGGCCTACGCACTGGTGTGCACCCCATCCAAAAGCTAGGTAGTTGCGTTTGAACACTTGATCCTCTTGCCTTGTCTCGCTAAACCGGTCCGGATCGAACCGGTTCGGTTCAGTAAACCCTTGGAACGAGGAGTCAAAAACCGAGGGAAACACGATTGTACCTTTTGGGATTGTGTACGATTCCGTGAGCGGGAAATCATTAGTAGCAATGTGTGGGACCATAGTTGCCGGTGGTCGGTATCTCACAACCTCGCGCGCCACAGCGCGCGTGTACTTCATCTCCGCGAGCTGATCGGCCGTGATAAGCTCGCCGGACTCAGGCGACCAAATCTTGGCCACTTCCTCCCTCACTTTGCTAAGCACTTCCGGATGAGATTCAAGAAACGCTACCGCCCAAAGGAGTGATGACGTCGACGCGTCTTGTGCAGCGAAGAGAAAATCAAAGAGCAAACCACCGATTGCTTCGTCTTCGGAGTGAAGTGGTGGCGGATTACCGGATTCTATCTCCGTGACGATTGCATGCATCCAGAAATCGATTAGGCATTTTGGCTCCTCCCCTGTTGCCATCCTCTCTTTAGATTTTCCGGCACAGACGGAGAGTGTCTCCTCAAGGTTCATCACCGCTCGGCGAGCCTTGCTGAAGGCGAAGCCAGGTAGGTTTATCGGGAGCGCCATGGATCCGACATTGAATAGATTGTAATCAGTACGGAACCTGTTCCTAGCTTCCTTGTCAAGGTAGGGTCCAACGAATACAGTTTGAGAAGTCTCAAGATTGAGTTCACGGACAAGATCTCGCATAGAAACCGGCTTAGTTCCGCCGGAGAAACTTTCCTCCCACTCTCGTAGATGACGGAACATAACTATTTGTTGAAGATCAGAGTAAGTGGAGAGTGCCTTGGGGGTGAAGTTAGGAGCAAGGTGACGGCGAACGGTTTTGTGATCCTCACCGAACAAGTAGATTAGGCTATGATCGCCGAAGAGTTGTTTGCCAAAAGGATGTCCGAGAGGGTGAAATGCATTGAGACCCACGTTGGAGAAGATTTGATGGGAAAGCTCAGTATCTCTGATGTAGATGATGAATTTTCCGATGAGGTAGTTGGCGGAGAGGCCACGGGAAGTGCCCGCCGTTGCGGATTGCTTGTACCAGAAGGAAGTTGGGTCACGAACGAGTGAAACGGCGTTTCCGATGATCGGAGGGACAAATAGAGGGCCAGGGAGGTTACGTTTCTTGACAAGGTAAGAGAGTTGCTCGATAAGAAGGAAGAGAATTAACAAAGAGACTAAGTATGGTGCGAGTGAGGCAAATATGGAAACTGAGAAAGCCATCTTTTTTTGTTTTTTTTTTCTTCTTTCTTATTAGAGCTTCTCTTAGTGTCTTCTGCTCTGTATTTGAGTTTTGTGTATATGTGGTAAACAATATATAAAGGCTATAAGCTATGATTGTTCATTGTTACAACAGTTTCCACTGTTATTACTTATTAGTAAATTTGTCTGATACGTGAAAATAGATATGGTTGGTGTGTAACCAACTTGGTGATATACTGATATATATGACATTAGACAGTCACTAGCTACTAGTCTCTATATTTATGGAGGAAATGTAGTTATACTTGTTTCTATGCTGCAAGTTTATATGCTGAAAAAAAAAAAAGTGGAGACAAAATACTTGTTTCGAATTACGCAGTTTGCTATTTGTTGAATAAATAGTATTTTAATTTTGATCTACCCATTTACATGCAGTATGCTCTCGTGTCAAAATGCATGCATGCGTTCACGGTCGCTTCATGCATGGACCGTAACAATATTGGGCTAAAATGGGCCTAAATTTTCAAATTTCACATATTGAAATCATTGGAATCATAGACCTATAGGAATTGCTTTTTCCCGTTAAAATCTAGCTGAACAATTCTTAGTAATACATTTCGTCGGAATGTCTATCATAACCACCGTTAAATCTAGTAGACCTTCGTTTGTTGTAATCAGCGTCTTAAACAACCTCGATGCTCCTTGGAAGATTGATCAGTAGTCCACGATATTCGGATCTTGGACCAAACTCTCGACGCTTCCAAGTTCCGTTCTCATTCTTCCTACTCCGTATTAGACGATCCATATGAAGCACAATCTAGTGTCTCATGAATAGCCCTTGTAACTAGGGTTTTTAGCAAGATAGAGACTCATATATATAGTCATGGAGAATTCTTTGAGAGTTGTTTTGAAACAACTCTCCTTCTTCATCTTATGAAATATTAAATCTAGAATCATTTGCTCTTGGTGATAAATTAATGACTTTCTTTTTCTGTACTTTGCATTTTAATAAAACTCCAATAAGCTATTGCATTTTTTGTTTCATATTTCTATGTTAATAAGCTCTTAATGTGCATAAATCTGCTTTCTTTGGATTTACTTTCACTCCGAACAAACTGTCTTTAAGCATATTGGAGAAGTGGAGAGCAATTGAAGCCAAATGTCGATGCAATCAGATGTATATATATAGCCGGCTCAAACTTTATGTAAGCTTTCCAAATTTTGTTTTTACTAGAAGTATATTTAATATGACAAGATAGGGTTTTTAACGTCAAAATTATGGTAAAATAGTTATTTTAAAATTTATACGCATATTTTTAAAAAGTTAACGAGGCTTTTTTGAATGAGAGTCATGTTCGACTACCTCACATACACATGCTAAAAAAAGGTGCGAATGTGACACCAATTATTATAGGTCGACAAAACCCTGGATTTGGTACAAAGAAAAACAATAACAGTGGTCAACAATCTTTGTCTAAGTAGCACGAAACCAATCTGAATGAACTGATTTTATTGATGATTAGAGTGATCGAATACAAATTGGACGAATTCAGATAACGAGAGTAACGGACAAAGAATTCTAAGGTAAACCTTTTTCACTAATAAAAGACGGCAAGAAAAAAAAACACACATAAGTATGAAACACGTTATAACATCACTGATTTTCACACTGGAAGACAACACAGATATGGTGAAGACATGGCAAAACAATGACATGTCTTCTCAAATTCGATAAGACAAGAACACTCGTGGGCCATTCCCTTTGAGAGACACATCAGGAAAACTGATAAAGTCACAGTGTTGAATTTGACCAACAATAATAAATTTAAGAATTAAAAAATCAATTCAAGGAGAGGTTGGGATACTTTGCGACGCGCCTAGACAAGAACACCGTACAACCGTCCTTTGGCGATATCGTAGGGCAGTACACGATCTCATCACAACCGTCCGATCGAAGTCTCTTGAAATCCAGCAGCGACGAGAACATTGCAATGAAGAGAACGAGGTGGTTCAACGCGTAACGCTGGCCTACGCATTGGTGAGGCCCCCATCCAAAAGCTAGGAAGTTGCGTTTGAACACCTGGTCCTCTTGTCTTGTCTCGCTAAATCGGTCAGGATCAAACCGGTCCGGTTCAGTAAACCCTTGGAACGAGGAGTCGAAAACCGAAGGAAAGACTATTGTACCTTTGGGGATAGTGTACGATTCCGTGAGAGGGAAGTCTGTAGCTGCTATGTGTGGGACCATAGTTGCCGGAGGCCTGTATCTCACGACCTCACGCGCCACGGAGCGCGTGTACTTCATCTCTGCGAGCTGATCAACGGTGATCAAGGCGTTGGACTCCGGTGACCAGATCTTGGCTACTTCCTCTCTTACTCTGTTCAGCACCTCTGGCTCTGATTCAAGCAACGTCACGGCCCAGAGGAGTGATGACGTGGACGCGTCCTGCGCGGCAAAGAGACAATCGAAGAGCAAACCGCCGATCTCTTCGTCTCCGGAGTGCGGTGGCGGCGGATTCTCCGTGGCTATCGCCTGCATCCAGAAATCGATTAGGCATGTTGGTTCTTCTCCTGCTGCCATCCTTGCTTTGGATTTTCCCGCGCATATGGCGAGCGTCTCCGCTAGCCTCGTTACAGCCCTGCGAGCCTCGCCGAACGCGAAGCCAGGGAAGTCGATGGGAAGCGCCATGGATCCGAGATTGAACAGATTGTAATCAGTACGGAACCTCTTCTTGGCTTCCTTGTCAAGGTAAGGTCCAACGAAAACCGTCTGGGATGTTTCGAGGTTGAGTTCACGGACAAGGTGTCGTAGTGACACTGGACGAGATCCGCCGGAGGTACTCTCCTCCCACCGCCGTAGATGACGGAGGATAACTAATTGCTGGAGGGCAGAGTAGGTGGACAGTGCCTTGGGGGTGAAGTTAGGAGCTAGCTGACGGCGAACGGATTTGTGATCCTCACCAAACATGTAAATGAGGTTGTGGTCACCGAAGAGCTTCTTACCAAAGGGATGGCCGATAAGGTGGAAGGCATCGGGACGAACGTTTGAGAAGATTTGATGGGAAAGCTCTGTGTCTCTGATGTAGACGATGAATTTTCCGATGAGGTAGTTGGCGGAGAGGCCTGAGATGCTAGCTGTGGCAGATTGCTTGTCCCAGAAGGAAGTGGGGTCACGGACGAGTGCAACGGCGTTTCCGATGATAGGAGGGACGAAAAGAGGGCCAGGGATGTTTCGTTTCTTGAAAAGGTAATAGAGTTGCTCGAGAAGAAGGAAGAGAAGTAATGCTGAGATTAAGTATGGTGCGAGAGAGGCAATTGCAGAAGCTATGAAAACCATGTTTCTTTGTTTTTACTTCTTTTATCAAAGGTTCTCTTTGTTGGTTTTGTGTATATATGGAAATGATTTGACTAACAAGAAGAAGAGGGTTTAAGAAAAAAAAAAACAAGAAGAAGAAAAGGGTTTTGCTTTGTAGTCTTGCCTGCTTTTTGTCTTTCTTGGTGTTCTTTGTTTGGTTTTGCAGAATTTTCTAAGAGGTTTTGGGAAATTGGATTGAAGCTGTTCACAAATTGCAATGGTATCGGAACAAGAAGAATTCAGATGTCTTTCTCTGTTCTGTTTTTTTTTTTTTATATACTTTCTTAATCATATGTCTTGTCCAAGTGGAGAGCGAGATGAATATTTTGAATTGACCGTGATTTGCTGTAGAAGATTCGGTTCATATAGAAAATTCTAATTAGTTGGTAAGTAGTCATTAATAGCACATTAAGTTTCTATTTCTAGCCGTTGTAAGATCTTCTCTTCTTCCTGCATATATAAAAGAGGACTCGTGTAACACAGTGAAAAATAGAATAATTTATTTATAAACGATAGTTTTGAAATTTGTGAATAAGCTGACTTGAACATTCTAATACATCACTGTTCCTTAGATAGATGTAGAGGTTACCTCCATAGATGACTTTGGTTTCAACTCCCAAATGAATTGTTTGTTTTTAACAGCACTTTGACCTTTAAAGGTATAGTTTGGGAGCTGATCTCATACAACCTGATTTGCTCAAAAAATCATTAACAAATAAAAGTTGGAATAGTATAATAATACACATTAGTTGGATAAAATTATTTTCTTTTTGATGAATATTATCTTGTTAAGCTTCAATCACGTCCAAATACATATCTTATGGACTTATGGTCGTATCCATCACAACATCTTATTTTAAGGTTTATGGTGTATAATGACGTCTCAAGTTGCGTGTAGCGCAATTAAACTTATTTTTGATTCCCATCCAATTTTCTATGTCGTCTGATGTCTCTCAAGTGTGACTGAAGACATCTAGCTGTTCTAATGAATAAGCGAGATTCTGATTAGGACATGTGCAACTGAAAATTTTGTGTTGGTTATTGTTAGTGTTGTGTCTTCACCCTGACCTGGTTAGATTGCATATTATGAAAGCGAAGTTAATTCAATCAAGAAAGTTTGAATGATGTATATATACAGAGTGTTATATAACCTGTTATGTCATTGAGTTGACTAAGAAAATTGTTATTTGATTAACTAGCATATATACATACTTTTCAACATCTAAACAATGAGATAAACATTGGTGCACCAAAAAAAAAAAAAAAAAAAAAAAAAACAATGAGATAAACACAAATACGTGTTAAAAATAAAATAGATAAGCACGAGTACTGTCGTATAAACCATAAACTAATATGTTTTGAATTTTGATTGGCCTAGATATTTGAATGTGACATATTAAATAGTGAGATCGAACTCGAACGACGTAGCAAATATTAAAAAGAACAGAAAGTTATATATGTAATGAGAGAGTTTTCTATCATTTATGTCCAAGACCAGTTAGAACTTCTATCAGTCTGTCTGATACAATATTATATCCGAATCTAAGCACTAATCAATTTCCTTTCTCGAGCTAAAAGTTGATCGAACTATTGCTAAGTTCTTGGAGTAAAAAACATATTGGCAATTATTTTCTTCATGTTTCTGGCTTAGAAGATTCTTACTTTGTTCGTTTATATTATTCTAGAGAGAATCAACGTCGTTGGCCATTTGTGTAAATCAGTTTCATTGTGTGCACGTTACAAGCTAGTTAATAGTTGATAGTTCGATAATGTGATAAAGAAGTTTCCGATAACGTTTTCATTACAAAGAAGTTTCCGATAACGTTTTCATTACAAAGAAGTTTCCGTTAAGGTTTTCATTACAAAATCTTTTCTATCAAAATAATAACTCTATGACCTTTTAATATTTCTTCTGATTCGTTGGCCTTAGTGTAAGTATCTAAAACATTTCTCTTTTGACAAAAAGAAGAAAAAAGAATCAAATCCATTATCAAAAAAAAAAAAAAGAATCATATTACAAGTTCTCTTGTGATTCAGACTTTTTTGAATGTTGATTTTTCCATTTTCTTCCTCTTCTTCCAACATACAATTTGAACTTTGAAGATTCAATTTGGAAAGGTGTAGAAAAATCAGCAAAATGATAATTACACATTTGGATAACTTCTTCCTTAATTCTTTGATATTATAATATTTATTGAAGTCAATGAACGTTATTAGCTCCGTGGAATAGAATTTTATGTTTTCAGTCTCGAAGACTTCCAAAGTTTCTAGATCTGTTTTCTTTCTGAATTTTGAGAAGTTTTTAAATGAAGATGATCACAAAACGGATACACACATCTTTTAGGGTACACAATGTGATGTTTTGCTTTACATAGATAAATGATTTATTGTAAAATGTCTTAGGATCTCACATAGAAATATGAAAAGACCAATACTAATATATGTATATAAAAAAAAATACCTTGTTTATTGATATGGTATCAGTCGTATAAATGTAAATCTAAATGAAGCATCTCTAGAAATGAAGCATATTACGATCTCACATCGAAATACAAAAAAAAACTAATATATAAGAGACATGAGCTACTCAAATCGTTATGAATTATTGGAAAGTCTATATAATTTCTCACATGATAATAGACCCGAGAGACGAATATAAAGCAGAATTCAGTAATGAATCAAAAGAATTATCAACTCGAAGATGCATGTTATGATTCTATATCGAAAGTATAAAAATCATTTTGTTCATCGCTACTTGATTTGAATAGAAATCACATAATATTTTCACAAAATAAAAATCCAAGGCAATGATTGCATCATGAAAATTTGAGGATATGTGATACGATAGGTGCAAATGCGTAACGGTAATTCCCTTATTCGTTCTCGACGTCTAAAGCTTCAAAACGTTTATGATAAAAATCCAAGGCAATGATTGCATTTGAAAATTAAAATTAAAATTACAGATTTTTTTTGTCAAACAAACTACAAATCTAGGTTTCAAGAACTAGAGTACATCAATTTGCAATAAATCTACAAAAGTGTATAGCCTGGTTCGATAATTGTTTCAAGCCTGATTGCTATAAATGACCATGAATTGCATAAATACTTTCTCATTTCTAGTAGTTCGAACCGATACATAGCCCGTATAAATTCCCGGTCTACCAATACATTTTCTGAATCGGAACAATCTAGATGAAAACCAACGAAAGAAGAATAAAAACAGGAAAACCAAATCCAATTCTACTAGACCCGGAGAACCAAACCTTAACGTCATCAATCACAGGTCCACACAATGAACTCATGTCGTCCGTCCTCGTATTGTAATAAATGCTGTAGAAGGCGATCCTCGTTCGTTCAGCTTTCGCCGTGAAGTTCAACTCCGATCTTTCGAAACTAGAGTTCGCCTGCGCCATATAATGAAAGTTCTGTGCTTGATCTCCAGCAAAAGCCATTACGGCCAAAGGTTCCTTACACTTGTCCCCTGCGTGTCCCAATGAGAAAGACAGCTTGTACGGAATGTTCGCCTTTGTCTCAACCATTTGAGAAATTATGCCTTCTTTGCCCGATAGAAGCTCCAAAGCTCGCTTCCCCTCAGGGACCGAGAAATGGTCTGAGTCAATAAACCGGACCGCACGGTTTGATTCCACGGTCCATCCAGGGAGAGACGATATTTCTTCGTCGAGGTTTGTCGGAAGAAGAACACCTAATGTCGTGTTCCTGAACATCCATGGACCTTCTTCAAAATCTCCATTAATCACTGCATTGCCTGTCAAAGTACAACATTTACTTTTAACTTTACTTTAAATCTCTTCTATTGGGGTAAAATTGGATGATTTATAAAAATTTCGTATCCAAGACATAAATGAAACGTTACCTTTGGGTTTATCAGGAGTAAAGAGCTTCTTAACGGCAATGTCGTCGATGATAGGTCCACAAGTAGGATCATCCTCCATGCCAGGGTTCCTAAAAACCAACCGGACGCGGTCAACTACTGCTTCAAACGCCCATGCATATGGATCCCACCCTTGAACGCTGTACACAGTTTGCAAGTCAATGGTCTGCGAGGCTATGGGTTCGTTGGAAGCCACTGACACATTCAGCGACTCGAGCTGTGCACATGTGCGGGCGGCACTGAACGTGACAGAGTAGATAGAGCCTTTCTCTACGGTAAGTTCTTGGCTGATTTCTGCATCGTTTCCTAATCTGACGGCGTGACGACCTTCAGGCACGATCAAGATCATCCCGCCTTGTTTTTGACCGGACTTGATTAGCTCCACCGTGCCGTCGGATCGCCAGCTCGGGATCTCGGAGGAGTCCTCGATGATTGCATCATCAGGGAAGCCGTTAGACGGGGGAGTCTCAAAGTCGCCGTTAACCACCAAACCTTAAGATTCCGGTAGAACAAGAAAGTTAGTTATAATTAATTGAGAAAAAGGGAATAATTACAGAATTTAAGAAAATGGTGGCAGAAAAATATAAATATGATGGAGACGTATAACAATTAGTTGGTCCCTTAATAACAACAATAGATATTTCATCATTTATGTCCATTTTTGGGCCATTCATTCTCTCAAGAATTTGTAATCTAGACAAATGATATCATCTCAAAAATGTATATTCAACTCTCGCGTTTCTCGTGAGCTCACATTTATCAGGCACGGTAATTAAATCATCTGTCTACAAAAGAAGAAAAAATACGATGAAACCAATAAAAAAGCAGAAGTAGTGAAGGCAAGACACGAGAATTGAACCATTTTAATCTCTTGGTCCCATGCCATTAACTATAGTGGGACTCTAACATTCGTATGAACACAATTTGTGGTCTTGTGTCTAGCTACCACACTTAACACTCTACAGTTACAATTGCCTTTTCCTTAGGGAAGGTACATAATTGTCGATTTTAATTTATTTTAGTTTTATCAAAGGAAGGAGACAATTAGGGTTTCGTGATTGTTCAAGAAATAGACAAACAACAAAAGACTGCACATGGCGGGAAAGGTTAACTACAATTTTTAGGAGTTAATGCTATTTCTAATCCAGATTTCTAAAGAGTTGAAGAAGACAAAAAAAACAGATCATTTTAACTTGAAGACTTGAAGTGAATCCAAACTGTTTCAAGAACTTGAGGAGGGCTTTTCTATTCTTTTACCCAGGATGGCCTACAACTTTACTAAACACCCAAAAACTTCTGTTTTCTTTCTAATTGTGACGGATTAAATTGGAATTGGCATATTTTTACCTTATGAGAAGAAAGTCATGAATTTAAACCCCAAAATTACAAGCCGATTAAAAAATTCTTAGTGCTGAGCAACAGAGGACTAAGAAGACGTGAGATTGGTAATAAAACCCTAGAACCCAATAATTATTATCCAATTTTGGTGTTATCCAGATCTCTAAGTAAACATTTTTAGAAAGAAGAACTAAGTAAGTACTACATGCCATGGTGAATCCTCTGTTCTTGGAACAGAGAGAATGGGTCAGGTTTCCGAAATCAAACAACCACAGAAGAAAAAAGAATCATGCTTTCGTCAACCCATTAACACTATGAGCAACCCAACACGTAGTATAACCAATAACCCCCCAAAAAAAAACACAAGAAAAGTGATGAGATATGTTAGTGAACAGCGTACCGTCTTCGACCGGTGAAATTTTGCCGGCGGAGTCTGCGGCGGCAACGATGGAGAGACCAAGTAGAAGTATTAAAATGGAAACCGATCTCCAATTATTGTTGTTGTAAAGCACCATCTCTCTCTCTGTCTTTCTCTGTGAACAGTGGAAAGTGTTTCTGCAATGTTCTTTTTGGGCAGTGAGTGAGAAAGCTGGGAAGTGTAGTGTCCTTTTAAACAAAATTCTACCAGCTGTTCTTTTTGTTCCATTTTTATTTTATTATTTACAGTCGGAATAATAGTTTAATCGAACTCAAGAAAACCATTGAGATTTTGTAGGATATGTTAAAGAATAGATAGAGAAGTGTATCCATTTTGGGACCCTCTTGACCACAAACCGCGTGGTGGTCGTAGTCATTGGTCTACACGACCGTGGCTTTTACTTAGGTTCTCTCTTACTCATTTATCTAATATGGACCACTGACCACTTTTCTTTTCTTTCTTTTTATTTGTAAGAAATAGCCATTTGTCTTTTACTCTTTAGATCAGTTCAAGGCTAGACGAAAAGAACAAGTGGGGAGGCATTGTTGCAACATCTTTTTTTAGAGATGGAGGAAAGGGACATCTTTTAGATATTTGAAGAAAATGGCTGGTTTAGATAGATTCAGAGACACTCAAATGTAATGGTGAATGAGTGTTTCAAGAAGGTGAAAAACAAAGCTCAAGCACCCAAGATATATTAGGTTACATAAACATTATCACTAGATGTTGCTAAAAAAATACTGTTTCTTTGCATAAATGTTTTCAGTCAAAACCGTCAACCCTGACATGGATGCATATGTAAAGATGAAGAGAGACGACGATGCTGTCAAAACCTTAAACCATATGGTTGATCATTGATGATGTCTGTTTTCTCAATACTTGAACAGCTTAGATGCTGAGTGCTTTCACCTTACTATACAATACCTTGTCAATCTAAAGAGTTGTTTACTTCTAGCTAGATTTTGGTTGACCATCCCAAATGACACATTAGCATATAATATGGGGTTCATATGAAATTACTATGTTTTGGTGTTTTAGTTATGTGAGTTTCCCCTCCTATTCAGCATTGTCCCTGACTTAGCGTAAGGAAACTGGCTCAGAGTTACCACTAACTTCCTCAACATTATATAGTGCCATCTAAATTGCTCCTAAGCTTTTAACCTTTTACTTAACAATGCATCAGATTCCAAGTCTATGACCCTATGACTTGTCTTTAACATACTTAATTCAACCACAACTGCTACAATAAACACAGTGAGATCATAAAAAAGAGCAAGATTTGTGACTTTGATTAACTTATTCAACGAGAATTGCTAGAATCCTGAGTGAGATCGTAAACAAAGAGCAACACTAGTGAAAAGCAAACTAAGTTTTGCAATGGTGTTAAAATGATTCCACCATCAAACAAACAGCTACTTTGGTAATTGTATTTACCACAAAATTCAGTAGCCGCAAAAGTTCTTTGTTTTCCTTGCTCCCATTTCTTCAGAATCATCTTCTTCTCTGAAACAAATCATCATTCATTCATCATCATCTAAGTAACTAACATACACATAACAACAAGGAGAATCAAAAACACTAACTTTGGATCAGTCACATAATGCAGCTACCAAGACGACTTCTTGATTCCCATCAAAGCACCTTTATTTGCTAATCCACGAAAAACGATTCGAGACACACGAAACAGCTCCGTCACAGAACGAGATCGACCAGTGAACACACATCTGTTTCTGATTCGCGCAAAGGCACTGTTTCTCGGCAATTTCGAGAGCTTATAACGATTCTTGTCTCGCATCTCGCTGGGAAGATCTGGATCTTTGCAAAATGCTTTGTAGAGTTTTCTTCTCAGTTCGAATCTAGCCGCGAGCAATCTACGTCTGTGATCGGCACTGTTTCTCTTCACGCCTTGCTCTGTACCACTATGCTTCGGTCCCGATTTCATAAGCGTTGTTGTGAAATGTCTAGCTTGAATTTGACCGAGATTGTTCGGATGCTTCACCATAGATCGAGACAACAGCTCCGACGTAGAATGCGACGATTGAGTGAGAGAACGCTGGCAATAGGAAGTTACGTTGAGCAGGACTCCTCGGAGACTCGCCATTGATTCGGGAAATCGGAGAAACGCCGCCGCGGATATGGTTTTAGGGTTCTCTTTTGAGGAAGAAAGCAAATTTCAGATTCACAATCACTCGAGTAACAATGATTGGGCTTTATTTCAATTCTATTCGGCCCACTAAGAGCTCGTCTACTTTAATAAGACTTATTTTTGGAAAAACGGTCTATTTCCCCATGAGAAGTATGCATATCACGCCAGATAGAGCCCGTTCTTTGACCTCGGTCTATTTGTCCATGAAACGGAAGTTAAATACTTATTTCCCCACGAAATTGAAGTTCAATAGCTTAATCTCCCCGAATATGAAAGTTCGAGATCTATAACCCCATCGTGCTGGGTTTAATCGGTTTACTGTATACTTAACCGATAATTAAACCATCTTAACCTAATTAAAACCGAACTAAACCGGTTTTCAACCCGATTACAACCCGATTTCATTCATTTAACCCCAAATCCCCATTCCCAAATCGAAAACCCGAAACCCTAAAATTCTCTCGACGAACCCTAGAAACCCAGAAATCGAAAATCAAAGCTCCTCGATCTGCTGCTCAAAGTCTTGGAGATGTCGATAGTTCCTCATGATCCTGATGTTGTCGGCGATGTCGATCCTGAAGCTAAAGACAGAGATGAATTTCACATGGAAGAGATGTTAAGGGAGTGGACCGACGAACCACCAATCCGCCACGATGTGTACCCGGAGAGTGATACTGAAGACAACGACGACGATCCTGCAAGATTTCATACACATGTAAGGCGTGGTGATGGCCATTTGTACCCGAAGCAGAGTTTCTTCAGTGGAGTTGCATTCAAAGAGGCGGTTGTTGATTACGCTCTCAGAACCGGATGCAATCTGAAGCAGTACAGGTATGATAATGATAAGATTGGATTCAAATGTGTTGGAAATGATGGTAAGGAGGATGGAGTTCGGTGTGAATGGCAAGTTTATGCGGCAATTCTTCCGAAGGATTCAATGTGGAAGATTAGGAAATTCATTGACAGACATAGCTGTATCCCAAATGGAGAATGCGAGATGTTTAAGGTGCCGCATATAGCTAGGTTGTTTGTTGACAAGATTAGGGATAATCCCGAGTTCTACATGCCTGCGAAGCTTGAAGAAATTATCATGGAACAATGGAAGATCTCTGTCACTAGGAATCAATGTCAGTCAGCGAGGAAGAAAGCGTTGCAATGGATTGAGAAGGAGTTTGATGATCAATTTGCAAGGCTAAGGGACTATGCGGCTGAGACCCTTGAGTCAAATAAGGATTCACACGTTGAGGTAGATTGTCTGACGACTGATGAAGGTAAAGACATCTTTAATAGGTTCTATGTTTGTTTTGACAACCTGAGAAGGACATGGAAGGATTCTTGTAGGCCTCTGATAGGTATTGATGGTTGTTTTCTAAAGAATAAGGTTAAGGGACAGTTACTGGTAGCATTAGGTAGGGATGCTAACAATAGGATCTATCCTATAGCTTGGGGTGTGGTTAAAGTAGAGAACACAGACAATTGGGTTTGGTTTGTGAAGCTGTTGAAAGAGGCCCTAAGTTCTGGCCTGAGACTAATGGTCCTAAAGTCTACAACCCTGAGCCAGCAGAAGGAGAAGACAAGAAGATGACAAAAGCTGAGAAGAAAAGGAAAAAGGGTTTCAATGAGTCTCCTAGTAAGAAACAGCCAAAGGCAAAGAAAAGAATCATGCATTGTGGTGTTTGTGGGAAACCTGATCACAATTCAAGACACCACAATAAAGATAAGGATAAGGTTTGTGAGATAATTTTTGACATGTGTGGCTTTTGTTGGGAAGATTATACTAACACTTGAGGTTCTTTTGCAGGCTTCTCATTATGGTTTGCAGCCTTCTCAACCTGAACCAAGTCAAGGTTCACTCACTCAAGCTTGATCCAAGGAGTTTTTAGCTAAGACTGACATAGGATAGAAGAACTAGGGTACTTATATTGTGGTTGTCTCATTGTAATTTTCGACCACATTGACTTCTGTATCCTTAACTTCTTTTGAATGTTTTTTTCCACGGCTGAATGAATGTTTAGGATGAATGTTATTTTGAATGTTATTTTGGATGTTATTTTGAATTTGAATGTTTAGGATTAATGTTATTTTGAATGTTATTTTGATCAAATGCATTCTCTAATCAAAAACATAAATCAAACAAGAGTACAAACAAGAGTACTAAATGCAATCTCTTAAACATAAATCAAACAAGAGTACCAACAAGAGTACAAACAAAAGTACTAAAGACATAAGAGAAATCAAACAAGAGTACAAAGACATAAGAGAAAGCTAAAGCATTCATCGGATCCACATTCATCCTACAAGTTTGGTCAATCCAAGCATAATCATACACCCTAACACTACGATAATCATCATCTTCTTATTGCTTGATTTGGCTTCAGACAAAGCATCTTCCACCTTCTCAAATAACTCCGTCTCTATCTTCATTTGGCCATTCTCCGAAAGCATCTTAGCAAACTCCAACCTCTCTGTTCTAAGCTCTTTCAACTCCAGCTCAAGTTCAGAATTCTTTGCTTTCAATGTCTCTAACTCATTGAGCAAAGCTTCATCAATCCATTTGAAAGTGTGATCATCGTTCCTTAGCTAGATATGAACAGTGATCTTTCAACATTAGACGAATCTAAAACATGAAAAAGAGGAAATAGAGATTGACATTACCCTATGTTTTGCAGCAAAACCGCAACGAAAGTATCTCCGGTAAGGATTCGGATCAGATTTAGACATTAGTGCAACGATTCCTTCCCCGCACCAGCAGCTCTTTGGCACTCCGACCACTCTTCCTCTTCCACGAGGACCTGTAGATCCCGTCGAACTCGATGATAGATTGCTCATCTTCAAACTCAAAATCGGGTATTCAACTCAAAATCGGATTTTAGGGTTCTTGAGTTTTGAATTTGGGGATTTTCAATTTGGGAATTGGGAATTTTGATTTTGGGGTTTAAAACGACAATGGGTCGGTTTTAATATGGAATCGGGTCTTTTTTGGTTTGGTTACGACCCATACATGGTTTTGTCTCGGGTTTACGCACCAAACCGACGAAACCACGATTCGGGGAGATTAAGCTATTGAACTTCAATTTCGTGGGGAAATAAGTATTTAACTTCCGTTTCATGGACAAATAGACCGAGGTCAAAGAACGGGCTCTATCTGGCGTGATATGCATACTTCTCATGGGGAAATAGACCGTTTTTCCCTTATTTTTCTTTAACATATAGTGCATTGTGCCAATTTTGTTTTGATTCATTTGAATGATACATTATTTCCTTTCTTGATCATATTTTTCAGCATATATTCAAATTTGTTTCAACATGAAAATATTATATGTTTTTTGGGTCTAGTTTAATGTATTGTTTCAAGAGTATCATTATTTATTTATCAAATCTTGAATAATAACACTATATATTTCTTGAAATTATTGAAGTTTATCTTCCATCGATCGTTTTATCTTTGATTAACTTCAATTTTCTTTTGTTGCCGTCCTCGATTTCTTGCTTGAGAGACTCCATAACTTTCTTGAACTCATCAAATGTGACTTGTTCAATCTCACATTCTTCTGAGCTTCCAGGCCATTGTAGACCAATTTGAATCTCCCTGAACTTGTTGAATGTCTCCTTGACTTGCTTCATAGGATCACCTCGAAGGTAATGGATTATAGTCTGAGAGATAAAACGACATTGACAATAAGCAAAAACAGACTTAATATTTTACCAAAAAAAACAAAAAAGCAAAAATAAGGAATTTAAGGATTAATTACTATATATATGACTTGCCTGATATAGAGGACGTCTTGCATCTGTTATGACTTCATCCTCTAAACACTTACATTTTGAAGCCGCTTCAATATTTCCCTATTTAAAGAAATAAGTTATTATAAAGATGGTGAAAACGTATCATGTATATAAAAAATGAAATTAGAGAGCAAACCAAGTAGATCAACATCTCCACAAGCAACATCTCAATCTCATAAGCCTCATGACCTTTCCCTTCTTTTCTTGCTTTCTCCAGTGCTTTCTTCAATAGCTCCACTCCTTTTGCTTCTTTTCCACTCATTTCCATTTTCACAATGTCTCTCTGCATGAGGGAGAAGAGATTACTTATGGTTCCAACGAAGTGCAATTTGACCCGAAAGAGCAAAAAAGTGTTTGTATATGAACAACCTGAAGCAACCCAAAGTCCGGGTTTTCCTTGGAAAGCAATGCTTCAAATTCTATCTCAGCATTCGCAAGGGAAGAAGTATCAACGCGGTATGAGTGCAAATCAAGCAATCTCTGTAGTGCTAATTTTCCTCCTCGAATAGCTCCCATTGAAACAGATTTTGAGAGGCTTCTTTCATCTCTTCCTGAAGAAGCCTCCTTACCCATGCTTTTAGCATTACCATCTCTTCTTTGTTCTGAAACGCGTTTTCTGATATCCCGGCGACTATTTTTATCGTCTTTCTTTCTCCACAAACCATGATTTATGTAGTTCCAAGCGACATATGCACCAGCAAGGAGGAAGACAGGTGCAACTGCTGCTCCATACTTGGTCTTCATGTTGAAGTTGTTCTTAGACTGATTCACCATATACTTGCCTAAATTATCTATTGGAAAAACAAATATTAAAAAAAAAAAATCTTCTTGAAACTTTCTTTTATACACAAGGAGTCAAGGACAATCGGATTGCAAATGGAAGAGGAAAGCATTCAAGTTATTCTAATGTTAGTCTTGCATCATAGGTAAAGAAGTTATTATACTTTAACCGAGGAGACACACTGAACAAAGAATATTTCCAAGTTTCCAATACTCTGGAAAAGAATAATACTGTCTTAATCATAATCAAACTAAAACCTACACTAATCTTCGATTTTTTTTAAGAAAATATAAAGCATTTGCTTTGTAATTCCGAAAAAAGAAAGGACTCCAAAACAGTAAATAGAATCGATAACCGTGACTATACGTACTTGCTTGTTTAAGCAAAATCTTTGATGCCTTTTTCAAATTAAAGTTTCTTTTGTCTGAAGTAATAAATTGATGCTTTCCTTCACAAACCTAAAACTCTCAAATGTTCTTGGCATGTGGAGAAACTAAAAATTTAAGAACCAATTCCTAACACATCAACCAATGCAATAAAATCCAATTTTATTATCATTTTGACTCATAGGAAGAAAAATGGCTTCAACATTTCTTCTAGGCCACACTCAGAAACTCACACTTCCTTTTTCTAATTTCACTTCCAGACATAAACCAACTCTTAGATCTCAAAACCCTTATATTGGCTTCCCCTCCAATGGGGGTCGAAGCGGCTGTTTGTTCATCAGATCACCAATCACGGTCGCCAAATCAAACAGCAAGAGTGATTATCACGATGATAGAAAGCTCTTTACGCCATTAAAAATGGCGGCAGGAGCATCCCTAGCACTAGCTTGCGCCTTAAGTATCTTCGGGTTTAAGATAAAGAATATGAGCTACACTGCTGCCGCAGCTGCCCATCCAAGCGCCGCCGACATGATCATATCCGGGAAGCCGACTTCAGCCGTATCCGCTACTTCCGGTATGTATCCTTTGCCAGCTAAGTTTGCATTGCGGTCTCTCTTTGAAGTAAGCTCAATGCTTGCTTCGGCTAAACCAATTCCTTCTCAAAGGCCATTTAATCTTCACAAGCTCCCTTCTTTGCCTTCAAAGGAAGATATTGATTCCATTAAGGTACAATCTGCAAACTTATAAATATTATTTCCATTATTTTAGTATCACCTGAGTTCATGATCCTCTAGACCAAGACTAGCTAGGCGTGTTGAACTAATTCACACGGCCGGATTATTCGGTTTTGTTTTTCTTATTACCCAAAAAGTTATAAAAATCTTATATAAAAAATTGAAACCAAAACTTCATTTATTTAATTATGTAGACTTCCTCTAATTTCAGTTCGGTCTTATATTCATACTAAAGTGAAATTATGAAAATATGATGTAAGCTTTTACAATTTCGACGCGGTCGGATGTAAGATGTCTACAAATAAAAATAAACTCAAAATCTTTTTTCAAAATAAAAAATTTGACACCAATACCATATTCAAGTTATATTTTCTACAAATAAAATCTCATAGGATGGAAATGTAGCGTGCTATATATACTAATATACCCATAACATCAAATCAACTTTTTAAAAACAATGAATTTAAAATTGTGGAAAATATAGATGGAGGCGGTACGGAAGATGAAGGAAGGAAAATGTGAGGAGGCGGTGCAGCTCCTTCGTGACGCAAACATGCGATACAAAAACGAGCCTGAGGCCGACTTCAACGTGCAGATGGCTCTTGTTGAGATTTTAATATTGCTGGTATTTCTTGTTTTCTCATATAACTATGCATGCAGCTGCATGTTCTATAATTTAATCTCATGCATGTGTTAAAACAAAATTATTGTCTATGATTAATGGTTAGTTTATTTGGACGATATTCCAGGAAAGGTATCAAGAAGCTGCTGAGTATAGTTGTCTAAATGACGAGAATGCTCAGATTTCTGATGTTCGGATCCCTCTTTATAAGGTTCGTGAACATATATATATAATAAATCTCTGTATTTATTTCTTGATTAATACTAATATATTAGTCGAAATTTTATCGATATATGGGTTTAGCTGTTGAAATTGATGTCGGTTTCAAAAGTACAGGCAATTATATACACGATGCTAGACAAAGATACTGAAGCCAAGCAGTGTTGGAAAGAGTTCAGAAAATCTATTGGTGAAGGATTTGACCCTTTCAGCTTCGAAGAATAATTAATACTTTTAGATCGATTTATTACCTAAAATTAATTATTGTCATCCCTAAAAACATTTTTACCACCAGCAACTAGTGGTGAATAAATTAAAAAAATGTTCGAATGTTAGAAAACTTCATCATTCCTACGGATATTCTTCCGATTGTTTCACTCGCTCACGTTGAATTTGATTTTATGCAATATCTTGTGACTAGTCTCTTGAATATTCTTCTTTGTTGTTGTTTTTGTTCTTACAACAGGCTTACTCTTCTATTATGTTGGGCAATGTAATGCATGTTTTTTTTTTTTTTATCAGAAGATTGATATCGCTTTAGAAAGATTGTTTGAAGCTGGTAAAGATAACAACCAACTATATAGTGAACTGGTCAGTTTGTTTTAACGTTATTAATAGAGTTTTTAAGTTTTTTAAAAATAAGACTAAAGGCAGATGTCTATATCTTCGCATTTCTCAAATTTTAGATGGTATCTACAATCCTATTCCTATCTACATTTTTATATGTGTTTAAAATTAAAGTAAAATATATATAAAGTGCTACGGTAGCACTGCTACCCAACAACGATTTAAATTAAAAACGTTTCACAAAGTTTGGGCTTGAATCGGTGAGGTCCTTGAAAATGGTGAGCATTCAATCACCACCTAGCGAACAAGTTGGGCGAGTTGTATGTATATAGACATGATCAATCTCTTTGCTGTACAACAATATCTTTTAGATCATGGTTATAGATCCATTGTATAAAGCAAACTACGTTCTACGTACACCGAATTATATATGCATTTCCGAGGTATCAGTGTCACCGCCGAAAAATAGATTCTAGTGCCCACATGATGGTGGGCTGGTGGTTTGGCGGGCCCAGGGTGGTTGGGTGCAACTCCCTCCTCTCCTTGGTTCGATTCCTCCCTCCTGCCGTTATCAACATTATTGTGGGAAGTCTGTCAGTTGGGTTTTGGTCCAATTGGTTTACCTGGTAGTCAAAAATGCAGGCGGCCTGACTACCCCTGGCACTTAGTCGGAAGGCATTCCAAACTCGGGATAGGCAGAGTGGTAGCCCGAAGGGCCTAGCCGTTAACACGGTGGACCAGTCCACTATGTAGCACCTCGGTGTGTTCCTACCGGGGCCGACCGGATAGCCGATAGGGTTTATAAAAAAAAAAAAAAAAAAAAAAAAAAAAAAAAAAAAAAAAAAAAAAAAAAAAGATTCTAGCTGAAATATATTTATACGAAAATATTGAGTGATCTATGATTCGCATCACCTAATAATCCGACAGAAATATAGTCTCCATATATAGAAAAAAAAAAAAAAAAAGACAAAGCATGTTAATAATAGAAGAAACACGCATTCGTACGTTCCAAGTTGACGCGAAGAAGTAGGTTGTGCACAACATCACAACCACGTGACGTGTAGACGTTCAGTTTTTGACGACTCAGCGTGACTTCACACAATCACTCATCATTTTGCCACACGTGTTGATAGGGGTTTACTCCAAAATATCAAGGAAAAACAAATCGACGTCGACCGAATCTTATAAAACTAAACATAGGATATACGATCGATGTCGACCGAATCTTACAAAACTAAACATATGATATACAAATCTGACGTCGACTACAGTACCTCAAACTCTAAACAACAACAGTACTCTTAACGTTGTTACGTATATATATGTGATGTCGTATTACTGGAGATTTTTACGTACATGCAGTCCATATACTACATATAATATAGTTATCTAGACGTACTGCGCATGGGCAAACTCTACAAGAAAATAAAAATAAAAAAAGGAAAAAAGAGTTGAGATATGTGGATACCAGACCTACACCTCCACGAGTCAAATTAACATGATCACCTTTTCTACAAAATACATTCTGTAATTTTGTTTTCTTGTATTAATTCTGATGACCAACTAATCTTCTACGTCTAGCTAGTAGTGTACTTCTTCGTTTAAAATTAAATTCATTTTAAAGTAATTTTTACAAAATAGATGTCAAAAACTTTTTTCGATGCTACTTTGAGAACTCTCCTCAAGTGTTTTATATTTTATAATAGCAAATATTTATAATTTTTAAAAATAACCTAATTGATAGAGTAGCAAATTAATTTTATGTTTTATAAACATATATTATCGATCAGGATATGTAGCCTAATGATTTATGTTTATGCTTTGAATGGTGATCAAAAAAAAAAAAAAAGAATGAGGAGAACATGTATTCATCTTCATTTCTCAAAAATTACACCATTTAACAATAACATTTGCTACTTATGGTTATGGATACTATATAATTTATTTCCATCTTCTTTGGGGAATTATAGAACAAAAGTTCCTATCAAATATGGGGAGAAACAATAAAGAACATACAATTAAAACATTTTGATTAAATAAGAATATGGTTTCAATAATATATCTCACGAAAAGTAAATGAGTATTATATTGAAAATTAATTTTTGGTAAGTAACTCTAATAAAAGACTAAGAAGAATTATGTTCCAAAAATAATTTCAGATTCAAATATATATTATGATCTCTTTACTTAAACTAATATTGATAACTAGTTAATTTCTTAAAGATGTATTTCTACATGAAACCAAATTTAAAAATTAAATTCAAATTTTAATATTGCTATTATGTATTTAAATTAATATTGAAAAGGGATATTAGAGATCTATATAATTCCATTAAAATGTATGTTTAATATCAAATTCTGATGATATAATTACTTAGATATTTACTCCATTTCTCTATATTAAATTCCCCCATTCCTTAAATATTTATTTTATTTCTTTTCATTTTTATTGTTTATGTTAGTGGTGTCATCACTTGAAAATTTAGAATCATTGATGCATCACTACTCGAATTCAAACCCGCATATGACATATCTTCGGAGTAGGATATATAAATTATTTATGATTACCACATAAGAACTTAATAATGTATGGAGCAAAAAAAAAAAAAAAAATGATAGAATGGTAACCAAGCAAAGAATATATTCGTTTTCAACAACCCCTAGATTTGTTAAGTAAAAAAAGAAATTAGAAAAGATATACTAAACTCTGTTTTCCAAAAAATAGAAAGTAAAGATATACCAAAAAATAAAAATAAATCCCATTACATTTCCAGTATATAATCCCCCTAAAAAAGGAAAAAAAAAAAAGCATTTACAAAATTGGAAAAATTAAAAAATCAAAGAAAAATGTGAACAAAATAGCCTCTTCCCTACAAGCCTACACACAACAAGCGACTAGACTATAAATTAGTGCTAAGAAAACACCCTATTCACCAAATTCACTCTCTTTTCAACAATCTTTATTTTTCAAAGTTCTTGTTAAAAAGAGCAAAACACTTAAAACCATGGTAATTGTGTTACAGCCATCCACTTTCGATAGCAACCTCTATGTTAACCCAAAATGCAAACCGAGTCCGGTTTTAATCCCTGTTATAGACTTAACCGAATCAGATGCCAAAACCCAAATAGTCAAAGCATGTGAAGAGTTTGGGTTCTTCAAAGTCATCAACCATGGGGTCCGACCCGATCTTTTGTCCCAGTTGGAGCAGGAAGCCATCAAGTTCTTTGCTTTGCCTCACTCTCTCAAAGACAAGGCAAGTCCACCCGACCCGTTTGGATACGGCACTAAACGTATCGGACCCAATGGGGACGTAGGCTGGCTTGAGTATATTCTTCTTAATGCGAATCTTTGCCTTGGCTCTCACAAAACCACAGCCGTTTTCCGGCACACCCCTGCAATATTCAGGTATAACAAAGTTAACCCCAAAACTAAACATTTCTTTCGTCTTTTACAAGTTCTTTTAAACAAAAAAAGAGCAATCATAATAAATATACTCGAAAACTATTGTTTTTTACGTCAATCATTTCCGGAAAACCCCATGAAATAAGAGTTGTCATGTTTAACGGTGAGAAACATGGGATTTTCTGTTTTTTCTCCGATGAATAAGGCTTAAATCAATCCAGAATTTGATCAATGATTTTAAAAAGATTTCATACTTGAAAATTTTCAGTTTATTCTACAAGAAATAACCCAAAAATCTAAAAACAATCTAAATTTAGATTCAGTGTTGACATGTCCTTTAACCGAAAAAAAAAAACAGAGATCCCCTGTTCTGTTCTTTAACTGACATATTTGAATTGTAACAGAGAGGCAGTGGAAGAGTACATGAAAGAGATGAAGAGAATGTCGAGCAAAGTTCTGGAAATGGTAGAGGAAGAGTTAAAGATAGAGCCAAAGGAGAAGCTGAGCCATTTGGTAAAAGTGAAGGAAAGTGATTCGTGTCTTAGGATGAACCATTACCCGGAGAAGGAAAAGACTCCGGTCAAGAAAGAGATTGGGTTCGGTGAGCACACTGATCCACAGTTGATATCACTGCTCAGATCAAACGACTCGGAAGGTTTACAAATCTGTGTCAAAGATGGAACTTGGGTCGATGTTACACCTGATCACTCCTCTTTCTTCGTTCTTGTCGGAGATACTCTTCAGGTACTCTTTCTGTTGCTACTTCTTTTTATTTATTTATTTATCACAACTATTAAAAAACCTTATTCTTTATGAGATACCATTTAAAATTATAAATTCATAATATATCAATAGTTTAATTTAAACTTTATTTTGGGCTATTGGGTAATATTTTAAAATTTATACAAAAATTATATTTTCTCAAAATATTTGTTATATATTAAGATTCTTTTCTACCTAAAAAAAAAAAAATCACGTAATATAAGGTTGGGACTTCCGTTTAGGTCTGAAAATCTAGCTACACTTGTACGATCATATATTACCCTCACGTGACAACTAGTCAAATCTCAATATGATGAGTATTCTCATGAGCATGAATCTAACGTTCTTTTTTGTCCTCACCTTTTGAACCATTATCAGTTAATTACCACCATATTATTGGTTCACAACACAAATTTATATGGTCTAATTTTTTGTTGGTGGCTTTTTGACAATTAATGCAGGTGATGACAAACGGAAGATTCAAGAGTGTGAAACACAGAGTGGTCACAAGTACAAAGAGGTCAAGAATATCGATGATCTACTTCGCAGGTCCTCCTTTGAGCGAGAAGATTGCACCATTGTCATGCCTTGTCCCAAAGCAAGATGATTGCCTTTATAATGAGTTTACTTGGTCTCAATACAAGTTATCTGCTTACAAGACTAAGCTTGGTGACTATAGGCTTGGTCTCTTTGAGAAACGACCTCCATTTTCTCTATCCAATGTTTGAGGCTATTATTATTTTTTTGTTTTTGTAAGTCTAACAAGAATAGAAAAATAGATATGCCTTTTCTCTGCTTCTTGTAATCAGGCCCGTATAGGCCTAATTAGACATCTTTTAGGGGTTTTCAAAATATTAGCTTGTGGGTCGAATATTATTTTGTAAGCCTTCAAATCCTCTTTTTAAAGCCAAGTCCATTATCGAAGACGAACACGTCGTAATCAGGAATCTGTGATAAAAAGATTGGTAAAATTTCTGGATTTAAGTTATCGTTATTACAGCAAAAAAGAAAAGAAAAAGAAAAAGAAGCAAGTAGTAAAAAAAAAAAAAAAAAAAAAAAAAAAAAAAAAAAAAAAAAAAAAAAGAAGCAAGTAGCAAGCACGTCTTAATTGTGTGCCCGGGTTCTATGGTTATGGCGTAACTGAATCTGATAGTTGGTCGCCAGTGGTCGTATTATTAAAAGCAAGCATGTAATCTTTGTGTTTTATATTAAAGAAAATTTTGACTGCTTATCAATCTTTATGTTTTGTTTTTGTTGTGATTTGTTTTTAAACAACACTTTTTAACTTTATTTTCCACAAACTAGTAGAGTAGAATTAGAATACCTCGCCTCGCCTTGTTAAAAAAACTATTAAACGATACTAGTAATTTTCTAATTTCTTTTTCAAAAAAAAAAATTCATAATCCACCATTTTTAAAAAATTAAATATTTCCATACTTTTTTATTATTCTGGAAATAATATCTACTAAACATGTGAATTTTATTGTTTTTGTTATTCTCTTTTCTTTCTTATAGTATAATATAATTTTGTTTGTTTAACTCTGGTTTTGCTGGGTAAAATCCAAGAATAAAATAGAGCAAAAACAAATAATGAACAGTATAATAAAGAAAAGTACAAATCAATTGAAATATGTTTTTACCACTTTTAAAATGGACAGAAAATAAACCCCAATTTTCTATTAAATAGTGTAAAGTAGAGTAAATTATATTTCAGGACCTTTACTCTGATTGCTAATTTTTTTTTGTTTTCGCTGAAAGATTTGCATTATATAATACAAAGGAAGAATATAAGGGTGAAATACATTTTTGGAATACGTTTTCGAAATATAAAGCAGGCGGAAAATAAAGAAATCTCTGGAAGCTAAAGTCCGATACACGGGAAACACAAAATGAAATACTAAGGTCAAGAAAAGAAGCTCTCGAAATCAGCGGGAAAATCGGAGGAGAACATAATCGCAGAATTAATAACTCAAATGACACATACTAGAGGACCTACAACCACAAACGGAGTAGATCCAAAAATAAAGGAAACCGCAAAAACATATCCCAACTAAAAACGATTATCTCAAACATAAGAAGTAACGCGGCGAATCTAAATACTAACCACCTTATCTTCTAAGTTCGAACTAGAGTTTAGATCTAATTAGCCAGTTGAAATGAGAGTAAAATTTTTATTTAATTTTATTTATGCTAACCCGAAACAGCATATATACCTTGTAAACTTTTTTTATAAAATATAGAAAAAATGTCAAAATAAAATCAAAATGGAAATTTGTATTTTAAATTAGAAACGACAATATATTGTGACGCCATAGAAAACAAGAATCTACGGATCTGATTTGGAAATGTGTTTCCAACCTTTTAGAAATAATAATAATTACAGATTTTTTTCTAAATGTTGTCCAACTGTGTAGCACGTGCCTGTTGGTTGATGTATGTATGTTTGCGAGAGAGAGCTGTTGTTCAACTCTCTCCATCCATCAGACATCTCCTGTTTTCTTCTTCTCTCTTCTCTTCTTGAGCTTTGAGATCTATCACACAAATATGGCCACCGATGAGCCTTCTCAAACTCGCTGGAGCTTTCTGGTAAATTCTCACTCACTCTCTCTCACTCACCTTCTCTTTATCACCTTACTTCCTGGAAAATGCAGCCATAAAGAATATTATTAGTAGTTCAATGTTCCAAATCGAAGTCAAACTCTTCAATATCACAGCTCAGAGTTTTTTTGTTTGTTTTGTGTTTTAAAGATTTTCTTAAACCACCGGAGAAACCGAGGAACCCCTGTTTCAACTTAACTTTCGAACTTAGATTAGATTTTGTCTTCTTTTTTTTTTTTTGGTCTGATACGAAAAATGGTCACTTTCAATGACCCTATAGTGAACAACGAACCTGTTTCGATTTCTCTGAATTCAAAGCAATGAGTTTGGAGAATTGATCGATTTGTTCAAGAAAATCTATGTATTTATTAGGAGTTTAAAACGTTTTATGATGCCAAGTTTGGGAGGAAGAAGCTGCCTGAAGAGGATTCCAACAAGGACCAACCAGATGATGGATCATCCAACGGTGATGTCAACACCAACTCTTCCCAAGTCACCAATTCAGCTCAGGTGATGATTTTGCCTTCTTTAAGCTTCCTGGAATCTGTGAAATGCTTCAAGCAGTAAATGGTGTGTATTCTTGGTCCTGAGATGATCAAAGTTTTAAGATTTATGATGATTGCAGGATGGTAACACAGGCTTGGCCAATGGCAATGTTATTCGCGAGAAGCCGTAAGATCTATGGTTTCTTTTTGCTTTTTTCTTCTTAGTTCTTTGTGCATAGTGAGGTCTTGGATCTGAGGAATGGTTAGCATAAGCTGCTACATGACCAAAAAGATTCGTGGAAAGAAACCACTATATGTATCTTTGATGTTCTTCTGCAGGAAAAAGTCCATGTTTCCACCTTTTGACTCTGCGGAAACTCGTACTCTCGCTGAGAGTTTGAGTAGGTAAGTCATTGTGGCTACTGATACATTTTTGCTCTGGCATCATGTTCTTGTTTTTTTGATGAATTAGTCTGTTTCAGGGATATCATCCGTGGGAATCCAAATATCAAGTGGGAAAGCATCAAAGGTTTGGAGAACGCGAAAAAGCTGCTCAAAGAAGCTGTGGTGATGCCTATAAAATACCCCACGTATGTCATTTGTTGCTATCTAAGCCATTCTTGCCACTTTCAGTTTACTTTGGTACTTGAATCTCAGCTTTTGATTTCAGGTACTTTAATGGTCTACTAACTCCATGGAAAGGAATTCTTCTTTTTGGCCCTCCTGGTACTGGAAAGGTGCGATGATTCTATCTCGAATGTGTTATTACTTTCGAATTCTTACTCTCTTTTCAGTCTCCATAAGCTTGCATTTCAAACTCATATGCACACTTACCTCACCAAACCATTAACCAATTTCTTGAGCCTACCCCAACAAATTTTGATCATGAAAAGTATATTCTGATGATGCATAACAGTCTTATTCGTCTTCTGCAGACTATGCTTGCAAAGGCTGTTGCTACAGAGTGCAATACAACATTCTTCAATATCTCAGCCTCATCTGTTGTTAGCAAATGGAGAGGTGAAATCTTCTTTACCTTTATTTACTTATGAGATAAGATGCAGTCTTTTGGAGTAATAAAATTTGGGAATTTCAATCTTGTGTGTTGATGTTTTTCAGGTGATTCTGAGAAGTTGATAAGAGTTCTGTTCGATCTAGCTAGGCATCATGCACCTTCGACAATATTTCTTGATGAAATCGACGCGATCATAAGCCAACGTGGTGGTGAAGGCCGCAGTGAACATGAAGCTAGCAGGCGTCTCAAAACCGAGCTGCTCATTCAGGTAAAATGCACAAGAACCTTATCTGTCTCACAAAGTTCATTATATTTCCAGACCATCAGTAATAAACCGGTTCAAATTGTTGCAGATGGATGGGTTACAGAAAACAAATGAGCTCGTATTTGTTTTAGCAGCAACAAATCTCCCCTGGGAACTAGATGCAGCTATGCTCCGGCGTCTTGAGAAACGAGTATCCTTTTATTTACTCTTATTGAACAAAAATGCTTCTATCATGTTTTTCCTTTGTTTTGGCCTTAACTAGTGAAACCATTAGATTCTTGTACCTTTACCGGATCCAGAAGCAAGAAGAGGAATGTTCGAGATGCTCTTGCCGTCACAACCAGGCGATGAGCCATTGCCTCATGATGTGCTGGTTGAGAAATCTGAGGGCTATTCTGGTTCAGACATTCGAATACTTTGTAAGGAAGCTGCGATGCAACCACTGAGACGCACATTGGCTATTTTGGAAGACAGAGAAGATGTTGTGCCTGAAGAAGGTAAAATCTCTCCAGAAAAGAATCCATCATTGGCATAGTTTACCTTTAAAAACAGCAGAATCTTTGACATTATTAGTTGTCTTGCAGAGTTGCCAAAAATTGGACCCATCCTACCAGAAGACATTGATCGAGCTCTGAGTAACACTCGACCATCGGCTCATCTGCACGCCCATCTTTACGATAAGTTCAATGATGATTATGGTAGCCAAATTCTTAAGTAAATTCGATGTAAGCTGTACATCTATGTCATCTAGAACTTGATCATTATTTGTATGGAAGCATCCAAATTACGGATGCTCAAAGAACTTGAAGTTTTAAATTATGAATAAATGCTCCTAGTTGCTTGGGACTCAGTTTCAGCGTATTATTTTCATATCTTTGGGGATTGTTTTTTTTTCTTCTTTTAAGTTGCTTCTTGGTCTCTGTTACTCTGGTCGCCTTTGCGTGAAATAAAATGAGAGAGTAACAGCAATGTGACTAAAGCTCTAGTCTGATTGGTGACCAAAATTTTTGTATGCAGTAGAAAAAGTAAACGGTTCAAGAAGTGTTAGATAAGAAATAACAGTTTTCACTCGGTTCTCTCCGGACCAGACATTCCTTTTTTTGACCGTTTTCTTGACCTCTTTTTTGTATCGCTCTCGCCTTCTTTCTTTTCCTGGAAACCCAAAACAAAAATCGAATTGTGTTAACATTGGAACATTTTTGTTTGTAAAATCATACTGCAGCCAAATCTCTAATGTTACCTTGTGTGCACCAGAGTTAGAATTGGCTTTGGATTTGGATTGAGGTTTCTCTGTATTGTTCTCCTTCTTTTTCTTCATGCATGAAAGTGGGTTTGGACCCTGCAGAGTTTTGAGACAACAATGTTAGTTTCTCCATTGCTACTTCATCTAAGACACACAAGAAACAAAGAATCCTGATAAAGTTACGACTAACATTGTGAAGAGAGTGTCCATTACCTTGGCTCTATTTCGCTTGAACTGAGGTCTATCCTTCACACCAAGTCCATTTCTTGTAGAAACTACTCTAGGCATTCCCCATTCTTCATTTTCAATTGTTCCTTTTTCTCTATTAGAAGCTATGATTTTCGCAGTCCGTTTCACCAACAACTTTTTTTCTGTATCAGTCATAGTTAAGCGCTTATTTTCAGAGTCTTTGGCGGTCTGACGTTGGAAATCAGAAGGTTGATCGATCAGCAGTATGTTCCTTAAACCAAACACAAGAGGAACGATAGACTCCTGAAAGAGGAAACAATACACAGAGATTCACTGTATAAAACACTCTAAAACCCTCACACAAAAAAATCCATCCTCTGATACAAAAAAACTCTGCTCATATCAAACTAACCTGCTGAAGCTTTCTCCTAAACTCAGCGTCCTGAGTACCGAGAAAGAAATGCTCAGAATTTTTCACCCCTATCACCTCTGACAAACACTCATCTGCTGCTTTTGCCTCCTCGTGCTCACATCTAAATACTCAAATCAAAGCAAATCAATCACACATACATCATACAAAATTCAGGTTTGGCACACAAAACAAATCCTCCCTTTCTACACATTAACCTCATTATATTAGTTACACATATCAATTTCTTATACATTATACAAAATCAAGCCTTAGAACTTAGAAAAATCCTCACTTTCTATACATTAAGCTCATCATAAATGTAATACAAAACTCAGCTCCATACCTTATGAAACAAATTCGAATTTTCCACAATCTACTAATCAATCTCACACCAAATCCGAAGAGACCAAAAGATAATGAGAAAAGGGAAGCTTACGTTGCTGTACTAAGCATCTGAGCAGCTTCAAGAGATTCCGCAAAATCTTTCCCCAATTTCTCCAGCTCCGCAATCACACATCTACATAATAACAGCTCCAACCAAAGCATGATAAGAAATTTGGTAAATTGATTTGAAAATCGTGAGAGAGAAGTTCCGGGATAAGAGATAGAAACCTGGTGGTGAAGAGCTTGACGGGACCTCCGAGGAGTTCGGAGATAGCAGTGTCGGCGGGAGTGATCTCATTAGAAACAAGATGGTGGACGAAAGTGCCGTCGCAAAGGACTTTGTAGGGTTGTCGGAATCCATAACAGACCGTGAAGAATCTCACGGTTCTCCTGTTTTTCTTCTGCCTCTTCACTCTCATCTTCTTCTTCTTCTTCTCTCTACACTGCGATTTTCCAGTGCAATTAGGGTTTTAGGTTTTTTATTCGGTGGAGATAAACCGCCGATTTCGGGAGAGAGAACGTTTATTAGTTTGGAAAATTCGGTTTTTATTGGTTTGCTAGGTTCGGTTTAGTGAAATTGCCATGCCATCGTCATAAAAAAAAAACAAAACAATTGCTTGATTTTTTGGGGAGATTTGGTATATGATAAGCAAAAACAAATATTTATGTAGGAACTATTTTTGATTTTGTCCTAAATTTTGAATTGTTGGTAAGGTAAATATTTCAACTGAATTATATCTTTATAAAGTTGGAGGCTAATAGGATTCTTCACTCGGCCGCCAACTTGAACATTTAGCTAGAAAATCAAACAACTTGTTGTTAGTTGTCATGACTCCAGTACTCTTGCATCCGAAGGTTTTACCGTGATAAACTACGGTTTCAGGTATCATCTGCATTTTAGCTGGTTATCATTTGAAATTCCATCAGGAAAAACCGCAATGGTTGTTCACCTAACACAAACCAGAGCTCGTATTTTTTGTTTATGGTAACTTGGTGCGCCAGAAAATAGTATGTTTATCATTGTAGACCACTAAACTTTGATCCTCTCTGCCATTTCCACGAAATGGGACTAAAACACTCGTTTATGGCTAAAATGATCCATCAGTGTTCTCCAATGACTAGTTCACATTGATTAGACTAATTAAGATATGATTTCTCTGAGAATATCCAAACTGGAGAAGAGTATAATGGAAAACATGTTTTCAAAGTACAGTTTGCCAATTAGTTCTTTATTTTATCAGTTATATAGACCCAGAAATATCTAACAACTAATCATCATAAGATAATATGATATAGTTATCCCATATAAGCCTTTTCTCTGTAATTCCCACAACCGTGTTCATATACTTTTACTGTTTTACATCTCTCTTCATGATGATTAGTATTTAGAAATCGTACCTTAATTTGTGTTCTGCAGATAACTGTTCTTCTCATAAATTTCTTCGAACGTTGAGTTAAGCTGAGAAACCCAAAGATTGATGATATATAATCAAACCTCACAATGCTACAAATCATTACTTAATCCAAAACAAGACACTGGCTTATTAATTCACATTTGAAGTGTTCATATACTTACCTCTTTGATTCGGTTTCTCAGGTTCTCGATTTGTAACCGGTTCTCCGATCTAAACCTCTCAACATTTTGCATAAACTCATTCATCTCTGAACATTTCACCTTGTAATACTTCTCCCTCTCTTCGTCTAACTCTCTCAGCTCCTCAACCTCACTCTTCAGGCTCCTATCCTCCAAATAATATTCAACATAAAACCAATCAAAAACACTATATCGATATCATAACAATCACCAAACCAAGAATCAAGAATGATCAAACCTCAATTGTTGTATAGAGCCGTGGTATTTGGAATCGAGATCTTCGATGTTAGACCTGAGAACTGTGATCTTGAGGTTTTGTGCAGCGATTTTCTGGTCTAGCATCAAACATCTGCGTTCTATGGATTGTATACTTGCGTGCTTCGATGCTAAAATCTTTGATTTGTTCACTTGTAACTCTTTCTCCGCCTACTCAAACATTAGAATCAAGCAGAACCAGAAAACGATCAACGCAATGAATCCAGAAATCTCAAATTGAAAAATATTGTAAAGTGATGATCTGTTTGATTAATTCGCTGGGAAACTTGAGTTCGAATTGAATTAGAGCAATAGTTCATCAACCAGAGATATCGACTAACACAGGAATGTAGCATTTCTCTACTTTTCACACTAGCGACATTGAAACCCGATGATTCAATGGAACGAAGAGAAGATAGGATTCTAAATTGATGGATTGTTTGGTACCTGAAGAAGATCGAGTCGTTGGTTTCTGGTGAACTCCATTTGATCTAGTCTCTCCTTGAAAGCTGAAGAAAGCGCCATTGCTAGAGAGAAGAGAGCGAGAATTTGAATTTTGAACTTTGGAGATTGGAATAACTGAATAAGCAGAGTCAACTCAAGTATATTTTATACGCAGTTATTTAAGGCCCATAACAGTTAGAGTCCAATACTAATAAGCCCATTAAGCCGATTCAGAGCATCCAAGTTCTTCGTCACTGAACTGATTTGTAGTGTTTTCGAGTTCTTTGTCGATTAAACAAAACTCAGGGTCCAAAATTACTCGGCGACTACTACAACAAATAAACCATCTGGAATTTGAAACTTCAAAGATCTAATTTGATACAGTGTACATTCTCTATGTGTGAGAGAGTCATAGATAAGCAAAGTTTGAATTGATGTAACAAGAAGGAAGATGATCAAAGAAGAAATACACAATTCGTCCCCAACAAAAAAACCTTTTACTCATATATGGATAGATCTCAGACTTGTTTCTTAATAATAACAAAAACACAAGCATTCAATAAAATGAAATTGGCAAACTTTTACAAAAGGATAGCAAATCAACAGACAAAACTCAAGATCGATCAGACGGACTTGATCGCGGTGGAGGGATCAGGGTCGGAGTTATCTGGAGGATGATTTGGGATGAGAGGAGAACGAACATCGGAAGATGTGTCGACGTCTTGGTCATCGGGATCGTAATCAGGATTGAGAGATCTGTCGATGGCTTCACGGCCTGATTCCAGGCAAGGCTTACAAGCTAACTCTATCGTGATCCATCCCAATATAATTCCAGCTATTGCTATCACCGCACTTGTTATCGCCGCCATTGAGATCTTTCTCTCTTTCTCTCTCTCTTTCTCTGATGCCTCCGACTCTGTACCACCTCTTTGCTTGACTCTTCCCGTTCCCCTCAATTATGGAGGAGATTGAGAAAATGTCAATTATACCCTTTTCTTTTGAGTATATTCTTTTTCGTCGGCAAGAATTATGAATTAGCTAATCACAATTTTGTTACCTGGTCCTTAATGATAGTATTTTTATTGATTTATATTCTGATTAAATTGATGTAATGAGTAAGTGAATAGTGATGACAACGTTGTTACAATTTGTTATTGACAACTAATAGCTAATAATGTTTTAGAAGGTTTTTGGTTTATGTACAAGTACAATATTGTAACGAAATCATTTTCAGAAGAAAGTAATGTATGTGAATATGGAAATTATCTATAGAAAATGTTCATACAGAAAAATTCAGAGTTTCGTTTCACAAGCACTTTCCATCCAAGACAAACAAAGAAAAACAGTAGTAAAACGTTAAAAAGGGTACAAATAAATTAGGAATAATATCACAATGTCTCTTTTAAATTACTGGCAGAGTTGTTCGACGGCAGTGACGATCTGAGCTGGCTGAACAACCGTCCATTCCTCCAATGTGCCAGCGTAAGGAGTTGGAACATCTTGAGAAGATAAACACATCACTGGAGCATCCAAGTAATCATGAAAGTTCTCGTTTATTGCAGCCGTCAAGCTGGCTCCGATTCCTCCTGTTCTCATACATTCCTCCACAATTAAAACCCGGTGCGTCTTCTTCACTGAGTTTCCAATTGTGTAGAGATCGAACGGCTTCAATGACCTAATGTCGATAACCTCTGGATCATACCCTTTGTTCACCAGCGTCTTTGCAGCCTGCATTACATGGTACCTGATACAAGTACTCTGTTAGTTCTGGTTTGTTTGAATTTCAATGAAGAAGAGCTTTTGGTTGTGATTTAGTACCTCATCCTTGAATACGTCAGTATCGTGATGTGTTCACCGGGTCTGACCATTTCCGCTTCTTCCAGATTACAGATGTATTCTTCATCCGGAATAGTCTCCTTGAGGTTATAGAGCAGAACATGTTCAAACAGAATCACAGGATTCTCGCTTCTTATTGCAGCTTTCATCAATCCTTTAGCGTTGTAAGGTGTTGAGCAAGCCACCATCTGGATCCCAGGAATTGACTGGAAGTAAGACTCGAGACGCTGGGAATGCTCGGCTCCGAGCTGCCGGCCCACACCTCCAGGCCCACGGATTACAACCGGGATAGTGAATTGACCACCGGATGTGTAGTGAAGCATACCACAGTTGTTGGAGATTTGGTTGAAGGCTAAGAGTAGAAACCCCATGTTCATACCTTCGATGACGGGTCTTAATCCTATCATGGCAGCTCCAATGCCCATACCAGTGAAAGCGTTTTCACAGATTGGAGTATCAAGAACCCTGAGATCCCCGAACTTGTCAGCTAAGCCTTTGGTTACTTTGTATGAGCCTCCGTAATGGCCTACGTCTTCACCCATGACACATACATGTGGATCTCTGTCCATCTCTTCTTCTAGACCTTCTTGAAGAGCCTCGAAAAGCAATAGCTCATGTCTGCACAAATTAAATTTAGTTACGCTTATGCTGTGGCAAAAAGCATAAACCTTACATGGAAGTAGGTTTTATCTCACGGAACATACAAAGACAAGAGCAAGAAATGTGCAACTAGGAACAATGGATGCATAAGTGAAAATGCATACGCTTGAATTTGTAGGCATTGAGGATGTATATGTAACGTCACATACTCAAATGAACTACTAATAAAACACAAGCTTTAATCAATTGCGGGATTTTTTTAAGGCGTTCGTAAATGTGTTTTAGGTGGGAATTGTTCATTTTGTATGCTAATACATCAGAACTTGAAAATCAATGTGTTCATGAGGGAGGTAGCTAAAAGCTTCCACTTAAGTCATCTTAAGATAGATTCTTCCTCCAATCCATCTACCAAGATAATCATTTTAGATAGAAAAATAACTGGAAACACAGCTTTGCAATCACTTTTAAAATTCCCAGTTATCCATTTGACAACTGCCACTTCTAAAGACCCCAAGTAAGGCTCTTTTCAGCAGAGATTCTAACCTAATCTAGAATTGGCCCGGATCTGACACCACCATTCTCAAAAACAAATAGCATTTGCATAATCAAACATGATGAATCTAACAGGAAGCTTGTTCAAGCAGTATCATAGATCTACTGCACTATAGATGAGCCATAACAGTTAACTACCAAACAAGACAGAACTTTTCCTCCCAGATAACAACCATGATTATGATCAAGAGTTCAAAATTACTAAATCAATGCATGAAACCATTAGCATAAGTAGTTAAGTAACAAAAGGACGCAGAACATACCCAGGCTTTGATGAAGTAGAGCTCGCAGCAGTGTCCGCCTTCGTCTACAGAAATCGAAAACCCCATCAAAGATCCATTATAGATTCTTAATACGAAATCAAAACCAAGATTTAACACATACCGCAACAGCATTTGGTATCAACGGCTCAGAGCGACGAGCTACGAGGCTAGAAGAACCAAAGCTTTTATTAGTCCCATCAGATCCAGCAACAATGTATCTCTTGCTCCTCACTACATTAAAAACCCCCATAAAAACTCCGAAGATCATACCAAATTCATAACAAGTTCAAGCAATTTAATCGTCAAAGCAGATCATTCCCCAAATTCGAAATCGAAACCAACAAAAAATGGAGGCGAACCTGAAAGAGATGAGCGAGAAGGAGCTACGAGTTTACTGGAATCGATAGAATTAAACGGCGAGAGAGACGTTGCAGCTCCAGCTCCTTGGAGTAGTATCGCAGACATTTTTCCGAGAAAACCAAAGAGAGGAAATCAATCGTGACAAGTGTTATTATGTATGCATATATAAACAAAAATGGTGATAGATAGATAGAACAGAGAAGAAGAGTGGAGAAGAGCGGAGAAATCGAAGAAAAAAGCGTGATTTCGTATCAACTTGGCGATTTTGATAAACCCGGTTTATTCCGGTTTATAGTTGCTCTAATCTGCGTATTGGTTGGATTTGGTAGTTCACCTGAACCAACTAAATTGCAGACATGATCAAGAGCCCAATTAGTAATTCTGTAAAGGCTTTATGCTCATAATTCTACCACCAATTTTTATCATCCAAAACATTTTTCCTACACTTTTCTTTTTTGGTAAATTTTTATTGCAACAAAAAAGTAATTTTCAAGATGAGATGCTTCTAAAGTTGAATTTTAGATGATATAGGGAAGGTTTAGAATTGAAGAAATTTGAAGAGCAAATAACAAAACAAAAAACAGAGGAGCACGAGTTAAGGTCATGTGCTGAACCAAAGTTGGAGGAGTTTGTTGTAGTTGTAATTTTATGAAATGCTTCGTTAAGTACCTTTGGTGAAAACAATTTAATTCAAAGACGTTTGTTTTTTTTTTAAGATAGCACCAAATTACATGTGCTCATTAGTCATTTCAATTCCATAATTTTGAGATCGTATAAATGATCTATACTATTAATTGGGAATCACTAAATAATAAAAAACCTTTAAGTTGTAAAATATTACATAGGATGCCACTGTTTTTTTTTATAATTTGAAGAAGAAAAAAAAACAATTAAAAAGGGTAATTGTGACAATTTGATTATAAAAAGCCAGCGGATCTTGGGTTGACCCGTTGGTATGAATCGAATAAACACGCAGATCTTGGATTTATATTTAAAAAAAGAAATCGAAATTAAATCAATAAATTAATAACAGCTGTCCTATATTTTTGGAAATGGTTTTAAAAAGATTCCATAATATATCAAGCTGTTTAATTCGAAATTGTATATATGTAAACATATTTATTTTAGTAATATATTATTAAATATTTCCGGTAATCTAATTTATTAACAAATTATATTTTAAAACATTCCTTAATAAAACTATATATGCTAATTAATTCTGATTAGCACACATGAAAAAACAATTTTAAAATTTGATTTTCCAAATATGAAAAATATTTAGTATATTTTTTTTCATATAATCTAACTAAATACTTCCATCCTTTAAAATATAGCATATTCAACAAATAATTTTTGGATTTTAGATTTCTAAATATCTAGAAAATATTTCCTGTATAGATTAAAATATTTTACATTTTAATTAGAATTTAAAATATCTTTTTAAAAATTTTCATTATTTTAAATTTATATCACTATAATAAATTTGAATTATATAAAAGAAAATATATTTTCAAAATGAAATATAATAGTTACTATATCTCCAAATTATTTTATTTAGAGCCCAATAAATTAATATATTTCAAATCAAATAAATTATTTTATTTCATATCAGATTGTAACACACTTTTGGAATAAAAATTCTTCTAAAGTCACTTTTTTCAAAAATCATTATAATATAATTTAAATACCAATATTATAATTTTCAATGAAAATGTTTCAAAATGAGAAAATATTGATTCACACCAATATACTTATTTTTTTATAAATTAGAATAGCTTCTTTTTTGGAAAAAAAACATTAATAAGATTTTTTTAACAGCTCATTAATTGTATTTGAACAATCATTTTTTTGGTAAGTTGTATTTGAACAATCATAATTACCTTATTTGCGAAATTGCATAAGGATAAGTTTAATGGAAAAATACCAAAATCGTTGAGATCATAGAAAATTTAAGATTTTTTTTTAATATTTTCGTCATCATAAATTTAAAATATGCAATTAAGATTGGTTTTTTTTTTTTTTTTTGGTAAAGATTGAATCCACAAATTGAAACCTAATTTTGTGTACAAATCTATTTCCTAGAATTTTGTGTATATAAATATTATGCATTTATGCATACATCCAAAATAACTAATATAAATTACAAGCTGTTAAAATATTTACACATAAAATACAATTAATTCAAATGATTATCTAAAATTTATTTACATTAAACCCTCTCTCATTTTAAGATTTTGTTAAGATTCGTTTTTAAAAATTATGGAGCAAGTTTATCAAATAAATTTAAAATATCTATATTTAATAAATTTGTCTTATATTAGAAATGCATTCTCTTATTGGACATGAATTGGGGAACGGGTATAGGATATAATGGAACATGGCGAAACCAAATGAAATTACGCCCACATCTAAATATTTGTATTTGTTAATCATTTTTAACGGTTTTATATACGGTTTGATAGTTCACAAGTTTAATACAAATCTAACTAACCGTTAATCCGCTTCAATTTGATCCCGTCCGACCGCTAAGTTGTTGAATTTTAAAATACTGCTGAAACAATTATTATTTCAACTATTCAAACATTAATAAGCTACATTAAAACCAAACTGAAAATTAAACTAAATACCCAACTGATATGAATTTGGGTTATAAATACTATATAAAATATATTTGTTTACATCAATCTAACCTATATTATATTTCAATCTAAGATTTTTTCTAATCTACTCTTCAGTTTCAAACACAAAAATTTGACATATGGTTCACAACATTGGCTATTGTGTCATAAACAACATAAATAGCATTCTACACTTTTTTGATACATTATAATTTATATACTACAATATTTACTAAAAAATATATAATCTATATTTACTAAAAGTTTATTACAACACATTTCTTAAGATATGAAACCCCGCACGTACGTGCGGGTCAAGATCTAGTTCTTGTTTGAAATCCAAACATTGAATAATTGGCATTTCCCACGTGGATATTTAACCTTCTACAGTTCTATGTCGGTATGTGGCCGAATCATGTTAACAATCTAAACTAATTATCGAGTGAAACACGTGGTTGACAAAACAAAAATCAACTAAATCACGTGATGACTATTATTTTATTAAATAATGCAATGGTGTATAGATTAGTGCCGACTTTACATTTTTACAATAATTAATATACTCCACCTAAAAAAAAGAAAAGAAATTAAACATTCATTTTTTTTGGGTGAATACAACATTGTTACAGGCATTTAACAGAGCTATAAGCCTATATAACATTGTTAAATGGAGCTTCTTTTTGTTTTGTGCAGCTATTAATGGAGCTTAGCGTGAAATCTTATACTCATTTCTCATAAAAACTAGTATTTTTTTCACTTTTCCATAAAAATATATGTATTTGAATTTTGAATGTAATATTTAATCATAAAATCCATAGCTTATCCCTAATTAAAAATATCATAATACATTTTATTTTGTATTTAATTCGCGTGAAACATATTAAAACGGCAATAATACCAAAACAAATGGACTCAAATTTTTTAAAACTTCACAAACAGGTTTTATGATAGAATCTATGTTATTTGATGAGGCATGAGTCCAGTATTTATCTAATATTTTCCTAACAACACCCAAAAGAATTATAGGATGAACTCTTTAAAAAAAAATCTTCTCTTTTGATATTAGTTTATAAAAAAAAGCTCTTTTCTTTATAAGAAATGAAAAACAAAAATAAAAATCACAAAAAGCATTTTACACATGCGTGAAGAGAGAGAGAAAGAAACAGAGATGTCAAGCTGTGTTCTGTCCAAACCAGCTTTTGTCTCGTCTTTTCTCTATCCTTATATTTCCCTCTCTCTCTCTTCGATCCCAACACATACACAACACGCACACACACATATATAAATCAATAGACTGACAAACACAATCATCATCATCATCATCATCATCAAAAACTACACAAGCCTTTACTCACAAACTAAGAGATCATGGAGATGCAAACAAAATGCGACTTGGAACTTCGCCTTCTTACTTCTTCATATGATTCTGATTTTCATAGCTCGTAAGCCTTCTTTCTCTCAACGTTATTTGTATAACAAATTGTATCATATACATGTATGAATATGAATTAGAGTCAAACGATACTGATAATACTTTATATCAATGGTTTTTGAAGGGTGGACGAATCAAGCAGCTCTGAAATTTCACAACCAAAGCAAGAATCTCAGATATTAACCATCTTCTACAACGGGCACATGTGTGTTTCTTCAGATCTTACCCACCTTGAGGCTAAAGCTATACTATCGCTAGCGAGTAGAGATGTGGAAGAGAGATCGTTATCGTTGAAAAGCTCAGACGATTCGGAACCTTCAACAATCTCAAAAAATTCGACCCAATTTAATTATCAAAAGGCCTCTATGAAGAGATCTCTTCGGAGTTTTCTTCAGAAACGAAATGTTCGGATTCAAGCAACTTCCCCTTATTCCCGATAACATTATTTGTTTGATTTCATTTATTCTCTTTTTTTTGCCTCCAATATTATCCAATTGTGTTGATTATTTTTTCGTATTTCGGATGGATTATAGACCTTTAATTAGCTAGAGTTTTAAGGTTTCAGATTTTCCAGAAACTTGTGTTTAATGTTCAAGAAAGAACTTTTAGCTAGCTTTTAGACGTTTTTAATAGTCTAAAGTTTGTATGGATGATAAAAAAAAATACAAAGTACATAATCTAGTAAAACATCTTGAAATAACATGATACATGAATTACACATTTTAAATTTTCAAGTTTTAATGGTAGATTTGATACATGATTATAGCATATTAATATAAATGTATATATTAAATCAAGTTCACCTCTATTAATCAATCAAGATTTGATCCTTTTGGTAGCCATGTACCTATTCAATTAAGACATAAAGTTATTGTTACATAAAGAGGAAGAATATTTATATCTAAATGATTTGGCAAGGTAAATCGGTATAATTTTCACTATGAATCATCGTTCAGAAGAAAATGGGCGGGGTATATGAACTTCACACAAACATAGTTGTCCTTAAATCGTTGATATATATAACTCCGACCTTCTCTATAACGTGTTGTGGGGCGCGACTGATGTGAGAAACATCCATATACAAAAGCGAAGTCTTCTTCAATTAGGTTGCATATAGAACTGTAGTTAGCATAAAAATTAAACGACTCTATACAATCTTTTTTCATGAAAGATATACTCTAGCTACTGAACACTAATTTTTAAATTTGAACAATTTTGCAAGAATAAGGTATGATGGTGCAAGAATAGTCGAGATATTGCACACCAAAAAAGAATAGTCGAGATATTTTTTTTAGACAAGTTAAGGTAATTATAACACTTGTACGATGAATTCTAGACCAGCCGCCAACGTGTGTGAGCAAACATGAACTTCGCTATTGCCACGCGTTACAACTTAACCAACAAGCTGATATAGGCAATCTAAATTTTCAATTTCATTTAATCTTCAATGATGATACCATATGACATATATATAATCATATTTTGGCTTCTTATGATACAGACTTCTAAATCTCTGACTTAGAGTAAATAATTTATTTGTTGAAAAACCAAAAATTTGACTGATTTGTCGATAACCGCAATAATTCATGAAAAAATGACTGCAATAGAGGTTTGAAAAGATTAAAAATAAAACTCATTGAGTTTTCTTTCACTCCGGATAAAGAAACTGATAAACTCAAGATCAATCGTTTTGAACTTTTGATTGAATCTTCAAATTTTATTTTTATAATAAGTAAATTTTGAATCATTAGGTGATGCAACCATATAAATTCACTTTTTATAGATACGTGGAAGCAAAGCTATCATTTATATGTTGTTTTATTTTACTTTGTTGTGCTGTCAAAGTGTGTACATATTTTTCTCATATTGTACATCTCAAAGGTACCTAATGTAATGTATAAATATAAGAAAAATAAAAATTTACTGATTTCTGTTGTTGTCACAAGATGACGTGTTGACGTTTTGCGGTACCAAGCCTCTGTACCTTGACCTAAAATATTTTTCTGATTTGCTTATATCACCCAATAACGACAATAATTTAAATTTTGTACTAATCTTAATACACATATTAAATGTTATGTACATTTTCAGGTTAACAAAAAGTAAATCATTGAATAATACTTGCAGAAGACGATTGTAATTTCCACGTAACTCAACATGAAACGACAAATAGCGAATCGTGGCAGGATCTGCAAGTAAGATATAGTAGTTGACAAGGGCAAAATAGGAAATTCACAATCTCAATAATGCAGACTTATGATCGCAATATAAAGAGCTTTGATCATGACCAATTCAAAGATCAAACACACTAGACCTCAAGGCTCAATTCTCAAACCCAATGCCCAACTCATCACGAGCTATCCCTGAAAATGACAGAAATGCCCTCGTACGCTGTTGGAAACCCTATTTTCGAGCCTTACAAGCCCAAGAAACAACAATACAAATTGTACTCTTCGTTGCTCCCGATCATCTTATCTATCTTCACCTACATTTTGATCTTCCACGTTCTCGACGTCTCTCCTTTGTCGATCTTCAACGACACGAAGATCTTGTTTGTCATCTCCAACGCACTTATCATCATCATCGCTGCCGATTACGGTGCATTCACTGATAAAGAGAACCACGATTTTTACGGAGAATACACAGCCTCGATGACAAGAGGTGCACGAGAAAACCCTAGACCGGAAAACTTGGGATATCGGGTGGATATGGCGGAAGAAATCAAGAACCGTGAGAAACAAGAAGAACTAAAGGGAGCAAGAGACTTACAACATCAGTATTTGCCTAACAAGAAAGTGAAAGTTCCTGAGAGAATCATTCAAGCCGTGAGCAAGAACCAACCGAGAAACATAACTATCCAAAAGTTCGAGCCAATGACTGAGAAAAACAATCATATAACAGCTGCTAAAGAAGAAACTTGCAAAGAAAGAAAGGTGAACTCTAAACCGTACGAGAGAAGCAAATCGGATAAGGCTCGAGGGTCAATGATAACCAAGGAAAGCCGTCGTCAAGACATCAAACATAGACCTAAAAGTTACGATCGAAGCCAGTCGGATAGCTCGAAATGGATGGTTGTTCACAAGGTGAAGAAGGCTGAGGAGATGGAGGAGGCGACGAAGAAGTGGGAGAATGTAAGAGAAGAGTCGGAGGAGTTCTCGAAGATGTCAAACGAGGAGTTGAACAGACGAGTCGAAGATTTCATCCAACGGTTCAATCGAGATATCAAACGACAAATTTAGTTTAATGTAATTTGTTGTTGTACCGATACGGCAAATTTAGTCAACCTTTTTGTGTCATTTCCTTTTTCTTTTTTGTCATTCTTGCATCTTGTTTATTATTTCTATTTTGCATGTTTGTGCATTTGTCGTTAGAGTTGGTAATGAGATCATGGAGATAATCGCTAGTTTAATTTCAATGGTTGAAATAAATGAAATTGGATATTTAAAGGGAAAAATTGTTGCGACTATTTTTAAAATAGATGGAAACTGAAACATATTTCAACTCACTTTTTGGCACGTTAAAAACACATTTACTTCATAGAAAATACTTGGTTCAGACAGTCATACTAGTATGTTAGATTAATCGTGTATATATTGACCATATATGAGGACCTTATATAAATGAGGTATGTACATGAGTTCTCTTTTTTTGAGAATTTATTTGCTATTCTTATATTCTAAGGTATCTAATTTGATGTATAAATTTGTTGATGATAAACAAAAGAAACTATGAGTTCAAGTATCATTATCTTAATAAATCTTACAAATTCACATAATGTTGTACAAATAGCTAAATAATTTATGACTTTAGTATGAACTATGAAGTATGAACTATGACTTTTTGTTGTCAAGAAAAAATCATGAGTTAATAAAATTTCTTAATAAATTTAGGTCTAATGAGCAAAATTCTGACTTTTTAACTAGGTCCCTTCTTTTTTCCAATCCTCGCCGTCCATAACCTCCAGCGGTGGACTGTTTTTTTTTTTTTGGACTGTTGGTTGTATTTTGTTCATCTTTCTTCCCATACTGATATGATGGAGGTTTTTCTGGATCCGGGCAAGGATCTACTTGGAGAAGAAACTCCGGTTATTCTTACACAGTTCAATCTCTCCAAAGCCATTAGAGAGACAGTATTCTTACACAGTCTCAGCTCTTCTCTCGGATCCTTCCATGGTATGTTTCTGTTTTTCTTCATGACTTGCGTGTTTAGATGCTCACCATCGTAGCTCCATAACTGCAATTCCTGTGTTGATTTTGAAACTTGTATCATCCAATTTTGATTTGAATGGAGAATGTTTCTAGTTTCTGGTGCATCATAGCAAAAAACAAAACAAAACAAAAAAAACTTTGCCTCTGTTTATACACTTCTGTCATATGATCATATAATTTGTTTGTCCGTGCAGTGAAGTATGTGAACCCAATCACAAAGCTATGCATAATATGATCATCAAGAGAAGATCACACAAGTTTGGTCATATGAACAAGTATCCAGAGAAGATCAAACTATTGGAACACTGAAGACGGATTGTAATCTCAAATGAGCCAATCATTGTACAAGAAAGAGTGCCACGTGTTTGGATGTGTTTTTGGATTATCCAACTACAAAAAAATTGAAAACACTTTTGCAATCTCATCTCACCAATCACGACAGAGAATAGTGCCACGTGGAAATAACCCACCTTACCTTCACACGCTTCTTCTTCTTCTCCTTCCGCAGACGGCAGACCATCCAAAGGCCACATCATCTCTTTCCACCATGTCTGCAGCACTGAGCTCGTCTCTCTACATTTCCCCAAAGAAACCTTCATGTCCACAACAATCTCAACCCACAATCTTATCTACGAAACCCACGTCCATCAAAACCACTCTCCATAGCCACCCGCTCTTCTCTGTAGCCGATCAGGCAGTAACCCTCCAGATGAAAGAGAAGATCCTCTGCCTCGAGCTCATGGGGATTGACTCAGGAAAAGCCCTCTCTCTCAACCCATGTCTCTGCTCAGCTTCCCTTGAATCCATCGAATCCGTCCTCCATTTCCTTCAATCAAAAGGAATCTACCCAAATGACCTCCCAAGAATCTTGGGGATGTGTCCTAAGATCCTCACTTCCGACGTCAGAACAGAACTCCACCCTGTCTTCATGTTCCTGTCGAATGATCTCCATGTCCCTGAGAATGCGTTCAGAAGAGTGATCAAGAAATGTCCAAGGCTTCTGATTAGCAGCGTAGAAGACCAGCTCAAGCCTGCTCTTTTCTACTTGCAGAGACTTGGTTTCAAGGATCTTGAAGCTCTTGCTTACCAAGATCCTATCTTACTGGTGTCTAGTGTTGAACACACTCTCATCCCAAAACTTAGGTAAAATTTCAGCCGCTTTCTTCAATGTTACTAGTGATTAGACTAGAGAATCTACAATTAGTGTTACATATATGGTTAGATGATTAAGACTTTACAAATTGGGATTTTTTTTGTCAGATTCTTGGAGAGTATAGGGTATTCAAGAGCAGAAGCGATTGGAATGATACTTAGATGTCCAGCTCTATTCACATTCAGCATAGAGAACAACTTCAAACCAAAACTGGATTACTTCATAAGTGGAATCAAAGGAAAACTGGAGAATCTAAAGGAGTTTCCACAGTATTTTGCCTTCAGTCTAGAGAAAAGGATAAAACCAAGACACTTAGAATCAATGGAGAGAGGTTTAGAGTTGCCATTGTCATTGATGCTTAAGAGCACTGATGAAGAGTTCGAGCAATTGCTCACAAAGCACTCTTCAGTTGCAAACGTATAATATTTATTGTATATGTGGTGAATGTTAATGATTGTGTTCATAGCTTTATATATTAAACATTGTTCCATGTGTCTCTGAAACAATTGCCAAGTACATAGCCTGGAGGAATTTGTGAACATCAACTCTATTGAAAAAAAGTTCAATTTGGTGAAATATTCTTTCAAACCAGAATTTGGGCTAAAGGTATGAATGATTGGGCTTATAATGGGCCTCTTGCTAGGACATTTATGAGATCGCGGTTTAACAAAATTAAAAATAGCACTAAACCTCAGGAGAAGCCCTAAAAAGGCGTTGGGTAAATTGACTGCCTTGGCAAGGTAAAACAGTAAAAATGTGAATATTTACTTACAATTTCATGGCTGAGGTTCATCTTCGTCATTTAATAATTTCGTAAATTTTTTAGTCTCCGAGTCGGCTGCGTTCTCGACTTGGGTTCTTCATCTTCTATTCAGATTCACAAGCGAGAACAAGTCTTTGCCTCTTTGGTTACTTTCCTCTGTTTTCGATCCGTAGAGAAGATTTAGAAAATGTTATTCTCGAGGAGTGTTGCTCGGATTTCTTCTAAGTTTCTGAGAAACCGCAGCTTCTATGGCTGCTCTCAATCTCTCGCCTCTAACCGCTTCGCAATCATTCCCGATCAGGGTCACTCTTGTTCTGATTCTACACACAAGGTAATTTTAACATTTCTCTTGTGCCTATGTAGCGAGAAAATGTTCGATTAGGGTTTCTGATGATTGAGTTTTGTGAAGAAATTGTTTTTCTTTTTCTTTTACTCTTTATGATCTTTGTTAATTATCCCTGTTTTTCTCTAATCATTACCATGGAGATTTTGTGTTTTACTGAATAAAGGTTTCGTTTTTAATTTACCCATCTATTATTTAGGGAGTTTGTTGGAATTGAAAATTTTCCCTTTTTGTTTATGATGTAGTTTTGTTGGTGAGTGTGAAAAATAATGGACTTATCAGCCAAAGCTATAGTGTTTCTCTTTCTACATTTTGATAAAGATTTTCCATGGGTCCTATTTGGATGCATCAAGTCCTGTGTGTGAGAGAGAGGATAAGAAAATAGTTGAGACGGATCAGTTTATTTTAGAGTTTTATGTAGAATTGGTGACCTAACCAATGTGTTATTCTTTGTGATGTTTTAGTAGGGTTACGTTTGCAGAACAACTTATTCATTGAAATCTCCCCTTTTTGGTGGATTTAGTCATCAACTCTATCACCAGAGCAGCTCCTTAGTTGAGGTTCGTACTTAGCTCACTATGATCCTCTATTGTTAAACTTTCACATATACTTCAATTTTTGGACATTGCTTCACTCGTGCTTAGATCTCATTGTTTGTCACTGATCTTGTGAGTTGGTCATTGTGTTTTTTAACTTCGATTCATTGCTGAAACTTCTTTTCTTTTCCGACTGCTGAAAGAGTAAGATTGTCCTTTCCTAGGAGGAGCTTGACCCATTTTCGCTTGTTGCCGATGAGCTGTCACTTCTTAGTAATAAGTTGAGAGAGATGGTAGTTGCCGAGGTAAGTGGCCCTTTTTTCATTCATTTGTACTCATTTGTGTGCATAAAGGTGTGGCAAAAGCAAGTTTGCTGTTGAATGTTCTGAAGCTAATCTCTATTTTTCTTGTTTCTATATTCTGCTGTTCAGGTTCCGAAGCTTGCCTCTGCAGCTGAGTACTTCTTCAAAAGGGGTGTGCAAGGAAAACAGTTTCGTTCAACTGTAATGACCATAATCTCTTTTATGTTTCCATATCTTGTCTTCATGTTCTGATTCATTCTCTCTAGGTATCATAACCGGTCTGGTTTCATGTTTACAGGTTTTGCTGTTGATGGCGACAGCTCTGAATTTACGCGTACCAGAAGCATTGATTGGTGAATCAACAGATATAGTCTCATCAGAGTTACGAGTAAGGCAACGTGGTATTGCTGAAATCACTGAAATGATACATGTGAGTAACTACAAGTTTACTGTTGACAAAATAAAATAAAAGAACTAGAGGTTTACCCAAAGATCCATTACAAACTAAGATCCAAAATCCTCCCCTTTTTTCAATTTGTAATGCTCGGGTCATTGTAGGTTGCAAGTCTCCTGCACGATGATGTCTTGGATGATGCCGATACAAGGCGGGGTGTTGGTTCCTTAAATGTCGTAATGGGTAACAAGGTACTCACTTGACAGTCTACGACTGTCTAAGACATGATTAATTTTGTTTTTTGGCGAGTGCTGCAATTAGATATGAAGATCACCGTTGGCTTCACCTTGTAGATGTCGGTATTAGCAGGAGACTTCTTGCTGTCCCGGGCTTGTGGGGCTCTCGCTGCCTTAAAGAACACAGAGGTAAAAGAAAACTGAGAACTTGACCCTCGTATTTTGAAAACTTATTGAAGAAATCATTACTTATTTAAGATACGGCTGTTGTAGGCTATTTTAAACCTGCAGTGATATATAATTTAGAACCAATGACATCAATCCTAAGAATTAATTATCACTTCTTCTTAAGCCATACATCTTCATTGTGTCTCTCTTTTGTAGGTTGTAGCATTACTTGCAACTGCTGTAGAACATCTTGTTACTGGTGAAACCATGGAAATAACTAGTACAACCGAGCAGCGTTATAGGTAGAAATCTTCTTCTCTGGTCAAATATAGCCATAATAAAAGACTACTCAATTCCTCTATACCACCAATTTACGTTTGGGTTCAAAACAAGGGTTGATTTTCTCCCCCCAATAACACGATATATGATTTTTTTTTTCATGATTGCAGTATGGACTACTACATGCAGAAGACATATTATAAGACAGCATCACTAATTTCTAACAGCTGCAAAGCGGTTGCCGTTCTCACTGGACAAACAGCAGAAGTTGCCGTGTTAGCTTTTGAGTATGGGAAGAATCTGGTTTGTGGTCCTCTGCTATAAAATTTGGCTCTGTTGGAAATAATTTTGTTACAAATCTTTGATTAGTTTCTAATTTTTCAGGGTTTAGCATTCCAATTGATAGACGACATTCTTGATTTCACGGGCACATCTGCCTCTCTCGGAAAGGGATCTTTATCAGATATCCGCCATGGAGTCATAACAGCTCCAATCCTCTTTGCCATGGAAGAGTTTCCTCAACTACGCGAAGTTGTTGATCAAGTTGAAAAAGATCCAAGGAATGTTGACATTGTAAGTTTGAAAGAACCAAATCTCCTAAAATTTATAATATATTTCCAAAGTCTCTAATACCAAATATCCCACAGGCTTTAGAGTATCTTGGGAAGAGCAAGGGAATACAGAGGGCAAGAGAATTAGCCATGGAACATGCTAATCTCGCAGCGGCTGCAATAGGGTCTCTACCTGAAACAGACAATGAAGATGTCAAAAGATCGAGGCGGGCACTTATTGACTTGACCCATAGAGTCCTCACCAGAAACAAGTGAGATTAAGAAATGTTTCTCTCTATACACCAAAACATCCTCATTCCATTTGTAGGATTTTGTTGGTCCAATTCGTTTCACGAAACAATAATGTTGGACAAGCTGTGGCTTTCGATTTAAACTACACAGTTGACAAAAAAAAAGGAGACGGATACTAATTGTGAAATCATTTTCCTTGCGAATTCGGTTTAGGTCTGGTTTTTTAACAGATTAAACCATTTCAAGCTGAACTAAACAGGAGGCAGTAGTTAATACAATATATTCAATCCTTTCAAAACTGCACTCCTAAATGATACAATCCCTTCCAAGTATACAAGCCAAAACCAGTGAACAAAAAAATGTTGACCTAGATTAACAAGGTCTTTACATTGAACCGGAAAGAAATACAAAAACCGGGGTTTAAGGATCAGTCTCCTCTTCAAAGTCCATGAGAAAATCAGTCAAGTTCTCAGAATCATCCACGGCCTCGTCTAGAGACATCCGACCTTCCTTCTTTGGTTTAGGCTGTTTCAGAAACCAAACACACAACATCAACACATACAACAGATATATAATGTGGCTCAAGTTGAATGTGGCTTTTACCTTGGCGGTGCGAAGCTCAGGGGTACTCTTCAAGACACTCCAGTTCCTCGGCACCTTCTCGTCGTCTTTTTCTACATCTGCATCATCTTCCTCGTCCTGTCATAAAAAACGTCCGGAGATGTTTGAGAGCATGATAACATCAAGATACAATAAAGAAGAAGAGGATCTGATGTAATCGATGATACTCACATCGTTTTCACCAATATCAACAGCTTGTGCCATTGCATCATCAATGTCAGGCACCTGCATTCATACAATTTATCGAACAAATGAAACAACCCCCTTAAATCTCTCAATGAGACTTATGTCAAAGAGAATGAAAGATTGGTCATTTTACCTCGAGCTGCTCAGTTTTTTCTTTTGTTAGTAGAGCTTCATGCATCTCTCTTGAGATGACTTTGCCATTCTGATCAAATCAGAAACAAAGAAAACAATCAGACCAAGAAAGAAAAGGAAAAGGATTTTGAGCAAAGCAGACTAACCTCCTTTAAATAAGAAAGCATATTTGGTGTCGGCTCATGAAAATCGGGTCCTCTGAAATCCATAACCGCATTAGGATCTTGAATGTAGTTAATTGTCGGGTAAACTGGATCCCCGCCCCAAACTGCAAGAAACCGAGAAAGTTAATGGTATGATTGAATATCCATGATGAGTTAGTTCAACCGTTAAAAGTTTCTTACTTTGCTTAATTTGATCCTCCCTCATCCGCATTGCCAAGGGATCTCTCTTGATCCTAATGTCGGTTCCCATCATTATCCGGTATTCTCGATCTGTCTGATGAGAAAACATCTCAATCAGTTGTGTATTTTCATCTTCACCTGTCTCTTCAAAATGTTTCTGTACAGCTTCTCGCGACGTATCTCTCTTCCATGCTTTAACCCATTCAGAATAAAAAGCCATTGGACCTTCTTTAGCTAATCTCTCTCGCTCAGCTTGCAGCCTGAGAGAAAGAAAACTCAAAAGAAAATCCTAATAAAACAGGTTTCAACTTGAAAGTTCGTTAGATTAAGATACCTCTCTTCCTTGAAAAGATGCCTTCTTGCTCTGTAAAGAGAAGTTTCTGTGAGTGTTGGTTCTTCCCCATAGAGCTTCACTTGTCCTGTTTCTGCCATTGCCTTGAGGAAAACCTGCAAAAACAAAAACAAATAGCATAATGGATCAAACATTAGGGAAATACACACATGGTTAAACCTGAAATCACTGTAATGACTGACCGTTTCAACATCAGGACGTCTTCTTTGCCATCTTGACCATTGTTCTTTCTCCGGTTTTCTCCAGTTCCACCACGATTCATCGCCCGTGAGCGTCTTTTCAATCTGCTTCTTTTTCGTAGGATCGATGAAAGCATGTGGCCGCCCAAGCTTTTTGTCTAATTCAAAACCACTCTCCTCTTCTTCTCCCTCAAATTCATTGTTATAGGTAACAAACCCATCCGAGGAATCATTTTCCTCTTCTTCAGAGCTATCCTCAGAATCCGATACTTCATCACTCGTTTCAACTGTCACATTCTCCTCAGTTGCTTTCCGATTCTTCTTTCTCCTACTTCCAGGATTTTTTCCATACGAAGGGAAACTCGAAGATTCACCAGCTGGTTGAGGAGCCCTAGCAGCTCTAACCCGGCTCGAAGTTCCTTCAGGCCAATAATCTTCACCTGGAATACTAGCCCGAGCCCCGGACGCTGGCTCGAGTTTCCCAGAAGTAGAATCCATATAACTATAGTAAGGAGGCCTCTCAACAGTCACATACTCAGATCCTTCTTCACTCTTTCTAGTGCCTTCACTTGCATCACCATCACTATCTCCATCCCCTTTCTTACATTTGATACAATGTCGCAATGACCGATCCCCAGAAGTAATCCCAACATGTAATGTCTTGATTGGAAATCCACATGTAACCCGTCTCTACATATATAAACAAACTTTTACCAGTTTGACATCTCGAAGCACCTAAATCAAATTGCTCTAGTAGAGAGATAGGTTTGAATCAAAACAAGAAACTTGATGTGTAAGAACCAACCTGCACAAGACAATTGCCGGACTTTCCACTCTCTGTGCATACTTTACCTCGGTAGAGCCAAGTGGTGGTTGATATTGACGCCATTACACTCTTCTACTCCCCACTGTATCATTTACATAAACATCGGATTCAATTATGCTCAGAATCAGTATGAAACTAGCACAAACCACAAAACCCAGATAAGAAAACCTGATACAACAAATCTTCCATAACAAGATACGATTTTTTTGGGCATTTGCACAACGATTCACACTCGAATTTGAGGAGTAAAATACTAACCTTTATGTTATACCAGGAGATTATGTAGGAAGAGGTTTTTCTATCATGGACGTTGATTTTGAACAAGTTTTTGCTTCAAAAGGTTTTCACTTGTCAGTTTTTGGGTTTATCCATTAACACATTCTCGTGACGGCAAAATCTCTAGTTTTCACGACACACGCGCTCTACGCGCCGGTGTTAGATCGCGAATTTGCGAAGAGAAGGTATATGGGCTTTGTATTTCTAACTAAGGCCCATTAATAATGGATCTTCCGAAATTGAGAGCTTGAAGTCTCTCTTGGGCTTAGCTGTAGGAAGATTCTTGATTGTTAGCAAACACTTCCAAGAACAAAACTTTACGTCTTCTATTTTTTTTGGCAAAAGTCTTCTAAACTGTTTATTATATTGATACTTTAAAATAAATCCATATGGATTTGATCCTTTAAAAATGTATAATCCAATAAACTCGTTAAAAACAGAAGCCATAATACTAAAAGATATATGCAAGAATATTTATCGAAAAAAAAAAAAGAATATTTATCGAATTGTGCATGTGAACATATCTTAGTTTTGTTAATGGATTTGCATTTAACAATTGCGATTATACTTGACAAATATTTCCCCATAAAGGATTAAAACAGTGGACTAGTAAAAAATGTTATCACAAAAACATCACTCATAATCATAGTTAAAACCTTCAAGTGAATTACTACACTAGTATAAGATTTGCACTAAAACCAGCGTGTGTTATAAAATAAGACACTATAGAAGAAAGAAGGTTTGGACCCAACGTGAAGGCAATTGGCTAATGTGGTCTGAACCAATATTAAATGGGTCTGACCAGACACATCATAGACATTACGGTATCTATCACAGGCCTATTTTAACCTAATATCCTACACTTTTTATACATTAATACTACTCTGCTTAATTCAAACTAGCTAAACGACGATAATATTTACTTCTAGGGACCAAATATATAATAATAATATTTTGTTTTCTGAAATTTGGCAGACGTAGACCACGTAAGACTATACCACAAGGTCTGACTAGGCACAAGTTTCGGTGACCCGCACGCGCCTAACGTCACGTTTGAACTATTCGTCCAACGAGAGACTATCCATGCGGCGTCGTTTTTCTCAACTCCCTCTTCCTCTTTCTTTTGTCTTTGACTCTGCGGGGTAAAAAAATCAGCAGCATATAATATACCAACATTTGAAACCTCGTAAGCATAAGATAGAGATGCAAAATAAAGAGAACAATAGCGGTTGTGAATTATATAAAATCGTAGGAATACTATAGAAATTGATATAGAAACAAAGAAAAGAAAAAGAAGAAAGATTGAATAATTAACATAACCTTTTTTCCGAAAAAAAAGAAAAAAGAATATATAACATGGATACTATTACTATCTTTTCGAGTTTTTTTCTTTTTAGAAAAAAAATGAAGGGAAAAGTGATCTCAAAGCACTAAAAAAAAACTGTAGTTTGATGCTTTTGGTGACCGTTAATAAATGAGTGGCTAATTGGAAATCTCGTCAACCTTTTTCTGCGACATAGTAATTCACTTCCACAAGTAATTGGAACAGAATCTCACAAGTGGCGACGTGTACTAACCTCCACGGGGCATCTATCCTTTCGCTAATACAAATACATGTATATATGTGTGTATGTTACATGTGTATAATAGCGACGACGAGAATAATCACCTCGATGAGTATTTTAGTAGATGTGGACTTGTCATGAGCATTTAGCAGAGAGACATGCATGCATACAAACAGAGAACTAACAAATTTCTTTAGTTTTTTACCATTCACAATTGAAAGTTTATTCTTGAATTACTTATAATACACTTTTGTTAAAAGGAAAAGCCTAGCTCCTATTTATACGATCATGATATATGTTTTGCCACTATGGTTCAACATACTTCTTAACAATCAACTATTCGATAAGACATGGCATCATTAATAGTATATGATCGCTGCTGTTGTTTACTTCTCTACCAAAAATCAGATATTTTTCTTTGTTGATTGCATTATGATTAATTTAAAGTTTTAAACACGAACTAAAATTATAAAGTAATATTATTACTGATGAAATAAACCAAAGGAGTGGTGGGGCAGAGAGAGGACAAGAACGGGACAGTGGCATAAATCAGACTGGTGAAGCTGTCCCTTGTGTTGTTGGGTACATCCCATGTGTTGTCACACTTCTCTTCTTTCTATTATAGTAGTATTAGTTAAGATCTAACAAATCATGTTATTCTATGTGTTTTCAATTATTAATCACAATTATTCTATATATACTCCAATATTCATTTCTATTGTTCACAAGCAATTGGTCCGATGATACAAGAAATGGTTTACTTAATCTACTTATATATATACACCCGATCACCTACTATGTTCCCTTGTTTTTGTGTGGTAATGCGACAAATATCAAGTTTAAAGCTAGACCAGAGATAGAACTCAACAAGCATTTCTGTGCAAGGATATTTTTTCATTAATTTAGTAACGTGTGGGCAGTTCTCTATATACAAATCCGAGCTAGTCACTGAACAAGTGTAACTAACAATGTTCTTAATTAATTGTACATCTAACCAACTCAAGTTGCTCTACCAACCTCGACCAACTATGTACTCTTGCTAAACAATACGACAATACTAGCTATAAAATCGAAATAACTTGAGGGGAATGAAACAGACATTAATTAGGAACATAAATAGCTTTAAGAAAATCAGTCTTAATATCATTACAAACGGTGCGATCGTTGATTTTTGAGTTTAATAGGCTTATGAACAAACAAAAAGTATGTACCAATGAATGGAATTACAAACGCCAAGTCATCAAACATAAATAGTCTTGAGAAAACTATTATTGATAGCATCACGAACGGTGTGACAATTGATCTTTGTGTTTAGTAAGCGTACGAGAAACAAAATCTGTATCAGTGAATGACATGCATACGTTATACGTACATGTTATCGCAGAAAAACTTAGATGATTTGGTGATTTGAATCTTCAAACTCGTGAAACACTAGAGACGATTGCAGTAAATCAAGATACAAGTGACATTAGCCATATGTCTGTATCAATGTTGGTTCGAGTCACTTTGTTTTGCTCCTTAGTTTCCAACTTTCCATGAAAGAAAAGATTTCCCAAAATAAATACATAAACTACAAGAGGATCTCTTGGACTTTGGATAATTTGTCTACTTTGTACAACGTTTAGTATCTTGGCCAAAAAAACCAACGTTTAGTATACGTTGTGTTAGTGGAAATTTTGTAAAGTATGTCGAAATTTATAATGTGAAACTGAAAGTGATTCAATTATCAATTAAGAAAAAGAGAAAACATAATTCAATTATCCAATTATTGTTTTTTGAAATACTACAATTTATTAATTGCATGGGAAGTTTCTCGGGTCCACGTAAGCGAGTGAGAAAGGAATAATGACAAGTTACAAACCTCGGTTTCTGCGAAAGAAACACCTCTCCCCATAAGAAGACTTTGACTTTTGAGTTTAAATGTTTATTTTAATTTTTTCAAAGTGTAAACAGTAAATCATCAATTATCTTGTTATTTGAAGCTCGTGGTAACTATTATGGATAAAAAAAAATTAATTATAAAATTAACAACAGAAGACGTGACGGTAATCTTATGTGTGGTCCATGTTTACACATTTTAGGAGAGACAAAACTTCTATGCATTGTCCAAAACAATTTGTATTGTATTGTCTAATCATTGACATTTCAGCTTTATTATTTTCTGTTTCTCTCCTTTTTTCACTAACAATTACTCCATTATTAGCCACCATTTTCACGGTGGTGTGCTTATATATATGGTTTCTAAATTATTGAATAATCATTCCATTTCACTGACTTCTACTACTAATCTCTTTTATCCTCCTTATATCTCTAAGTTGTCTCTTTTTTTTTTTGTCAACTGGTTTTGTATTAAAGATGAGATTGATCGTTACAACACAAACCACCAAAGGAAGCTAACACAGCTACAAAGCCACATCTCCATCGAGAGGACTTAAACAAAAGAATATGCTCAACACTCGAGCCATAAACACAAAAACTAAGATTCAATCAGAGGAAGAAATCCTATCATCATTGAACACTCCATCAAGCCAAGTAGGATGACAGACCGCCACATAAGACTGAAGTCTACAATCTTCAGTGACACTTTTAGCTATAAGAACAGCCCCTCTGTTTGAAAATGAGTTTTCCAAAAAAATCTTCCAAGAAAGAAAGGATCGCAGAACAAGGCCAAGCTCCATAGACATAAATCTTCTAAGTTGTCTCTAGATTGTTAAAATTCACAGAAAATCTCTATAGTCTAAAGAGATTGTTTTTATGAATATTATAATACTCATAATTATCATATCATGTATTAGTATACACTTTTTTTTTGTTTTGTGTTAAAGTATTAGCATTCACTTATTTGTTTATATTCTTTATTAGATTTTATACATTGGTTTGTTTTTTCAAAATTGTCTTTTTTTATATTCCTTATTAGACTATAAAAAATGATTAATTTCTATATAAATATATTAAAAATAATTGGTCTTAAATAGTTAGGATGAAATAAAAGTCCTAAGAAATTAATCTTATATTTTTTTTTTCAACACCCTCATTACAAAAGTTAAATAGTTGAATAATTTATTTAACATCTCCATTACGCATAGTCTTAGTCACTAATATAAGGATCTATGGCACATAAGGATAATATTTTTTTTTTTTTTTTTTTTCACATAAGGATAATATTATACAAACACATATATAACAATTAATAAGAGAGGTAGGTAAATCAAGCAATGTTGGTTGGTTGGTTGAACAACGTACTAACTTCATTAATGCTCGCCGTGGTGAATATAATGTGAGCAAGTAAATAAGTACGTATATATATATATACTATTTGTTTGTGTTACTCTTAAGATAGACAAAACATCTTGCTAACTCTCTCTTTTCTTTTAGTTTTTGTTTAGTTTACAAACTTATATTTTATGAGTATTGGTCTGCAGACAAATCCTCTTTACGCAATCCAAAGGCCAGAGGCTTTTTGTTAGTTTCTAGATTGTCACATTATGCAATTGTTGAACTTGGGGACATGCTTCAAACATGCCCAAAATTTTCAGCTGAATTATTCACCTACTTGCTTAACTTCACTTTAAAATGCATTATCCGATTCATTACATCGACGTTTTTTTTTTCTTCTTAAATACATATTGTGAACTAACAATTCGATGTGGATATCTTTGGTCCATCCCAAATTTAGCTCTTAAATTCTTATTGCATAAAAGGTGGAGTATGTTTTCATACCAAGACAAATTGTATTAAAGTCTTATGATAATGTTATAACCCAACCCACTAAACATATAAGTATTTGTTTCGTGGCCATATTTTATATATAGGTTTTCAAAATAATTGAATAATTTGAAATGACATTTAAAATCTATGATATGTGGTCAAGTGAATGTATCTAATGAAATGGATTAATATATTAAAGAAAATGATACCACTTTATATAAAGCTTAAACGAATTTACTTATATAAGAATGCGTTTCATACTCTATACATATCAAGAAAACAATTTCGTCTTGCCGTCTATAGTTTATTGTTCGCTTGAAGAGAAGGAATCGAAATCAGAAGAGATCATGCAACTGGTCGGATCTAAAAAGGCAGATTCCTACCCTTATGGATAACGTTTTTTTCTCCCTTTTTTGACATTCTAAAGACTCGTAGATGTTAAACAAAGAGCAAATATGACTTCATATGTTACAATTGTCAAAAGACGAATCTTCTTTTCTTTTTCTATACCCGTCGAAGTAAAAAGTCTAGGCGTGACGAGTTTTAATATAAAGTAATTCGTTTTTTTTCGCATTCAATATTTTAACAATTGCGGTGAAAAGAAGTTTATTCAAACCGGTAAGAAATGTTTGACCAACTTGGTCAATTATATAATGCCATAACTCCCATTAGACTGTTAAATAGATGTTCTCAAGTTCCGAAGAGTTGATAATGATAATTATATTAGTTTAGATTAATCACTAGTATGTTGTACATATCGCGTTAAAAGTCACCTAAGTTTTTAATATATAAGTCAGATTAACGAAAATTTAAAATTAAAGACTAGAAAAAAATAAGAAAAAAGGACATCTTCGAAAGAATATGTACAGCTAAAACAGCTATCGTCACAAGGCAGTCACCAAAAATCTGGCACCGACCTTAACCGACTAACACGTGGCGCTAATCTCGACCGTTAAATTATCAAAAGTAATCGAACGCCGCTGGTTTGTTACTACTCCTACCACCGAACGTCGCCGATTTCATCGGCTTCTTGACGACGGACGAAGGAATCTCCGGCGGAGTAAGTGTACGTATGAGCGCAAAGTTAAGACCTTTGAAAAAAGGATGCACTTTGACCTCCGCCGCACCTCGCCGTGACCCGAGTCGTTTAGTCGGATCTTTGTTAAGTAACCCGGAAATCAAATTCCGCGCATGAAGCTCAAACATAGTCGCCGGTGAATCAGTCGGGAAACTCAACTGTCTTTTCACAATGTTACGGAGGATGACGTCATTAGTCGGTGCGACGAACGGAGTCTTGCCGTATATCATCTCGTAGAGAAACACTCCAAAGGCCCACCAGTCAACGGCATTACCATGTGATCCACCTGATGCGACCTCTGGTGCCACGTATTCATGTGTACCAACGAACGAACCGGACCGGGCGGTAACCGGTTCAGCAACAAAGAGACGGTTCGGTTCTAGAGTCTGAACCTTTTTAGACCGCAAGACTCGTTGGAAAAGTCTAGCGAGACGAGCGAGTCGTCGCGGTGAACGGAGTTGGTGATTCTCCGGCGACGATGAGGTAGATTCAACGGCTGCGATTGAGTCGGAGCATAAGGAGAGGTCAAAGTCAGAGAGCATAATGTGACCGTCCGATCTAACTAAGATATTTTCAGGCTTCAGATCTCTGTAGATGATACCAAGCATGTGTAGATATTCTAACGCCACTAGAACTTCGGCGGCATAAAATCTGTAATCAAAAACAAAAAATTTCAATTATAACATGTAATTAAAGGTAATATATTTAGCTAATAAAATCATAATTATTGTGATGGGCTGAAAAACACTCTTTCATAACAATTCAAAGAACTGGAAAAGACCGACATGATAAGAACAGGTCTGTTCTTGCAGAACAAGATAACAAATTATGTAACAGAGTCAATGCATGCAACCAAAAAAAAAAAACTCATATTACATTGTTGATGATGATTCTTTTTTTTTTACTATTATTTTTTTTTTTGAAAAATCTCACTTTGGCCAATATATAAAATAATTTTTTAAAATTGTTAAATTTACCTGGCGGATGAGAGGGAGAATCTCCGGTGAGGCTGTCTATGACGGAGAGAGTGTAAATCACCGCCGGAGCAATACTCCATAACGATGCAAGAGAAATGTGACGCTTCAAACTCAGCGTAAAGAGTCGGCAAAAATGGATGGTCAAGCATTTTCAAGATCGTTTTCTCCATCTCTGCTCTATGCATCTTCTTCTTCAACGCAAGCGCTTCTTTATCCACGACTTTCATAGCGAAATACGAGCTCCGGCTCTCTTCTTCGTCTCCGGCGAGACGACATAAGTAAACTGTTCCGATATCTCCGGCGCCGATACGACGCATGAGGCGAAAATCTCGGAAAGTTAGGCCGTGTTTTTTCCGTCGTCGGATCTCTGCGTAAGCGAAATCTGAAGATCGGTGAGGTTTGAGAGAGAGGAAGCTTTCTTCTTCGGGGATTATTGCGGTGGTTGACGGTGGCGCGTCGAATGATAACCGGCTGAAACTACTACAACTCTCTGTTCCGCTGCTTATCGGTGAGTTTGTTGTTCCTAAACTCATCTCACCGTCTGATTCTCGTAACATCGCCGGAAATCGAAGTGAAATCAAGAAATGGCTAAGAGATAAATTCAAAAAAAAAATTGGAATCTGAAAGCAGAAGACTAATGACAGAGATGAAACAGAACAGAGTATCTTTGAACGGACATTAATTTTTATCTGCAGAGTTGATTATTTAGGGTTTATGATTGTGAAGACGAAGAAGAAGTTGTATCAGAAGTTTGAGAGAGAAGGAAGAAGGAGAAGTGTTGAGTTTTTAGAGAGAGGCGAGAGAGTTGGTGAGTGGTATTTATGCGTGTGAGGTTATAACAGTAAAAAGACGTTACAGAGACTTTTTTTAACCGTGGTTAATTATGGGTTTACTTGATTGCACTTTTCAACGCGTGAGAGAGGTAAACAGAGAAGTGAAAGAGAGAAAAAGGACTTGATGATGACGTAAGATATATGACACGTGTGGGACGTTGTCACGTGCCTGAAAGTGTAGCAGTAGCTTCCCTTCCCCATTATTTATCTTCTTATTTTCCTAGGAATATTATAGGTGCAAATGCAAAATTTCGAGATTATTGTGTCTTTTTAAAAAATATGGGACTAACGATTCGTTTTTGTTCCAAACTGATTTACGTATACAGATTTTGTAAGTAAAATTTGAAGATTATATAGGTTAGGAATACTAATAATCTTAACATTATATATGGATTGGTTCCTGAAACTTAAAATAGTGTTAGTTTACTTTATAAGGATTCAAGATAATTATGGTTTTGATTGGTAATACCGTCTTGGTACAAAATGTACTAAAAGATATGATATGTAATTATTCAATGAGCCCGTGAAAAAGGTTATAGGGAGAGATAGAAAAACAATTTTTTTGTTTAATCATAACATCAATTTTCTAAAGGTTAATCAAGGAGTACTTTTAGACAGAAACTAGTACAGTATGTTCTTTCATTTGTCTTTCTCGTGAGTGAGAGTTGAACTAGAGAACTCATGGACACATAATCTTTGGAAACCCCAAAAAACTTGCTATTGATCCAAAACACACTTAAATTACTATCAATTCGTACCACTATGTTTGCCATTAATAAAGTGTATACCAGTTTGTGCGGACCCTATATATTTATACCGACTATATATGAACATACCTAATGATCATTAATAAAGATGGCTGGAAGGGACCCAAACCTATATACTAGGATGTTGTTGGCTTTGTGTGGCTTCATGTTACGTTACGTTCCAAGCTTTGGATTTGAATCCAAGATATTGTTTTTATGTTAGGTTAGGCTTTGGTTGATTCAATTATTGTAAATTGGAGATCTCCTCTCGCTAATTTTTGTTTGTTTTTATTTCCACCTCCTATAATGTTTGGGCTACTATAGCATATTGTATTATAAGATTGATACTAGCCTCAATCTTATACTACGGCAATGCACCTACTTGTCCTACTTTCAAATCATTGTGGATTGATCACTGATTCACTGTAACAAACATTTTTCATCTCCGATTTGCCTTTTCCATGAGTTGCTCTAATCCATCTTCTGTTCGCGGTTGAAAAACTGTTATGTTTATACAATAAAAGTTTGAGACGTATGTATATGTACTCGATCTAGAATACTTATACTAGCCTCAATCTCTGAAGTAGAATAAACGAATCACAACAGTTAGAAGAAGTGTGGTCAATGCTTGCAAATGTTGAGTTCAAAATGAATGGAAAATAGAGGGGAAACGTAGCCTAAGTTTCATGCACAATATATAACTTAAAATTTGTTTCATAAGCCATAAAAAGGACAGACATAAATATGCCCACCGCTTATGATTCATTTGGCGCATATATATCTGCATGGCCCTCTCCTTAGCTAACCTAAGAACACGTTTTTTCAAAATTAATCTTACAAGTGACTTTTGTTTTTGGTTTTATGTTGACTAGTTAAAAGACTTGTACTCAATATTCTAGGTATAACAGTTCTTTATGATTTTGAAGTCTTATTGGTTTCCTAGAAAAAAAAAACTACATTGGTCAATTATTTCTTGCATTGCAAAACATTGTTGCAGGACGTCATAGATAAGTGTCACTAGGTTAGTTTTAAATTAATGAATCTTAATCACACATTAACATATTTGACTGTGTTCAGTTATTCTCTTAAGTATTTTGGAAACTTAAGAGAATGAAATAAAATGCATGATATGTTTGGTGGAAGAGGGACAAAGTCGTAATTGTGCCAGCTAAATTGGCAAGAGACAAAACATAACTGACCTCTGGTTAAATAAACCCAGAGAGATATTCCCTTCCTCGTTGGTTCCTAAAGACAATAACTGTTCCCGTTACTACTGTATCTTCTCAAACTCTCTCTTAGCCAAGTGTTTAGTAACTAGTTTAACTATATCCCAATCTTGTACTCCATCGGAATGACTTACTTCTGTCTTTGTACGTACTATATACCTCGTGGGGTCCATGTTTTGTACGGACTAGTTCCCACATCACTCCAATTATTATTTCTTTCTCGAATCTTCTTTTTATAAATAAGTTTAACAGATGATTTAATCCATTTTAGTTTTATAATCGTAACATATTCTATTGGAAAATGGATGATGTGTATTGGTCACAAAAGCCTTAACTTCTGATTACGAATAACAGAATATTAAAGATAGGATCAGATTGTATGAAGAGATTAACTAAAACAGTGTAATTAATAAAAGCATAGGATGTGAGGAGGACAGGCGGCAACATTTAGGAACTGTGGGTCCTTTATTCTGACGCGACAGCTTTTGGGTCCAAACATAAATTGGAAAACTAATAAATGATTTTTGTTTGGTTTTTAATTTTATATAGTTAAAGACAATTGCAAATAAATCCATGAAAATGTTCATTGATTTTTTTTTATATAAATGACACCACTTATTAGAAATCTCTGTTCTAATTCGGCCTGACTATATCCTAATGCTTGTTTCCATGTGATGCAGCGTGAATATATACTCCTATATGATTTAGTTTGATCTAATTGTAAAAAAAAATGGCACATGTGTAATTTCCATATATAACAGTAATTGTCAATATAATTTTACCCTAGAAGTTGGCTGAATCATGCAGTTAGATCTACTGCGCTCGACTCCTTCATGAGTCTTTCATGGTTAGGGGTTATTATTGCTAGAATTTGTTGATCAACTTGTTTTAGAATATTTGACTTTTTATGCACCAAAAATATTTATAAGAAGTTTAAGATACGTCCACCTGACCAAACTTTTTATGAGCATTTCTTCTTTAGCCAAAATTGATGTCGTTTTTTTACGACATCCAGAATTGATGATAAGATAAGGAAAACACGCTTAGTTAGAACTTAGAAAAAATTCTGAATCCTCAAAAACAAAGCTACTGGAAATACAATTTGTAGGGAAGCAATTGAAATTGGAATATACAATAAGGCAAGAAGCAAGGCCCCACGAATTAGTTAAAGAAAGTTGGGTGCCACATAAAAAGGTGCAGCAGAAAGTGTAACAAATATTGATATTTTATAGGGTTTTTTTTTTTTTTTTTTTTTTTGGGAAAAAAAAAATAAAAAAAATAGGGTTTTCTTTTTATAAGAACTCCTTCATATCGCTATACTTTTTAATACTATACGTTTCTCATGAATATGCAGAAAATACATACATTTTTGAATAGATAAAAATATATATAAATGGGTCATAATATATCTACATACTTAAATAGTTACATGCATAGACGCTTGATTAGATATGTCATATATACAAACACGTATAGATATGTTATATGTACATGTGTATCGCAAGATAACATAAAGTTATATATACACATACACACTTAAGTGTCATCTAGCTACTGTACACATATAAACAAAAAAAGACATGGCAAGTGAGATTGCTTGTGGTTGTGGGCATGTTAAACCTTTGAGAATGAGAATGATTAATAGAATAATAGATATATATATATATATATATATATATATATATATATATATATATATATATACATACACACTACATATGCAAATATATGTGCATATTTTTATTTGTTAGTGCAGAATTAGAAGAAAATATAGGTAGACTTTTCTTTATAAAAAGTGATCCATATCATGAAACTTTTCTGTTTTGTTTTTGTTTAAAAGGTCTAGACCCATATCACGAAACTTGTTTGATATGAATTGGGAAACTAACCAAATAATTTCTTAATATTAAGAAGGTCCACATCATCGGCTAAAAATGGTCACATGGCATGTGTGACCATTGTTATATTTCTGGACTTTGGCAAGAGCTAGACGAGTAGGGTTTCAAATACCATGATAATGATCTAATAATTAAGTAAGACAGTGACTCTCTTTTTGTTTAGTCTTCACGTTTCTCATTTTACAATTAAGGGCTTCCAAATGTGTAAAATAATATATTTAATTAACCAATAACTTAATTGGTTCTATAAATTTGATTGGTAAACATCGTTTTATCAAAGTAATTATGGTAGAAAAAACATGTTTGTTGATGTTGTTAACCAAATAGTTAATCTCCTAATTTAATTTATTTAGACGGATGGTTATTCTACCAGTTATAAATAGAAATATAGTCATCTCACAAATTAACTCCTACGAATAGTGTGTGTAAATTTCAAAACACATGCCTATCCTTTTTTCTTGCCAAAATGAGATCTCTTTGAGATTTGGTTTTGATTTTATGTTGAAAACAAGATTTATAAAAAACTTTAATCACTAATAAAATTAGTAAAGTTAAGTAAAGGTAAATCCCAACATGTGAGATCGTGTGGACCACATACATGGCATATAATACTAATTTTAGGCACCCTGGATTTGGTCTACACGAAATCCAGACCAAATAATATTGGCATCTACTTCAAAAAACTAAAACTATCTACTTAGAAAAAAGAAAAAAAAACAATCCTATTATTGACAAGTGACAACATAATAATCTTTAAACCATGTTAAAAAAACATAGCGGTAAACCCTAACGGTTTTAATCCTTTAATATTCTGTCTCTAGGTGATCTTCCAAGATTCATGCAAGTGTGAATAAGTAAGCATATTTTCCATAAATTATGCGATGTGCTTCTCATTGAATCTTTCGCGCATCATGTAGATTTTACATCTAATATATTCTATCAAGTTTTTGTAATGGTTAAAAATGATTCATTTTTTTTTGTAATAAAAAACATGTTGTCTTAGATTTGTAGCAACACCAGTAGTATAAACTTAACG